AACCCCAACCACCATTCTCGCAGATGCTGTAGCAACCATTGTTTCTCCATACTAACCCGCAAAATTAAAATTTTACAGTTTCAACCGCTTGGATCTACCACCGTACAAGACCTACGAGCAACTGCAGAGTAAACTCACCATAGCCGTCGAAGAGACCTTAGGTTTCGGCCAGGAGTAAGCTGAAAAAACAAAATATCCAAAGGTACAAATTTTATTTAAGGAAGACGATTGCTTTTTTTTCATATTTATGTTCTTCTCGTCAGATTTTCATCATATTCAACCTCCTTACGTGTGTGGCGCTGTGTCTCTGTGTATGTAAGCCTGCAAGCTGCAAGGCCACAGGCATTCGTTCCCCGCCAAATATTCGTGTATATTCTTTTTTTCCCATCTTCTCCTGTATAACGTAGAGCAAGCAGGCCAGGTAAAGCGGTTATGAGGGCGGGGGAATGGGTACCAACCATTGTCACTGATACTATCATGACCATAACTTTTTTATCTTTCTCATCTTTATTTATTTTTATATTTTTTCCCTTTTCCTTTTCTTTTTTCTTTTCTCCCCTCCCTTCTCTAGTCAAGTACTAGGCACTTTTGCTCCCTTCTGAACCGCTCGTTCATCGTGTTTTCGTTCTCTCTTTCGGTTCACTCATTTCAATTCACCTTTTCCCTATAATGAACGACGATCAAATGATCTATTCTCTCCTTTCCGCGCATATACAAACTATGTCCCATTCCTCTCCCTGCCTCGTCAGGAACACCCTTCTTTTTTTCTCTCTTCTCCCTGCCTCAGTGTTGGTTGGCTGTTTGAGTTATAACCTCAAGCCAGGATCGTGTCCTCCGCCAACGGGTTTTATGGTTATCAATGTGTGTATGAATGAAAAAAGTTCGCAAGGGAACGGGCGGCGGTGAACGGTCATTTGTTTGCCTTGATCTCCACGAAGCAAAGATAGACAGGTGGATTTTGGGATTGCCTATCATTATTCCTCTTCACCTGTTCCTTTTGCCTTCCGCTGTCTGTGTTTCCGTTTAGTTTTCGGCGTCCATTTTATGGTTTAATGTTTCTGGTTTTTCCTTCTTCGTTCCCTCACCCTTTGTGTATTCCTGCCATCGACTTTCTCTCCTCGTAACTGTTCGTGCTTGTTTTATTTTATTTTATAATTTTCACTTTAAACCAGCTGTGAGACAGTGAAGATATATAATGTAGTTTGCTGTCGTTGATATAATGAAATTTTGTCAAGATTTGATTTACTCTTATATCACATCGCTAGATCTCTCTCTCTCCCTTATTTTTCCCTTGTATAGTGCGCTCTTAGAGGTGAGACGCGTAACCTTTCATTATTCACCCTAATAGTAGAGCAACCTAGGGGAGAGAACAGGCGAAAGAGGAACCATCTTTGTAAAATAATACTCGATAGATACGCATCGAACATGGTGCTCAACAATACCGTGCTTGGTAGAGAACTAGGATAGCCAACTGCGCGTTGTACAGAGCATGGAGGCCTTTATCACACACCTTTGCATATCCTTCAAGTCTCGAATTAACCCCACGATGGAGTCCGTTCTGTATGCATTTTATTGCAAGGTTGCGGTCCACCCCCGAGGTTCAATCGCCGCCTCACCAATTCCCAAAGCGGCAATTTTGACCTCTCCTCGGCTCGGGCTGCGTCTGAATGGCTGGCTATTGGTTGGTTAAACGGGTGTAAGCAACTATCACAATTTCTCAGGCCCACCACAAACATCTGTTTCAAATAGCCAAACTAAGTAAACTGGAAAACAGCTCAATTGGTTTATCTCATGGATGCGATTGTCTAGCCTCCACGACCCACACCAATTGCAGTCCAGATCGCATATCTGTGCTGTTTTGTCCAGCCCGCGCCAAGCAGGTTGTAAAACATTCTGTCCATCACGATAGCATTCATTGCGCATCGGGTGAAGCGCTAGGCGGCCCTTGAGCAGCTTCAAAACGCCCCTAGTTTCATCCTGTTCTTCGGCAACTGTGGTCAATGGAGATTTTCAGGATTTTTTGGCCACAATGCATTACCATTACCGGCTTTTCACGACTCCGAATCCTGAGCCAACCGACTTCTCAGTGATACCATACTCCATATATGCCTGCCCAGGTTGGCATGACCACAGGGCAGTGCAATGCAGTATGGTATGCGGGTTCAGATCCAGATCCAGATCCCGGCCTCAGCTTCAGATATCATGTGGCACACCACCCGCAATCATCCAGCCGTATGGATATTCCATACTTACGGCAGCTAGCAGATTGCCATCGCCCTGCGTGCAACCTGAATGGTTGATCCTGTGCTCTCTCTCTCTCTCTCTCTCAGTTGGCTTGCCCCTTAACTAGTTCAAGCTCCTCTTTTGCCTCTCCTCGTTTTTATAGGCCCGTTACCAAACTTTCTTCCCCCTTTTGGGGACCGGCCCCTCCCCTTTTTTCCCGGAGTCAATGAGAATAATAATAAAACACTGTAAACATTCCTTGACTTCCCACGCTCTTCTTTTCTTTGACCATTTACACACTACCACTCCGTCCATCCATCTATCCATCCATTCGTTTGTACCCTACCCGCAGCTGTTCTTCTTCAGTCCGTTCGTTTGCTTGACATTCGTTTCTCTGTGTGCACGGCTACGAAGCCGTTTGAAACTCCTTTCAACTAGCAATTGTACAAGATCATTCGTTTCTTCATTTACTTCTTGTTTATCCACCCAAAATGCGCTCCTTCGTCTCAGTATCCGCTCTTTGCACCATCCTATTCGGCCTCGTTGCCGCTCAGACCTCGAAAAGCCCAAACACCTGTGAAGCTCAGAAGTATGTTCTCTGTCTGTTGGTTGGCGATTGATTATCAGCTATGGATAATACGTACCCTGCATCCTTCAAAGGACACAACGGCTCTCTCGTATAAACCATCCATGTTCAGGAAATCCTTTGCTTACAAGAGCAAAAAACTAAACATAGTATCCTCGAAGCTTGTCTGCAATCGACCCAAGCCCTTCTCAAAACCTGCGTACCCAATGACTGGCAATGTCTCTGCACGCAGTACACCAATGTCTTAACGTACGTGCCCCCCGCATATCTTCCAAATTTTAATTAGACAAATAAATAAAAATAAAAATAAAAAAAAAAAATCCCAAACATATACGGTATATACGTATACTCTAAGATTAACACATTCAACCAATGCATACAGCTGCTACAACAACTGCCCCAACGACTCGGGCAGACACGGCACTGAGTCCTCCAAAATTGCCAACTGCAACGCTGCCTCGCAATTCGCGACGACACCCACTGCCACCCCCACCCAATCTCCTACCTCCTCAGACTCCGGCGCTGAGCCTACAGGCTCATCCAGCGCGTCGAGGACTGCATCTGGCACCACAGCGCAGACTTCTTCAGCGACACAGACACCGAACGCGGCAGCGGCCGTTGGCGGTGTGAGTATGGGAATGGGAGGCATTGCTGGGCTTCTGGTTGCTGGCATTGGGTATATGGTGTAGTCGCGGAGTTTAGGAAGTTTGTTGTATGATGTGGGTGTTTTGGAGCGGGGGGCTTTTTGGTCTTGTGGGTAGTTTGGGATGGTAGTGGGGAAGTTGGGCTTTTTTTTTTTTTTTTTTTTTTTTTTTTTTTTTCTTTTCCTTTTTCACATTTATTTGACTTTGTTTTCCTGGACTGAGTTGGGGTTGAAGTTGAGATTCTAATCGTAGGGAGAATATTGGCGTGTTCTCAGCGGCAGCGAGGAGGGTTGGCTGTGTGCTGCTAGTTGTAGGGGTGGGGGTGGATGCGCGAGCAACATGTAACAATAGGCAGCTCCTAGGTTCTGTGGTTAGTCAATCTGCTTGATGGCTTGCTGACATCCTGTGGTATCATAATTTGGACGTCAGTCGAGTCAGCTCACTCCGCATTTGTTTCCTTATTCCAGGAGGTTTATGCAGCGAGGGCATGAATGTATTAAAGTAATTCTTTCACGTGTGAGACATTCCAGTTAATATAGTTACCTGAATTCACATAGTTATAAACTACACAAGAGCTCCTCCCCATCATTTAGCCTATTCAATCGTCTATTCCCTCTTTCTCTTCCTCCTTCCCACCACACCAGCACTATCAACTGCTGCACCTGCTGCAACAGCATCATCGCCTCCACTATCTCCTGAAGCCTTCATCACCGACGACCCCTTAATGTCGTCCTCATACCCCGATATGTCAAGATGGCCAATCACAAAAGCCGCTTTCTCAATATCCAACACGGAGAAGATTCTTCCATCACCCTCCGCGCTCTCAACTCCTTCGTTTTGCTCAGGAAGTTGATTGATCCTCTTCCTGAGCCCCCGCACAGCTTCCCACAACTGTTGGTATTCTTTTATATTATACTTAATCTTATGCGCTGCTATCACCGACGATTTCGCACCGCCGCCGCCGCTAGCGGAGCCGTGCTTGTACTTATCTAGACACAGCCAGTTGAACAGCTCATCACTGAAGAATGGAGGTGCATTTATATTATTTACGTCGCTGGACGGGTCATCTGATGAAATTCCGTATGGAGCAATGGAAAGGAAGAGAGATGCAGCGGCAGGACCCACACCTCGAAGCGGACCTGTTAGTGTCTCGAGCGGAGCAGCGGGGAACGCTTCGTCTCCGGTATTTGATAGAGTGTCCTGGAGCTGTGAGAAGGCAGCGTTTGTGGTGGACTGCACGAGGGAGTTTTCGTTGGAGCGAATCAAGCCCATTAGGGCTGGTCTATGGGAGCCGTGCTTGCTAACAAATATGACATAAGATTCTCATTTTTCTTGAAGGTTTTATGAAGCATTAAAACAGCACTTACAGCTTCCAGTCCATAAGATTGACAATTTCATCCTTTTCCAAATAAAGACCCGAATGGGACGAATTGTCGTCGTTCTTGGACGCCTTTACTTTCTTCTTGGGTCTTTTTACGTCCTCCCCCGCTTTGCTTTCGTCCTTGAGCCCAGTGCCAGCTACAGCCCTGTCTCTCAGTGCTGCTGGCATCGAGTCGTAGCGTAGTCGATCCAGCTTCAAAAAGGCTTCCACTTCCTTTCCAATAGCTTCTTCACTCTTTCCCTTTGGCAGAGACCTTTTTGACTTTGATTTAGCAACCAACTTGGCCTTGTAGAATTCTCTGATGGTGTGTGGATAAAGGGATAGGAGGTAGGAGACGGAAGTTCGGGATATATTGGACGGTGCGAAGGAGTTCTGTGAACCCATTTCAGCTCCTCTGCTTCTGTTCCCCCGACTAGGTTTGAGAAATTGCAAAATTGTCTTCCTGGAATAAAATAATTGATTTTCCAGATCAGTCTCGAATAGAAAATCTTCACGGTTGGAGATTCGGCTATATTTAACCATTTTGTCAGTCAGAGAGGATATTAGGATGTCAAACAAGATTCAGAGCAGAGCACCACATGGTCAGTTAAAGAACAGTAAAGGTACGTCCTCTTGAGAAACGGAGTTTGAATAGCACGGTGTGAACTTGCTACAAAACAAGAGAATGAAAGGGGCATTTTTTGCCAAAGCCGTTTGAACTGCTAACTGCTTTCACTCCCGATATCCTTCATAGAATGAGATGGGACTTCGGCTAACAAGTAACTGCATAGCCAACTGTCCAAAGAAAGCCCAAGGAGAAAACATCATACGCCCCGAAAAATAAATCAATAAAAATAATTGTTGCTTTGCCCGGATTGTAAAAAAGAAAAATGGATAGCAGTCGACGTCTATCGACCACTCATTTAGAGATTTTCTTGTTTTGAACGTTCGTTCACAGGCTCTCCCAAGGGTCGCCTCTTCAGGGCGTCCAATTGCATCTCAAATCCTTGAATCCGTACCACATCTTTCAACGTAGGATTTAGACACAAGATTAAATGAACATCGATATCACTCAGTAGCAGAGCAGAAATGCAGAGTGTAAGGAAAAGCCAAAAGGAAAAGGAAAAGAAAATCGCAGATAGCTGTGCTCTTCTTCGGACGCTTAGGGTCAGCCTACCTTCCAACCAGCAGCGGAGATTCGTGTCTTCTGCCACTTGTCTTTCGAGTTTACGTTGTCCAGCGGTCATAGCCTCACTAGCAATAAAGTAATGTGCGCCATAAACATATAATAATAATATGAATCGTCAAATTTTATGCTTGAAGAGATGAGAGGAGGAGATGAAGTTGAGGTTGTAGGACGTATGATGTGGAGCGCGTCGCAGCCTAAATACCATCATTTGCCAAGCGAGGAGAGTTATGAATCTGACCTGAGGAGCACATCCAGCACCCAAAATCCTGTCACTTCTCCTGTACATATATGGGGGGAAGAGTACACAAAAATTAAGATACACAAGATGAAAATAGATGCATGTGTAGATGTCATCTCAACGGTCTAATATATCTTTTCATTTCTCAATAAACTCTCCAAGGGAATAATACTCAGCGAACCGAAGGCAAAAGCCAGTAATATATTCTCTATGGAAATTTAACAAAAGTTGAAATAATAAAATAATATAGCTATGTACGTATACATAATTGAGGGGGGAAACACAACATGGCCGGGCAGCCCCTCATCTAACATGCTCAGACGATTGAAATTGTGTGGAAGTTTATCACATCAATCGATATCGATATCGATAGCGGGGCACGGTACGGGAGAGAAGAATCGGAGAGCAAGGGAGGGAAGACATAGAGGAATGGAAGGTGAAGAGACATATGAGTAGCTATCACCAGAGATAAAGGATTAAAGGAAACATATCATGTACTGATTACAAAGTAGATTGCATCGAATCAACGAAGCACAGCGCCGACGGAGAAAGGGAAGCAGGAAAAAAAAAGGATAAGGGCCATATATATATATATAAACGTCATGGCATGTTATGGAACGGAAGGGTAGATTGCACGTGCATTCACATGTACAAAACATGTGGGAAGTGGGAAGTGGTATAGTATAGGTGATCGTGAAAAAAGAAGTGTAAAAGGCAGGCAAAGAAAACAGGTTATATATAAATAACATAACATAGGAGAGATTCATGGGTCGTAAAAGGCGGTTTGGAAGATGGAGAAGAAGGGGTTTGTGAGGGGGGTGGGGGCCAGCCATATGCACATACACTGAAGGAGTGGTGCAGCAAACAAATATAGCGACGCTGCAAAAAAGAAAACCTTGGTAACTTAAAGAGGTAGAAGAGGTGAAATGAAAAATGGACAACAAAAGCAAAAAGAACAACAATCCCACCCGGTGAGGCCAATATCCATCTGACCTGCCTGATATCAACCCAACCAAACCCAGAAACCATAGCCCAGAAACACTGCGGAATAAAAGTAACAAGGGCAAAGCCACCAGCAAGAAAATCCCATTGAACATGCCTTCTTATGATCACCCATAAGTTTAAAAATAGCAAATTGCAGAAGAGAGCAAAAAATAGGGACTAAGCAGGTCAATACAGAACAGGAGAGCTGAAACAAGAGGAGAAAATTAAACGAGAAAATTAAAAGGAATCTGTTTGAGGTTCCTGCCAACCCGACAATTCGGTCGTCCGTACGCGGAATCCAGGAAGTTCCTCGTGCAAATTAGAGAAAATAATAAAGAAAATAAAAACTTAAAAATTCATAGGAAACGTGACAATACTGCTGAGCACCACAGAACTCAGGAACCAAGGAGCCGGTGTTTATCCCCGACGCTGCTTCTTCCCACCATCCTTCTGCGCTATAGCCGGAGTTGTGGTGATCGGGCTCCCAAAGCTAACGCGTTTTGGCTCCTTATTGTTGACACGCATGGTTGCTGTGTTGGTAGAAGGCGACATTTCAGCATTCTTCACACCACCTTTGACCTTACTGGACGCCTTGCGTTTGTAAACCGGTACTTCCCGCGAAACTGGTGATGGATGATGATGATCATGATGATGTTTTGAAGGGCTCGTTATTTCTGGTCCTGGTTTCGCATCTGACGTTGCTGTGGTGGGCACATTCGCGCCTCCAGTTGTACCGTCATCGCCGTCTTGAACCTCGATGTTGTCGGGTCCTTCATCACTTACCGCGGAGGGAGACGGGCTTGGGCTTTCTGATTCAGATGGTGCTTCGTAATCCTCGTCATCGCTGACAAGGCTTGGAGCCTGATTTGATTCCACGGTGTTAGGACTGAGTTCAGAAGAAATCGTGTCAACCATTGAATCGATGTCGTTTCCTTGACATCTTTCATGCTCGATTCCAGGGGCAACCGAAGATCCTGTAGTTGGAGAATATGGAGATCTATATGGTGGCCGTTGAGGTGTGGGGGTTGGGGGGATAGGAGAAGGCTGAGGCTTGCGGCTTGGTTTATCTATCCCTTTTCGACTTCCTGGTCGTGGTGGTTGGCTTGGAGAAACTATTGTGCGCGCGGGTAATCTACTTCCTCGAACACTTAGTCGGGACCGATCGTGGTTTGGTTGTTCATTCTCGTCATCTAGTCCTTCGCTGAACTCGTCATCCGAAGACAACATGGCCATTGCGGTTTTAGTCAGGGCATCATCCACGATATCAAGCAAGTCAACCGACATCCCTCTTCTCTGCATTAGCGAAGAGAGATTGGGTGTCACTGGAGAAGCTTTGAAAGATGGGCTAAGAGGGACAACTGAAATCTTCTGCAGTTGCGGTTTGTTCAAATTAGGAGTACTTTGAGATTGCGACGAAGATGCCTTTTCGGCTTGGTTGCTGCCATCACGAGATGTGCTGCTATCGCCTGATCTTTTTGCTAATTGACCCTGAGGAAATGCGCGACGCATACCAGGCTGTGCAGCAGAACCAACCAGGTGAGCTGAGCGAATCAGGGGATGTACATATCCGGCGGCAGTGCCGGCAGGTACGTCGTTATTATTGCCAATAACCATACCGGCCTCGTCGACTTCTACGGGCTCTCCAGATGCAGCAGCAGCAGCATCATGGCTGGCGAAATTTCGATTATGAGCAATTCGACAGTGATTAATAAAGCCTTGGGTGCTCGAAAAGTTGTCTCTCCTACAATCAAGACAGACCAATTTGACGAGCTGACCATCACTCTTGCGCTTTATGATCATGGGCCCAGCTTTATCCTTCGGTTGGGGATAGCCACTTGATAATGCTTGCAATTTGGTGCCAGCAGAGCTGCGTTGCGAACGCAAAGTACCTGTAACACCTGGTTCTGACCACGACGCACGGGTCGTCCGTCCATCCGCGCCACTCCCTGATACAGCAGAGGCGTGGACAGCACTCTCAACCTCTCCTCCATCAAACCGGGGATCAGGAAGTAGCCACTTCGCATAGTGCCGGCTGTATGGTCCCTCAGTCACACCCCATGGCGACGGTGATATAGGCGGTGGACCAGGCCTAATTGGCAATACCGCACTTCCAGTACCGCTGCTGACATTACTGGAGAGTCCAGCAACGTTCGAACCGGGATATGGGATTTCGGAGCACCGACGAAGCTGGTCTAATGCAACCTGGCACTTCCCCATTTCTTGGTCTATCAACCGTAGCTCGTCATGTTTAAGGAGTATTTCAAGACTCAGTTGTGATTCAAGTGTTTGGCGCAACGTTTCCGTATCCATTTTAGGCACTGTTCCTGCAGGTGGCGTTGGTTCAGGGTCAGGTTTCACTGTGTTTGGTGGAGGCATATCTCCAGACTCTTTAATTTGACTTGTGGCTTTCAGTGAATTGCGGCGAGGGATGTCGCCTTGTGTTGATCGATCTGGCGACTGTACCTTAACTACAGAGGAAGGCGGCTGTGACGGTGTTAGCTTAGCATTTCCGCTTGCCTCTTGCGGGCGGAGATATATCCTGGAGAGATGGGTAGGTTCTGGCACAGATGTGTCAGTTTCGCCAGAGTTTGCACGCTTTCGCTTCAACTTGTGAAGCGCAGGGTTGTCCGCAATGGAAGATCGTCGTTGCGGTGCGGCCAGCATCTTCACCTCCTCCGCTGTCACTTTATTGCCCCCAGCAACAGAAGACCATGGAAGCAGTCGAAACATGCCATGCGAGAGCACACCGATCGCCACGATGGATTTCCAGCCGCTTCTTTCCTTCGTCGCTCTAAGGGCCGGGTAAATCCACCTACGCTACAACCACAGTAACGCGCTTGCAAACGACGTGGACAAGCACATCGGTTACGCGGCAACAGCGCTAGTGTTCTGGCGACCTTAAGGGTCCTCTGTGGGGAAGAATCGGAGGATGCGATGGTCGTGCGGAAAACGTCTCGGGTAAGATAGAGGCGGATGGGTGAGGGCCCGCCAGGTTGTGGATGTGGCGAAAATAGCAAGGGTCAGGCTCAATCGCGAAATAAATGAGTGAATGACTGTCAGCAGCGAGCAGCTAAGTCGAGGTAGAGGCGGGGAGGGCGGCTTGTGGAGGTCGGGGTTACCCAGGCGCAAAGGGCAGCGGAGGGTAGCAGGCTCGGTAGGTAATGCGCTGCGATAACCGGATATGCGGACAGATTACGTAGGCAGCACGCACAGCCACCGTCCAAGGACCCAAGCTGGTCACTGCTGGTGAGGGTGATTGTGGCAGACAAGAGGTAGAGGCAGTGGTAATAGGTGAGAGATGTGGAGTGAGGTATCTGGAGTATATCGCAAGAGCTTGCGGGAGGTGTAGGTATGGGAGGTTGTACTGCAGTCTATGCCGCGTAGAGCCTCAGTTAGGTGTTGCTCTAGGAAAGCGGGAAGGCCTCTCAGGGACAAGGACGGCGTTATTACCGTTCCAAACGTGTCATCGGCTGATACATGGGTCATACAGGGGCAATACAGTTAACGCCCAGATAATGGTAAGGGTACCGCGTTCTTGTCGTCCTTCAGCTTCGTTTATATTGTTTGTCTCTGGTATTACATACATAGTAAACTAGCGTATCAAACTGTTTCATCTCGGGATTGGGTTGAGCGTTACCATAACTAACGAAAATGAGGCGAAATACTTTGTCAGCGGATGTACGGGAATTACTAGGTCGGTATGGTCACGCCACCGGAGCGTTTGTCCAAGGTTGGTATGTAACTACCCCGTAAAGGCTAACTAACTAGTTTAGTTAACTATAACTAGAGATAATATACCTTAGTAATACACTGTGACACTCTAGGCAACTAGTCTTGGCGGAAGTTAGTCATTTGCACAATTCAGTGTTCTGGATTCTGGATCCGTTTTGGTTGGTTTTGTACACTAGTTAGGCCACTGAATTACATACAGAGGGTTTGTACGGAGTAATAGAATAGTGTGGAGAGCTTTTCCATCTATTGGCCTACTGGAATATGGGACTGTCATTGGCATACGGAGTACGGAGCAGAAAGGGCGCAGTTGAAGGGATCTTTCTATATGCGTTCTTACTTTTCCTTTTTCTTTAAAAGGATAACATTCCCAAGAAAGGTGTAAAATTGCATAATTTGGATATGACTTGGCAGCACATATAACAAAAACGATGCAACGTCACAATGACTGGAGGGAGCTCTGCAAGAAACATTATTATCAACCGTTGGGAAATAGGAATTGAATTCAATCTATCTTCACCGATACAAACATTCCTAGAGGCATGGAAGAGCAAACAAGGTTCTCCAAGAAAACTTAATTTACAAAAACTAATACGTAATCGGAGGATGTTTTGCCATGTGGATCTCGATACTTGCAGTACTTCCCAGCCACAGATGCGGAGATTCAGCCACCAATCTGGACGCAAAGTCATGTGACCACAATGTCAAAATCCGCGATGAAACAACAAAGAAGTGATATCAAAGAATTCACATTCTCCGGAAAATCTTCCAGAAACTCCTCAACTTGAATGACGGCTGAGAACGCTGTCTTGTGGTGTCTAAGTACAGCCTTTGGGGTATCAGCGCCTATTCTCCTCAGCCGCCAGCCAGTAGAAACCTGGCTTGGGCAGAAAGATTTAATTAAGGGGGTACGTTCTGTGGAGAAAGAAAAAGCTCTTCAAAAATGGATATCGCTATGTAATAGCACTTCTTTGCAAATTGCCAGCCGATGGCTGGATGCTACTTTTCCAACAGGATTATACTTTCATGCCTGAACAGGCTAACAGCCGTGGATATTTCACCGAGTGAACTTCTAGACTGACATATCGAATCGAAACAGATGGAAGTATCTACAAGATTGGAGACAACACAATCCATCGCTGGAAACCACTGCTTGGGCAACTCGCAAATCAAGCATGTTAAGTGACTTCACTGTTGGCTGGCAGCCTATTTTGGGGCTGCCTTTGTCAAATTCATTCAGGGGTAAGAAATAGTGTGAACGAAATATTGAACTGCTATTTGGCTGAAGCTTGAAAGGGTAGATAAATCTTTTCCTCTGTGGAATATGCCATTCGTCATTCAAGATCCACGGCAATATCGGTCGAATCTGCGTTTGACTATCTTCCGACATTGAAGCTGGTAACAACTTGGTTATCCTGAGAAGAAGGGGGAGGATGAAGAGACGGCTTTAAAGGAGGCAAGCTAAAGACCTTGGCGGACGGAAGATGTGATCATATTTGTATTTTCACCAATGGGTCGAAGGATATCATTTGGACGGCGTGCCGATTCTGGCACTGGAATGGCTGAGATATTTGACTCGATACACCTGTGCCCTTAATATAATCAAGATAAAAGTATGGGAGAAGGTCTATCTACAGCCTGGGCCAACTGGCGCTATTAATATAAACGGGTATTCTACCTCTATAGTCTGTAAGATGGGGGTGTGGCCACTCAGAGCATCCCATTTTCGTCGCTGTTTTAAGCTCAATGCTGTCCACGTGACGTGAAACCTACGCTGCTTTTATTTCAGTAACACACCTCGCATCTCTTGTCAGCAGCCATTTTCCACATACATACTCAAGAGACAGCGATAGTCGCGATGTCGTATCTACAAGCTATCGATGCTCGGCCTCGTTGTAGGATGGTGATGCTCTACTCCTCACAATGTATAAATTCGATGTCCTCCGCTCCTTTGAAGCATTTCCTTCGTTCACTCTCAGTGATACTGTCTCTACTGTCTTCGCACCCAGTTATTAACGCTGCTCCTTTCCAGTCTCCTTATGCTAGTTACTTTCTCCGCTTCCTCCTGTTATCCGAATGACATGTTTTCCCAATGGACTTGCTTATGGAAGCCCTCCAACCCACCCACCAAGGAGAGCCGACGTGCCTGGAAGAAGATAGTCGAGGAGCTCACCCCAGATGAATACCGTGCGAGAGACACCGTCAGATTGGCTCGATTCCAGGTCACAGGCAAGAAATATGCCAATGCCACAATTACTGCCATCAATCGTGTTCAGCGCTTCTGGGATAGGTGAGCCTCATGCATATTGGATCCATGGTGGAATCTGCTGACATCTCTTGTGAAGACACTGTTCATTTATGGGGGTTGATGCCCACTCTCACCTTTCCGCATGTGTGGACGAGAACTTCTGAGTCTATGCTGATTGGAGATTGGAAAATTTCAACATCACCAAACAGAGTATGATTTGGGTTGAATGGAAATTCCTTCAACTGCTCTTTAAAAGGGAGACAGGTCAAAAGGTGGATGAATTGGTGGGCGAACTAATCAGTGAGGTAGAAGCCCAGCCCAAAACATCATTCTCCTCATTTCTAATTCTCAGTATTAGTTCATCCTGGGTCCTCTGACTGATGAGTACGATTTGGACCTGTCAATCAATTACAAACCAGTAGTGAGTGTGGAAGACCTTGTGGCCATTCTCCACTACCACTGGTGTTTGGATACAGCATCCGTTACCCATGAATGATATACCCTGCAGAATTCATTGCTCATGTTGTTTATCGCCTACACCTCAACGCGGCCCAGAGCACTCATCGAGAGTGGTTGTCTCCATGGTTCCAATGATGCCCTCTGCTATAAGGATATTGTGCTGCGTGTGATTCCTAATCCAGATCAACCAGACTGGCATGTACTTGTGATGGAAGTATATCTGATGTTCATGAAGGGGAAACAGAACAAGTCACAACTGTGAGCTCTACCTACCTGGCATTTTATCTTCAAAAACCTCACTTGGACAAGGACAACCTATATTTTTCACAAATGAGATGACAACCTCACGCTTTGTCCTGTCTCCCACTTCCTTGCCCTGGCACTGGCTGATGATGCATTCAATGCAAGAGGCATCAACTCAGTTGAAGATGTGCTCCGCATTTGGTTATGGCGCCCCGTAACAGCCTGCATCTGAAATGGAAACCCCACATGCTCAATATCCCCGTGTTCCGTCGAGCCGTACATGCCGCAGAGGGGATTCAGATCTCTCCAGACAAAGCTCTGCCCTACGACACATTCAACCAGTATCTCCAACGCCTGGGACGCAATGCAGGATTCGAGCACAAGTTGACACCATATTGTATCAGGCGAGGAACCGCCAACGTGGTTGACAGTGAGTATTATCATCGGCATCTCCACACTTTCAGCCAACAGTGTTCTGATGTTTCCATGCTCAGCTGTTGCAACCACCAGTGAGTGTAACCAAGTCATGGGCCATTCCCGAGCGGATATCTTTGAACACTACTATATATCAGTAAAAGTTAAGCAGGATGTGCAGTCCGCCTACCTTGGCTGTCCTGCCTGAGAGTCCATCATCCAGGCTGTTGGAAGGTTCAGCCTCACACACGATCCTCATGCTCCGAAGGAACTTAGCAATGAGCAGAAGGAGGCAATCAAGTGGGATCCTCAGCTCATCAAGCTGTGTGACTGGCAGCGTTCCTTGCACAAACTTATTGAGAGAAAGCACAGTTCAGTCCTGAAATCCAAAGACACAGCGCTGCATCGCGAGTACACAGAGCTTGGGGATACCATCAGGGCCAAGAAACAGAACCTCCACCGCGAGGTGTTTGAGGAAGTGAGACAGGAGTTCTTCACAACAATCGACACCATCAAGATCAAGAGGCAACTTCTAGGATTGCCTGTTAGCGAGGGGTTCAAGGTGGACGATGAGGACAAAATCCAATTTGTATTCAAGGAGTGAGCGCGGCTCGCTCGGAATCTCTTCCGCTCATCAGACTGTCGAACCGAAGACCAACACGAGCTTTACGTCCGCCGGGTTCAAACAATCCAGGATCGGGTTTCACTCTGCAGCTTACGCGAGGAGCCGCACAAGCGGAGAGTCTCATCTGCCCACTCTGTGGTTGATATTGCGTTCGACAGTATCATTGACGCTGACACCTTTCCCATCTTATGTCCAGGTACTCAGTGTCTCTTCTGTCTCGGAGATAGCCAGCTGCCACACTCCGCGCGGATGTACTCCTTTTCACAACCTGACCACCTTTGAAGACATGTCCAAGATTGCCACCTCCGCTACCTTGACTCCGATGCTCTGCTCTGGTGTCCTCACCCGTCGTGCCCGGATGTGCTGGATGGCGTTCAAGATTTTCAGGGGCACGCGCTCATGGTCCACAGCGTTTACGCGTGACTGATCGCGTCTCTATATCGTCTGCCTGGTTAGAGTTCTTGTAGCGAAGAAAAACCGTCGTTAAGAAATTAACATAGAAACCCATGGATAGATATACAATTGATGAGTCACTAGACATTCTTCGACCCCGAACGGTTAAGCCATCACAGCATCTAGAGGACTAGTGGAACTTTGAACAATGTAGGAGCTGGACATATCTTGGTCAACGCAAGATCGATGTCTTTCTTGTCAGTAGGAAATATTACCGTAATTGCAGCACCCATCCAGATATTCCCTCGTATGCCGATGAAGAGCAGCGTCTTATATCGCGGCAGGCATCCTCCCGTCATTCATCTCTGGTTGCCCGGCTCGTCTCGCTGTTCGACACTTGGGTTAAGAATAGCCTGCCTCTACAGAGAATATAGGGCTTTAATATTGAACAGGAGCCTATATTCAGATTTCCAAATGGATTTCTAGCTAGATTTCTAGGGTGCGCAAGAACTTATTTTCCACTCCTCCACGCCCCTCCCATGAGAAGCTGGCCCACGCAAAGCATCACAGTGCAGCTGTGTTATTTTTATTCGAAAACGCGTTGGTGCAATTCTAATTTCTTTATACGACGACGAATATTTGATGAAACAAAACAAAGCAATGGATTTGTACGAAAAGCACCTCAGACCCCCGTTTAAAGGAAGGGATATCGCCTCCCATTAGATTCTCTCGAATCTTCGGTAGAATCTCTTGGATCTTCTCCACTGTGGCAGCGGGGGTTCGACCATCCAACACCGCAGCGAGAAGCTCATGGTAGAAAATACCAGTCTTTTCGCGCAAACGACTTATTACACACCGGGCAATTGACATATTTTTCTCCTGTGTGTTTCTTTCCGTGGCGTGAGGTGTGACCGGGGGTGGTGAATGTTGACTTGCATGAATGTGATGCAGCGTGTGGACATGGATATTTCTTTTCCCTCGTGGACACTCGTTGGGCGGAAATTTCAGTTTTCTGGAGTCGATAGAGCGCGCGTTCATGGTAGCAGCATGCCGCATCCACAGTTGTCATTTGCTGCTGCGCGCCACCCATATACATTGAAAAGAAATCAGCCAGAGGTATGACCCATAAGCTGGAAAAATCTTACTCTGTGTTGGAAATTGACCTTGCTCTGGGTTATCAACGGAGGCTGAGATCTCTTCCTCAAATCTGTTAATGCAACGGCAGCGATCACCGTCCTCTCTCCCTCATCTGGAGGATTCAAAAGAGATCGGGCATCCATTCCTCAACAACTCGCCGCTGGCAAAGAATAGCGTGTCTGTAGGATGACCGGCACAGATAGAACTGGTTCGCTGAAGCAGGGTCAAAACGGTTCTTGTGCTGAAGTGCACTGGCTCTTGTTAAATCCCGATTTCTCTTTGCTCTTTGTCGCCGATGAAATATTTTGACCAACTGGACAGTTAACCACACCGCGGCTATTACAACTGTCCAGAAGGCAGCGCCAAGCAAGATAAAAGGAAGGGTAAAAACTAGAAACCAGCTTAAAAGTCTTTTGAAACGGGGGCCGAGGAGATGGTTGAGATTGGTCATTTGTTTTGGATTCTGTAATCCCATGCCGGCTAGCATTGTGTATGCACAGAATAAGAGATGAGGGATGGGTGGGTGCAAGGCCTCTCTTTATGCAGTCTAGAAAGAGACACAGCAAGGTCCAGAGTGCAAGCCAGTCTTACCTTGACCGCATTGCTTCCCGCCTGGGGACCTCAGATTGGGCCGCTGGAATTTGTTAGCACAGGAGACCATGAACAAACGGTTCGGATCTTCGCTTCGCCCAACCCAGCTGGAGCCAATATTTTGCATAGCCATTCATGCCCAAAATACAGGAGGGCTGAGGGCATTGGCTTATGTATGATACCATTCATTTACATGCGCCAGTAGCATATCCACCAAGCAACGACCTAATCGCTCTGAGTGGATGTTGCTTGGAGATTTGGGATCACTTTGGATGAGTTGAGATTTTATTAATACAACTTGAAAAACATTATTATGCACTATGGAACATGGCAATATATGCTAGATCATGGATCTTCCTCCAATTGCTCCTGGCTTTCTGCGCAAACAACTTGTACATCACCCATCTTTTCCTGAAGGTACTCTACACCTTTACGAAGCTTGACATCTTCCGATTCACAACACAATACACAATAAATATATATACTTGAGCTGCAACGCATGTCCGTAGTCTCCCCACAGGTCAGATATATAGCATCTAAAGTCGTTTAATTCCCACTTTTCTACATCCATACCCAAAGCGCATGACGTAAAACCGGCCAACCTTTCAAACGACAAAGAAAGCCTGCGGAAGGCTGGGGAGAGGTCTGGAAGATATTTTCGTATGTCATCAATTGTCTCGGCGTCGCGAAGGCGCTGGATAGGTTCTTCCAGGTTGGTAATATTTTGTTCAATATCCTGTCTCGTTTGGAGTAACGCGCGATAGAGATCATCCAGGTTGGCAATATTGTGTTCAATATCCCGTCTCGCTTGAGCAACGCTATCGAGAGATTCCTGAATAAGGTGAGTATTAAGAAACAACAAACTTGCGGAAGGGCTTAACTTACCATGATGGAAAGGCAACTTGAAGCTGATATGCTCTTTATGAAAGTCTTGGTATTCGTGGTCCTGTGAAGCTCCCGTGGATAACGATTTGTATTTTTGCTATATGAGTGTGGACGAACATGGCTATTCTTATAGCTGCTCAGAGCCTCACAATTAGATGATTGACTAAAAGATGCATGGCAACGGGCGAGTGTTGATCATCGAAGCAAGAAAACATTTAGGTCGATTTGGTACTTATTGCACGGGCTACATCGGGGGTATGCCAGAAGGCAGTTTATGGGGACCAGTGCATGCAACCAGCATGCAAATGGGATGAGCGATGCATCTCATTTTTAGCAGCCCACTCATCGATCCCTGGTCAGCAAATGAGGCGTTTGTGCCAAAACTGCGCATGGATCCTGGCAGGGGCACACTTGTAGGGGAAAAGAATTGCTGCTCCAATGAGTGAAGAATAATAGTTATTAGCAAGACGGCAAATAGTAAGATTAGATGGTACGTACCTCCGGATGTGAATGGGATGGGTGGAACAAGCTCAAGGTTGCCGCTGTCATCCACTCTTCGAAATACGACCAATTCACGATTGGTAAGAAGAAAGCCGTGTCGAGAATTATGCTATCTCATATACCAGTTGACCTGACTGAGTGCTTGGCGATACTCGTTGCGAATTCCGAGGAGTGGGTGGGTTGCAAGGGCTGTGCTCCATTTCCACGATGGCTTGACATCTCCTGGAGCGCGGTTTGGACCGGTGCCTGCTGGCAGTGCGACCGCAAAAATAAGCGGTGTCTGGCTTGAAAGCATCGATAACTTCGGCGCACTCTCCAACATCAAACGACACGGGAGTGAGGTCGTTTCATTTGGTTGATTGCCATCAACCAGTCAAACCCAGCTCGAAGAGCCCGTCGCACTCTTGGAAAGACATATTCTGAGATCTTGCTTCTAAGAGCATTCTCTGCTGTTATAGCACGGGGTGGGGATGTTCGGCATGGGGTCTGGTAGAAGCCGTGCTTGAACCAAGAGATTCTGATAACTTTGAAGAAGTTGCGTTCAAGTTGAAGCCATGCCAAACCCCTATATTGTGGATGTCGCTAGCTTCGTATGCTGTGTTGGTGGTGTTGCGCCCAGGGTTTGGAGGTTGGATTGACTGGAATCGCTGGTAAGGGCACTTTGCAGGTAAGGTTAAGAGGGGATACCTGGGTTCGCCATATTGAGCAGGAATCAATATTCACTATTCGGTCAAAAGCTTTTCGCAAGTCCGCTAGCCGAGGAAAATCGTAGTCTTATAAGTTCTGAAATGTATCAGCATATTTGGTTTCAGGGTAAGGTCATCGGCCAGATTGTATGAAAATCATCGAGTGTTAAACAATTACGTTGCTCACGTCCATTTATCTCCAGCCACGTCTAGCTACTCCGTAGGTTGCTGCCTAAAGGCACTCAACGTTTTTGTACGCGTGAGTCCACTTGCTAGTTAACAACATATTTCATCACTTTCTTCGAGCGGGTACATATGAAACAAACAAGACAAAACATACTAAAGTCACAATCCATCTTTCGTACCAGAGACCCCGAGCCCAACTTTCGAGATCCAGGTAACGATGGAGCTTAACAATATCAAACCTTCCGAAATTGTTTTCAATGGGAAGCTTTTTGCCTCCGATTATTCCGTGATATTTCTTGTTATGGTTCATGACCAGGTATGTGTTATGAAGGTGGTAAGTAAGATCCTCCGAGCATTGTTGAGTTCTGATACTGATGGTAACAGTATCACGGTCGAGGGCCACGACGGTACTACGAACCGAAAGATCGTGAGTTGGATATATCCATGTGCTTGAGTCTGCCGCCTATCGGCGACTAAGAGGATTGAGGGTTGTGTGGACGTGGAATTATCCCTCGTTTCCTTGGGACGATGGAGAAGTTCGATCCGAAACCAATGCCAACTTTACCACCTGAAAATGTTCCTCCATGATAAATACCTTCCTAGCGCTATTTTTCTGGAGTACATACCGAATCTTGAGATGATTCAACTGCACAACTATACACAGAAATGAATGGACAACTTTCTCAGGGGCATACAGGAGATACACGGAGCAGGAGTACGGCACAGGGATCCGAAACCTAGGAACATGATGATCGTCAACGGCGATTCGGAAAGAGTTGTTTGGATAGATTTTGATTGAGCAGAGACTTACAACCTTCCAGTCACCGATGAACAAAAAAGGCTTTTGGACGAGGAGGAGGAGATTGTGCGTGGCTTCTGGGACTGTTTAGTAAGTGCTCTGCACCAATTGCAGCTCGTCTAAGGGGTTTCGCGACCCATTCTAAATCTCATTATCTACTGCAGCAAGCCGATTGTACAAAAGGGAAACCTGATGAAGCGTACTTTTTCTACTGCACTTGATCGAATCCTCTCGTGTCACGCGTGAATAACGAAAAAGGCCATCCCCATTGGGTATATATGTGCCCGACGCATGGTTGAAGCTGCTTAATCAAAACCGGCTAATATACTCCAATAGTATCTTTTCCTCTACTTCGCTACAAATTCTTTCGCATATGGCTCATATCCCACCATTCCCGCATCATCATGGTTTAAACAATTATGTACTGTATGGATGAATTGGTATTTGAACGCTTAGCTATTTTTGTCTCAGTGATCAGCAGCTGAGGCTTAACGAAAGCATGGACATGGCGCGGTAACGCTTGAATTCCTGCGTAGCGGAAATTTGCACCGTGGAGGAGGGAATGAGCTCGCATCTGTAGTCAAACGTTTCCATCAATCACTCAATGCTTTCGTCACGCCGCGGTCGCGAACGGTCCGCACCATTTCCACAAGTGCACTCCTAATATCTATGCCAGAGAATTTTCCAAAACACTCGTGAGACTAGCAACATCCCGATCTTCTTTGTAGATCGGTATTAGTAGGGATAGAAAGGCGCACTTTTCGGCCTTGGCTGGGTTTGCAAACATATATTTGAGGTCATGAATCATAGATAACGTCACCAGCCAAGTCGGTAACGACATATTTAAACCGTCGTCTACCCCTCTCCCGCTTAAAAAAAGTGTGTCCCGTTATTTGTTAGAAAGCGGACCTTTTCACCAGCCTAAAGCATGTAAGAAGAAGCTCTCTCTCTCTCTCTCTCTCTCTCTCTCTCTCTCTCTCTCTCTCTCTCCCCGCTTCTCATCGGGCTACAATCCAACAACACTAAAACAAGGACATCATATCTCTCCACACGCCCCAGCTCGTGCCAGCTTCTCTACCTGGCTCCAGCTCCAGATACCGCTCCAGATTGCCATCGCTGTGGCGGACCGGGTATTCTGGAGATAACTCACTCTTCAAATCGCAAGGGAAATGCAGGGCGTCCCCTACTATAAATGTCAATCCTGTGACAAGTTTCTGGTTTTCAAAAGACGAGCGCGGCAATGACCCACAAAACTCGCAATGCCATTTTGGAGTTTCAAGTAAGATGCAAGTCGCTGGACGTGAAAAAAAAGGTCTCGAGAGGACTGCACTATGTTTGCAGACTGGGAAATTGCGATTTCTATGATACAGCGCGGGATTAACTCAGAGAGTCAACTGGCATTAGACGAAGATTGGATGGTTTGACATGTTTATTCACTTCTGTGTGATCTAAAATTGTAAGATGGCACTTTCGAGGGCGGGACCAACTACTACCGTATTTGCTACTTGTTTGTCTGACATCATCTTTTCTATACTATTAGGCTTGAAAATTTTTCACCTCGATGTATTTTCTCCCTCACTGTATCCGGCTGAATCTTTTGAGATCCAGATTGCACATGCTTTGGAAGAGAAGGCCTATGCCAAGAGATCTACGCGCTAAGCCAATGGTTTGTACGTAGTTGGGATAGGACGTAGTTACTTTGTTCTAGGATTGCTGTTATGACTAATCAATCCATTTTGGGTCAAGGTGCTTATGTGAGCTGGCACAGTTACGCTGTCACAGATCTGTTCGACACAAAGGTCCCTTTGACCTTGTGCCCGACTGACCTGTGTCAGTTAAAAACATAGAGCAGTGATCACAGGACCTATCCTGGCCTATGACCTTTGACCGAAGTTCTCTGAAGATACAAACCATAGCAGATTCTGTGGCAGACAAACCATTACACTTTCAGACCCATGCCCAACTGTTTTATATATAATAGTTTCTAGATCAATAACACATTACATATAAAATTGCTCAGTAACGACTTTTTTGCCACCTGTTCTGCAGGCTTAAACCTGTTGGGAACGAAGTCAAAGCTGTCTACTTGGTTTCTTGCTTGGCTGGAAACCAAGAGTGACTTGTGTCTGTTCCTTCTTTCTCTCGCTACCCGAAAACAATCGGAAGGTCTGATGTCCCGGCTGTCTTTGTCGCACGGGGTGAATCCGAACCTTTTTCGCCGGTATTTCATCACTAAGCCGCTCCTCAACCACGGAACAACGCCCGTTCTGATCGATTTCGGCGGGGGTCGACTGATACTGTGTCCGCCTCCCTCCAATTCCCCCGTTCGAGAATTTTAAAAACGATTCTGATCCTCCCCTGACCTGACGCAGCCTGTGATGATGCTTCGGGACGTGGTTCGCCAGAATGTTCATCTTTTTCGGACCTTTGTCCGAGTAAACTTCTCCGGTCAAGCTGGGTGACTCGTTTGGAGGCATTTTCTATCTGCGCAGATGCGTCCTGCTCTGGATGTGCTGCTTGCGCAAACAACTCGCTCTCTATCTACTTCTTCCACGTAGTCTTCTGCTTCACAGGGTTCTTGTTGGTTTCGCGCGGTCGCTCCATGTGTTTAGCCTGTCCTGTTCATCATCATTCCAGTGTCATAATAAGAATCATCTGGAAAAAATTCTCTACCTATCATCCAGGAGCTAACTTTTGACCATTAAAGCTTAAGCTGTTTCTTGGCGCGTTGGTGCGGCTTGCATTTCTGCACTCCTGCGAAAAAGCGATTTTGCAGTTTTGCATTTTCACTTTTTTAGCGTTTTGTACCCAAACTAGCAGGCGATTTGGGTCAACATACATGATTCGATGGTCATCGCGTGTATGCTGTGGCGTTTATGGCTTCCATCGATCGAAGCAGGAGTAGGACCCACCACAAAGCCCCACCAAAAGCCCATGCCCCTTCGCGGTCTTGGACGCCAAACCGTGATTTGGTTGATTTGCATGGCTCTGACATGCCCCATGTTTATCCAGCTAAAAGCCACGGACGCCACGACGTGGTGTCCCGACAATGACACGCCATCGTAGTGACAAAGGGCATGGAAAGAAATCCAATTGTTAAGCTCTCACATTAGCGAGTCTCTTAAAAGGCATCAGATTAATAGGTGAAAAAAGCTATCCTAGCACAGAAGTTGTCCAACCAAGGTACGATGAGATGCATTGCGCTAGTCCCGTAATAGGAATCGAGAGCCCAAACAGCAGCCTAAAGCTTTAGCCGCCAAGAACCGGCGCAGCTGGTTCGGTATAGAAGAAGACCTGCTGGGGTAGCACGATTCTGTTTATTCTCACAAAACTTAAAACATATACGAACATCCAAGGAAAGGCCTACAACATGAGAAAGTCCAGCGCAAAGATATCGTTCTGGGTCTGTAAACTTAGAAATGTTCTCAGGACAAAGGTATACAGGAGTAATACAAGAGAATGCCTTTGTGAAACATAGGGGATTAAGAACTTTCAGAAGTAACATCTATTTGCATATACGGTGGTGTCAAGCCCATATGTGTAATAAGAAGAGATTCTTGAAAAGCGATGTTAGTCTTGTTTCGGCTAAGCACTGTACTGACTGACCAATGACACAATCTGTCACAAGTGAGGAAGACACGTGGATAGAGAGGCATGAAGAATGACCTAGGAAGAGGTATACATAGCGCATTGTTTCGCTCTGAGACAATGGTGCAACCAATAAAATAAAAAAGATACATATCTAACTCCAAATCAGATATCCCTTGACAAAAGTGGCAAAGGGCGGAACTATACACAGGGGCATAAATAGATACCATATTCTATACGCTGGAGCAAAATCCAGCATCACACAGCCAATCAAAGATACAGTCCAAAATTTCATATATCTCTACCAAATGCCATGTCAAGCGAGAAAAAAGGGAGAAGATATAAAAATAAGGAGATGCAAACCACGATGACACACACGGCCATCCGTAATGTTAATATTTTCAACTCTTCCCCGTCGGCCCCTCCCGAATCCGCAACACAAAGTTCACAATGACAACCGCAAACAGCGCGACTGCCAATATGGTGGGGCCAAACCTATCATCGAACCCGCCCTGACCTCGCTTACGGATGCTCTTCGCCCGCCAATGAAACGTCACCAGCGCATATATCATGGCCGCCATGGCCACAAAGGTAAACAGTGCGGCGCTGATTTGGCCAACACGGTCACCGAAGTTGAGAAGCCCCAATGCTAGGCCACCTAGAAGAACGGTGAAGTTGAGCCATGAGAGGAATGTTCGTTCGTTGGCGAAGAAGACTTTTGGTTCGACGCGGGTGGGGATGGCGATGCGTTTGCCTGCATGGTTCAGGGAGGTTATGTGTTAGAATGAATTGACAATCTTTAGGAGGATGGTACATGTGCGAAAGTGCGAGGTGCCATAAAAGGAGTAGCTTGTTCAGCTCCAGCGGAGGTAAGATTGACATAACGTACCTGGACTAGACTGGAGGAGAGGCTGGGTCGACATATTTTAATTTCAATGCACTTGAATATGAGGGTATTTGAAAGCTGCAATGTTTGGTCCAGGAATTCGGTGATAGACGACAAGATAAACAAGAGACATAAACGGCCCAAAATAAAGCATATACAGGATATATGAGAAAAAATGGGCTTCCCAGGTGATGTCCCGCCTCTACGGCGTGAATTGGATGACGGTGTAATTGTGTACGGCGCAAGAAGCTCTGAGAGCTCAAGTCTCGAGTGAGTTGAATAGGAAGCTCCATGCTCCGTCATTGTCACGTGGAGGTGAGTTTAATTTTGGTTGGCTGAATCTGATGTGGCTGCAAAGTGACATCATAGGCTCAGACGTTTGGCAAGCTTAAGAATGTTATTTTTTTTTTTTCTAAGGTGGTAATTGCATTAATATTGTTCACATATATACGTAACATATCCATCCTAACTATTATCTTATCACACTTTTGATACACCTATTTAATCTGGTAGGCGTTTGAGTTCCAAGGTCAACATCTTAATCGGAGATTCTGAAGTTTGTCCTACCACAAGGCCAGTCGCGCTAATATTGGCCAATAAGGTCTCGTATCGCTCATAGGCACATTTGTCCCGATCAGGAAATGCAGCCGAGCTACGGAGTACATTAAACATAGTTTTATTATATCTTCGACCAAAAACAACCTTCGACATGGTTTATAATTAACCATAACAAGCTCCCCCAAAATTAAAACTACTTACATTTGCCATATCACACATATCTCACACTTCTCTTTCTGCTCTTGACGGTAGTAATTATCATTTATCATTATCCCTTAACTAACCCTAATCCTAACCTATAGTGTTAAGAACGATAACGTTAAATGGAGATATAATAGTAATATATGTGGGCCAGTTATATATAAAAATATATATTTAAATCATTGTTTTTTTAAAAAAAAAAATAAAAATAAAAATAAAAATAAAAGAAAAAAAAAAAAAAAGTGGGCCTCACTTTTAAACCAACGTTCAACTGTAACCACCAACATTCTGTCTTTCCGAGTTTTGCATGGTTGTCTGGCTTACCTAAGTTATCTTGAACTGTTTAGTTACATCTTGGGGCGCAGATTCCACCAACATGTTATATACAAAAAACAAACCTCCCTTTCTCGAAGAATAAAGAAATTATCACTGTCTCATATTGACCAAAAGATAACTTTGTATATGCCAACCAACTTAGCTCCATTTCAAAAATTCCTGAGTAATAATGTTCGGTGAAGCTGCTACGGGTAACCTCGTACGTTTGATTCATTGGCTGCTCCTCATGCTGTCAGAGCTTGAGCGGCCGCTTTAAGTTCCCCCCTACTTAGTTTTACATATCCAAGTATTAATTGATATGCATAGCCTGTTCCAATTGCCGACTTGACCAAAATTGCAACTCAGGTATGTCTTTGTCCGGAGAGTTTAAAATAGCCCTGGAGACAATGAAAAACAGCATTGACGGCGACGAAGATATATGACTGACATCATCATTTGTTACCTAGGCATGCGACTCGGCCCTGCAAAATGTTCAGAGTTACGACCACGAACAGGTTAGCAAATGGAGCTCTCAAATAATTGTACGTTTATCCGTCTGTTGCTGGGCACATTGTATATACATCGGCTTCTACCTTCGCTGCTCGTGCCACCCGCCCCTTAATGCCCCCACCAAAATCGGACAATACCTTTTCTGCCTCCATCCCAAAACCTAAAACGAGCAACTTGCAATTTCGTGTGGGATACTAACCGCCAAAAACAATAGAATGAAGTCCTCCAATCACTCATCCAAGCTACGACGCCTGAAGAGTCCACCCCTACGCCTCCCACCTCACCATACCGCTTCAACGTGAACTGCACAATCATACAACAGGGCGTAGCATCGCCTGAAGCAGCAGAGTCGATAGAGAAAGCTGGGAAACGGGGTATGTATTCTGCATCCGGCGCATACTGGGATGTTAAACTCGATGGGATGTGGACGTTTAAGTATCCCAATGCTGAGGATAAGGGGTTGGATCTGGTTTTGAATATTGTATGGTTTGGGACGAAGTCATAAAACTTGATAGATATATCCTGTTTCCTTGTTTGACCCAAGTGATCCTGGGTCCGATTGACGTGTGATGCCTTCTTTTTCATTATTATTTGGTGATTGTGACCGGGGTTTCCCCATGTCTCATCATTTTGTTGGATATTAGCATTATGGGATTTAGGGTGTCAATATACAGCTAGTTAGGTCGGGTGATGAGAACTCGTATGATTGAATGTTGACAATGGTGTTTGGCTTTTTGACTGGAAGTCTACTGTCTCCTTATTCATCGAAACTTCATCATATGCTAACCCTGGGTTAACAAGTGGTACATGCGAAAAGGAGGGAACAAGAAGGCGCCAAAATCCATGTGTCAAAATCAAAGCATTATATTGCGTAGCTGATAAAACGTTTCTTATATCTCAACATAAATACACCATGCGAATTCACATTAATCGCCCCATTCGTTACGGCCATGCCGAGGTATGGGAAAGAAAACAAAGGACATTCATCATGACCATTCCGACGCCTCGCTAACAAATGAAATTAGACACAAGAAAATTGTCATGAAAAAAGAAAACAAGTGATCAAATCATCAATATCGTTAGCCGCTATATTACCCAAAAAAAAAAAAAAAACCTCATGTTTCTCTCCGAACACTCTTACAAATCTTTGACGGTGTCACGTTTATATTTCCGTCTTATCGAGGTTCTGAATAGTCGTTCAACGCCACACAAACCGCACCACGATGGTGTCCACTATATTGACGAATGATTTGGCCAGATGAAAGCTCCCACAGACGAGCGTAATGGTCACTGGAAACAGTGACAAGGTAGGCTGAATCTGCAGAGAATGCGCAATCCCACACCCACCGTTGATGGTTCGCTAAGGTAGCCTCAAGATATGGGGCATTGGTGTTGGGATCTATGGGCGCATCGGACGGGGTAGGAAACAGGTTCGTCGAGCCGTTGGTGTCCGTAAGGGGTTGATTACCCTTCGATGGATCCAGGAATATGTCTAGGGTATGTATTAGCGACGTCCTCTGAAAAATATATGCACCAGTTGAAGAAATACCATCATGAGAAGCGCCATGTTGGCCGTTTGTAATGGGTCTGGAGTCTGTTGCTGCCGCTGCCGAACCCTTGGGTTGTGATTTCTCATTGTCTATCTCTCCATCTGCCCCTTGTGTCGATTCTTCAGTATCCCTGGGCTGCCCATATGCCGGATCGAGCGACCACACTTTGGCAGTATGATCTGCTGAACATGTGGCGAGGTGCTTGACATCCGGAGAAAGTAGAACTCGGGTGAGGTAGTCCTTATGCGCCTGGAATGTGATGAATGGTACGATTTTAGTCAGATCCTGATCCTGGATCATACGCCAGAGATATACATTTCCCTAACGTTCATGTCCCAAATTAGAAAGTTTGCCTTTTGTTTTCACAGGAAAGAGGGCAGGGAGAGCATATACCTTGTTGTTGCCTGCGCACAATAAAGAACCGTCACTTGCAACGCTCACGCTCGCCATGGCAACATCTTCCTCAGGTTGAAGTTGGTGAGTGCATTTACTCTCTCCCAAGTCCCAGACCCGAACAAAGCCGGCACGATCGCATGTTATCAGCTCTCCTTGGTTGGGGTGAATTACGACATCATTGACCGGTGCCTGGTGTACATAATTTCGCTGCAGGGTCCCAATGCGCGTGTCCCATACTTTTACTGTCCCGTCTTCCGAACTCGTGACCATCCATTTGCCTTCACAATGAAATGCAACACCAGTAACATTGTTGGTATGGCCATCGAAGCTCATAACGGGGTTTGGGTTGGTGGACTTGATATCGTAAAGCTTCACATTGTCCCGCCCCGCAGCTGCGACATAACGCTTGTCTGGAGTGATACATAGGCGGTTTACCTGGGAGTCTGAGTGCTGGATTGTTCGCGAGCAAATGCCAGAAAGGGCCTCCCAAAACCTATCGCAGTGGGGTTAACTTCCCCACAAGTCAATCGGTTGAGGAATGCTTAGGTCTTACCGAATTGTATGGTCATACCCAGCTGAGGTAAACACATCAGCTGCTATTCCAAAGGGGTGAAACCAACACCAACTTACCAGTACAGAGAATAACGCTCATCTTGCTCTTAGGGAGGAATAGCTATTATATTAAGGAGAATGCCTATGGTAGAAATAAGACGACAGTGAAACACCTCTTGGTAACATTTGTATTCGTTCAATTCGTGTGGAAACATGTTCCTTTTGACGCTCAAATCATTTGTCCCGCCTTGGAAGAGGAGAGCCGCACGTGATAACGCTGACGTAATTCAGGCACCTGCGTTTCCCCAAATAGTTAGACTCAATTATGATATCAAAAAAAAAAATTAGGTAAAATCGCGGCCAAACTTCCTTTGTTGCTTTGCATTTTGCGGATTCTATGATACAAGACATAGGTGCTTGTCAAGATGTATTCTGCCAAGTTTATTCTTCTTCCATAGGAAACAATTGTCTCTGAGATTTGGCGGAGATTTCATGATCAGTTAGACTATTTCTTGAGGTTTGATAAGTCTGCTGTCATCAAATCAAAATCCGCCATCTCTGGTTGTTACCAGATCTCAGACGTACTTTTATCTTCGATTACTTGCTGGCTAGTGGTTTTATTTGATTTCAATTAAGCTCCTTCTAGTTGTTGAGCGTAGGCTTTCCATCCCTCAAGAGAATGGATCGTCTTAATTGTGGCTTAGAAGGTATTTATGCTTCTTCATACAGCTCATCTATTTCTGCTCCACAAAATACCCAAGATCTTTCTTCTTGTTGGCCCGTTATGAATCAAGCTCCAGGGCTTACACATCTCCCTGGATCACACCTACAGCAGGCCCGTCCAGTTAGTCCTGAGAAGACGTCAGCTTCCGAGGCAGATGACCAGCCTTCCGCTGCCTCGGACGCCTCACCTCGACAACAAAGCCTCGATAGCTTGTTTGCATACGAGGGAACACCGGTCGAACAGCCATGGGGAAACCAGTTTATGGATAGCCTATACTGCGATGGGTCCCTTATCTCCTATGATGTTAGGCACAATCCGTCAGCATCAACAAAACATAGAACCGAAACTGGGCCAGTTCATGGCAATGAAACCCTAGCATTTGAGGCTACTTTAGGAACAGAGGATATCCCGAACCCCAAGCCTGTGACTCCAACCGGGAATCAACATGGTCATGATATCACGTCCAGTAAGAGATCGCTTGATGAAGTCGAAAATTTGTCTCATCTCTCCGACAACCAGAATGGTAATGATACACGCCCTTCGAAGATGCAGCACATTGAGAGAAATTCCCCATCCCGTGAAGTCTCACATACTTCGACTGTTACGTCTGTTTATCTGGAGCTTGAGAACGACCAGCCAACCGATGTTTCCGCCTTCCCTCCCAATTTTCAATTCCCAGAACTTCCCGAGATCCCTGGCTTGTGGTCGTCCTTCGAACTCCCTGGAGGGTGTGACTTTAATCCTCTAAATGCGAATAGATCCACTGACAGCAGTGGCTCGCATGATGCCGGTTTTCCTCCTTCCACCCAACTTCAAACGACCATACCACACCATCAAATTGCTAGGCTTGACGAAAATCCTAGCAATTCTGGGCAGATAAGCAGTCCTGAAGATGGACAGATGGTTGGTTCGGAATCGGAAGCCACTATTAGTACGTCTTGTTCATCGAATCGTTCTTCCATGACATCGTTATCAATAGATCAGCATGAAATTTGCACCTCTGATAGGGACCAACTGTCCCTTGACAGACTGAATGGGTCCCATTCTGAAAGAGAGCAGCCCCCGGATTCTCTATTTGGCGATGGAACGTTTCCAATTGATATTTTTCTAGCGGAAGAGATTTCCAAAGGCAACGACACTCGGCATTTAGAGGGGGCCTGTCCTGTACAGAATAAATCGGCCCATATCCAATTTGTCGAAAACGACATCACCAAAAACTTCAACCTTGGACCGGAGGATATCCTTGCTACCCAGTACCGAGAGATTTTCCGTCACGTCCCAAAACCAGAGGAGTACATTTCCCCGTACCCCAAGAAATGCGGACCCCTAGGTTATTTTCCTTCTACCCCGGTGCTACACACTAGGTGTATTGAGGTTGCTCCCGAAGATGTGGCGAAACAGCTTAAGGAATACCACCGGAAGCTCCAAAAGGTTACGTCCGAACGATCCAGGTACAAAAATGCGTGGATTGAATGGAAGACAGTAGATCCTGCTACTGGGAAGAACAAGGAGCAGAAGTTGAAGGATGAGCCATTTCGACTAAAGCGGGCTCTAATGGCCCGGGAAAGAAAGTCTGAAGCCTTAAAAAAAGAAACTGAGCACTGGCGTAGTCAATTCAGCAATCTCGCTTTGGCATATAATGAACTAGTCAAACATTTGAACATGCTTCAGGCCTCCCAGATCCCTCAACATTTGACAGTAGTTGCCCAGCCTCACCCAGGACATCCAACGCCTGTGCCATCGCCAGTGCCATCGCCACAACCAGAACATGGTACCGCTACTTTATCCGTTCATCCGCCACCAGATCCCCAAACACCAGTTCGGCCGACCTCGCAACTAGCACCTGTCACGATTGATTCAACCGATGATGAACCCAGCAACCAGAATACCAACAATCCAACTTCCCCTCCATCGGATCGAGAGGAGCGTTCCAGAATTCATCGGTCAGAAGAACTGCGAAATGCTCTGCTTCGCAAGGAATACCAATGGCTAGGGAATAAAAGACATAGGTACAGGCCTATATTGCCAGCAATACCATGTTCTGGTCATGGCTGGAGGCCAGAATCGACGAGCGGATCGCACAGAAATCTACTTATGTCAAACCCTACCAAACCGCCGAACAAGTCCACTGGAACTTCTATTTTCGATCACCCTGAAAATTCAAGGATGTTGACAGAGAGAGCTTCATGTAAATCTAATGTCGAGGACGACGAACTGGCACAAATGTTGGATACAGAACTTGATGGCTCTGGACCAGCGGAAGGCTGATCTATATGTGTCAAGCATGTCCTGTCCTGACCGATTGTGTTTTTTCGTTTTAACCTGCAAAGTTTTGTGATACATTTTTGGCGTTTGATATTCTTAACCTTTTTTCCTTATCATCTCGCATTAGATACCAATGTTTCCCCTTTCCCCTTCTTCTATTTGCCTTTCTACATCGAATACTCTTCTTAAGTATCATTTTTTCCTTGACTATTCCTACACCTTGTTCCATCTCCAGAGGCCCTTGTGTAAATTGTGAATTTCTACACGATACAAATATACTGCAGCAACCACATACCTCAGTGAATTGCCGTTAATATCCTCTCTTACTAAGCAAACAAGTTCCATACTGGGCTTTTCATGGGTTGTTCAATTCTAATATGTGAAATCCCCAGGTTTCCGAACAATAAAGCAATGCTAGGGTTGTGTAATAATTCGATAGAGGTTAGGAAATAAGATTGATCCTTAGAAAGCGCGCCATTAATAAGTATCTCTTTAGCCGGGTTTCGTCGAATCTAGTTGAAAACCGATAAAGGGAGCCCATGATGCCAGCAGAAGCAGTCATAAAGAGTTGGAATGGAGCTGGTGATATCAGCCGGGCCATTGCCGTGAAACTCGCAGAGTCACACACGATTGTGTGGTTTTAGTCGATATCGTCGGGAAAAACAAAAGCGAACGAACTTACTACCACGCTTAGCAAGAGCAAGGTTGAAAATAGAGGACCGTAAAATCATGAAAAATCTTACCCCCCTAACCTGCGACATCACGGATCACGCCAAAGTGGCCCAGCTAGCCCTAAAATTCCTTGCCATGGATGGCGACGTGTACACCCCTGATCAACTCCGCCGGCGCCATCATATTCCGACTCGCTGGGCCCCAATGATGACCCCGAAACACTGATAGCGCGAAACGGCCGTGAATTTAGACGCCTCGTTCTTTTTCTTCCGTGCTTTTATCAACTCCCTCAAACGTCGTGCCAGACGCAGCGCGTTGTCAACATAGCTTTCGTCAACGGCCTCGCCGTGTTCGGGAACCCGGGATACAGCGTAGCCAAGGCCTGGTCTTGTTCATCTTACTCGATCTTTGCAGTTGAGTATGCGCAGTTAGGCATCGCGTGTTAAAGCCAATCCACAAGTTTTTGAGGAAGCTATACAGTGGTATCCGTTGAAACGGGCGGTTGATCCCCTGGGCGTTGCTGATGCTGTGGCGTTTCTCAGTAATAAAGAACTGGTTAACTAGCTCCTATTACTGGGGTATGTCTTCCTGTTGATTGCGGGTTGATGGCGGGCCAGACTGCGGTTGCAGAGATCGTTTTGCAGTCTGTTGATTATTAGGATTTTGGGGGAGTTCAGGTTTAGAGGTTCCGTATTTTGTTATCAGGCACACCAGCAGGGCATAAAGATGGACTTGACAACTTGGGCATTTGGGATATCTTGATTGCTAAGGCGGGATGGGGTATCATTTCTCATATATTAAGTTTCCGGCGCTATGTAACAGATGATATATTTATCAACTTCCGGAAATTTTCCGTCTACGTGAGTTACCGGCTACATGCTAATATGTTGCGGATATGTAGGGAAAATCGGAAGAGCACAAGGCCGACTGCAATCCACATGAACGCCAGCGTACGGGTGCCTAACTTAGCATGGATATTGAATTCGGTTGCCTTAGTCGCAATGACTATTTTGAAAACAGTGAAGATTAACTGTTGCGAGGATGGAGGCGACTGCCGTTGTGAAAAACCGTGAGGAATGTGAAGAGAAAAATAGAGATGTTCTAGAAGCCTTTGGGGGATTGCTCTGTGCTTGGATGTGGGGAGGGTAACTAAGTGAGGAAACATGCAAAGGACTATCTATTACAACGGCAAAGACGACGAATAAACTGAACAACCAATGTGCCACTCTGCGCACAATATCCATGGCAAGAACAATATATATATATATATATATATACATATTGGGGAGTTGGTATTTCACGGACATCGTAAATAAATTCGCAGCTTATACATCACCTTAAATTTTAAGGTTCGTAGCCAACCTAAATTTAACCCTAACCCACGCGATCGAAACCCTAAAATAACTGCACTGGTTGGGTTATGCAACTATTTTCTCACGTGGTTTAAGTTTTAGTTACATAACTTCACACCTAAACAAGCAGTTGAATCATCCAATGTTAAACCTCCGCAGAGTCTGAAATATCAGCCAGCCTTCGCCAGCACTTCTACTGGTGCAATTGCATAAAAATATACCAAGCGCCCCTCCCCACTGTCTGCAACGTCCCGCAGATACAGGGAAGGAAACATATATACAATATAACAAAAAATGGTCGACATCGTCCCCCTCTCTTCGTACCCCTCCTACATCTCCCTTCTCCCCTCCATCCAGACCTGCAACATCACAAACCTCCCTGAAAACTACTTCCTCAAATATTACCTCTATCATGCCCTCTCATGGCCGCAGCTGAGCTTCGTTGCCGTCGTGCGACCCAAACACAACAGCCCAAAGAACGAGTACCCCAAGGTGGTTGGGTATGTACTCGCGAAGATGGAAGAAGAGCCCACAGACGGCATTGCTCACGGCCACATTACCAGCCTTAGTGTAATGAGAACGCATAGACGATTAGGGATTGCGGAGCGGTTGATGAAGATGAGTCGTATGTGTGGTTTATTTTTTTATTTTTATTTTTTTTATTTTTTTATTTTATTTTATTTTTTTTTTTCCATCATCATCTCTCCGTCAATGGGTTAGCTGCATATATACAATTTGCCTAACGTGATCAATTTCTTTTGAAATGGGTTGCAGAGCGCGCTATGGCCGAATCACACCGGGCTGAATACGTTTCACTGCACGTCCGTGTCTCCAATAACGCTGCCCTCCGTCTCTATCGCGACACGTTGGGGTTCGAGATCGAGAAGATCGAGGCTAAATACTACGCTGATGGCGAAGATGCTTATGCCATGAGGATGGATCTACGGCCGCTATGGATGAAGGAGGACCGCAAGGAGAATAATGATGGCCGAAAACAAGCTTCTAACACTGCGTCGCGCAAGGATGAGAGCGACGCGAATGCCGATTCCGCTGCCAACGACGATGGTCATCCTGATGAGGGAGAGGAGGTCGGCGAGATGGGGAAACATGGCGGAGAAAAGGACAAAAAGGAGAAGGAAAGGGTCTTTCGGGTTAAAGTGGGGAGAGCGCTAGGGGTGGGTGATCTTGTGGAGAGGAATGAGACCGTGCGGTGAGGTATCAGGTGGGTTGATAGTGTGAATGATGAATTATGAGTGGGTGGATTATTCTGCTCGTCATCGAGGAAGAACAAGAGGATGACTGGTGATGAAGTATTTATTCAGCATCATAGCTGGGGGGTTTGGCACAGAAATTCTGTTGAAAATTTTGCAAAATGGTAGTGCCAGCCTTAATTACCTTGGATAAATCAGCGTTCTTCCAGGCTGGCTACACACATGCACACGCACACGCACAGACACACACACACACACACACACACACACACACACACGCACACGCACACGCACACGCACACATACATACATATATACAATCTCTATCTTTCTCTCTCCCTGCTTATTACATTTGAAGTGAGTGATTGCAATTTGTATTAAACACAACGTGACCTATGCAAATGACAGAATTACAATATATCAACTTGAGTGAGAATAAAAAGCATGAACTAAGCATGTATATTTCTAATCATATCTTTTAGTCTCGTTAATTTTATTATCTTCTGATTACTGCTGCAACAACTCATGAATATGCCTCAACTGAAACGGACTAGAATTAAGTCTCTGGCATCTTGCCAGTTATCATATGAAGAAGTATGCACAGTTCTTGATATGATAAAGAAATGTCATTTACATACTGCTCACTAAGTAAGTTATACGATGGGTTGAACCATGTTTATATATACAGGGAAACTGAATCACCCTATTGCTGAAAAAAAGAAGAAGAAGAAGAAGAAGAAGGTTTTATACAAAAAAATTGAAGTGCCGGCGTGGCGAGGTAGGACTAACTAGGGCTTCCGGAAGAGCTTCGACGCTAGAGGCTGATGATATCTGACAGATAACAGAGAAATCTGCAAAGCTAATAAAATTGTGAAAGTAACTGAGCATGAGCATCTTGCTCACAGGAGAGACATTTTGACACAGAGAGGCAATATCAACAACCACTAATCTCAACATTCGCCTGGAAAATGTACTTAAGACTTACACTTCCCTTTTCCTCCATTCTTCTTCCTCTGTTTCTTCTTTTCTCTCCTGGCTTCCTTTCTCCTCTGTCGCCTTTGGCGCAATATCTCTTTCTTCTCGTTTCTAATCTGCGAAACCAAAGCGCGGAATTCCTTCTTGGTGTTTTGCAAATTCTGTTTCAGGACGGCTTGAGCTTCCTTGGTTTTCATATCACCGGTGCTGCTGTTGCCAGAGTTACGCGCAGCTGTCCATGGAGGAAATTTATGGACGTTGGAGCCGTGGCTTCTTTTCTTGCAGTCGCGGAACTGCTTGTACGCCGTTCTAAGCATACGCAGTTCCTGGCGGAGGGAGTTGACATCCGGACTCTGCGCCACCATCAGAGCGCTGTTTTGACTCTGTTCGTGTTTCCGCTGAATGCTACGGATCTTCTCTCTGAATTCTGCAAGGCCTGCAGCATGTCTGTCGGAGGATGAAGATAGAGAGGGAGGGAATGAGGAATCCGAATCTGAAGACGATGATGAAGAGGACGATGACGAAGAAGGTGACGAAGACGACGAGGATGAAGATAACGTTGATGAGACGGATGCGGTCCGCTGACGCTGAAGCTGAAGCTGTCCTATGTGTCTATTTTGCCGACGGCTTTCCCATTCAACCCACGGATGTCCATAGCCAGCAAAGCCGTGAGTGCAACAGTGATCAAACTGGCTGGGGTTATGGCGTGCCGATGGGTCGCTGTGCGGAAAACCATGGTGATGATCCTTGTTCGCAAAGGAGCCCCAGGGATGTGTTCTGTGGAATCCGAGACCTCCCCCCATGCTTCCAAGCCACTTCGCTTGTTTTTCTATGAATTCACCTTTAGCCTTGGCCTGCTCCTCGACCACCCGGCCATACATCTGGCTGCATTCCTCTACCCGCTTCCCATGCGCAGTTGCCTGTTCGCCGACCCATTGGCCGTACTGTTCGGCACGTTCACCAAACTGAGTGGCCCAGTTCACGATGGCACCTGTAATTCCAAATGACGGGGCGGATTTGGAGTCATATGCGCTGTGGCCCGCCATTCCGCGATTGCGATACTGAGTTGGATACGGGATCGAAGTGGATCCCTGCGCAGTAACTATGCTGACTTCTGGGGCAAGAACAGAGTTACCGTTCGAATGGGCCGCTGCCGGGCAACGAGGGTTTGAATTTTGTGCTGGAAATTCAGGGGCTGTTTCGGTCCGGACAAGACTGGATCCATCCATGGAAGGTCCACTCCGTACAGGCAACGACCTCACAGTTGAGGGATAACACTTTGGACACAGATGTGTTGGGGGTGGGGAACCCGTGGATGAAACATAGACACAGAGGATTCTAGCCGATCTGAGTGCGAAAAAGCACTGGTTCCACTCGGAGACGACGGCGTATATCCTTGCTTGGCGCCCGTCGTCACCTTCCTGCGCACAGTCCTTGCGATCGCGCTCGATCTCAGCACGAAGCTTTCGGGGTAGATGAGGCTGGCTACCTGCTGGAGCCAGATGGGTGGGGAATAAGTAGTTGAGGAATGTGTTCCAGTCATGCTGGGTAATTTCGGTAGAGCGAGGCCGCAGACATTTGGGAAAACGCTGGAAGTCTTTCGATTGGCTTCGGGGATAGATTGTGAGCATATGTTCGAGAACTGGCTCCAGGGACTCAACTTGGTGAGGGAGTGATGGAGCCCGCTCCCTAAAGTATGGAACTGCAGATATAAAGTTAGGAGGTAGTAAGCTGCCATAGGATGGTATTTGAATATCATTATTATTGTCATCAAAGGGCAGCTCTGCTGCATCTGCTGTTGTGGCAGATTCGTTGCTTGAAGCTGGGGTGAGCGGGTCAATGGGGTTATAGGGAGGCGGCGCTTCGTCCGGGATGTCGAGGTTGGAAGCCATCCATCCCAATGGCCTCACTCAAGGCTTAAATGGGGAAATAAAATAGTCGTTAACTATAAGAGTTTGAACATCAGATGTTTCAGCAATTACTTTGATTGAAGAAGTAGATTGCAACCTGCCGAGCTGGAGAAGAGGCAACTAACCGGGGGACCAGCCAGACAGACCAAGCACTACTATATTTATTAACTTAACTCCGCGCTGCTAGTCAAAGGCTTCTGCTTCCGCTTCGTCTGCACTGCATTCATTGGGCTTCTCCCACTCGCTGACAATCAGCCCTGCAAAACTAGGCAGCGACTTTGTTTTTTTTTTTTTTTTTTTTTTTCGGAGACAATATCCCGGGCGGCGAACCCCGAATGGTTGATGCGCCAATTGCGAATCCCCCATCCCCCCCCCCCCCCTCAGGACAGGAAACTCGATTGGTCGGTCACCTTTTCTTCAGTTGAAGAGCCAGCCACGCTGGGCGTAGATGGGTTAGTTAAACCTTAGTGATAAAATGCCAGAGTCTCTTTTGTTGCAATTCGCACCCAAAAAACAAGCATATCGGCGAAAATCGTGGAAATCTTTCATTAACCATATCCCCCTACCTTCTAACTAAACTAGTTAGTTTAAACTATCAGCGGGTAGCTGACACAGCTTCGGACCCCAACACCCCCCCAGAATGGCGCATCCAAGGTGAGGTTGGTACTTGAATTGGGGGAACCCGTGATATATCATTTCAAACTACATACATTTAACTATTCAATTACATACCACAGGAGCCCACGATTCCTGAACTGTCAACTCTGCAGTAACTACTCCGTATATAGATATGGCGAACTGACACACCACTGAATCTTACCATCCAAGCGAATTGTATATCATTTTTGGGGATACGGCACCCCCAACCACCTCGTTCCGAGATTTCATTGAGAGCCCGAATGGATAATTTCAAGAGAAGCATAGCCAGCAAACTATCAAGATAGGTATTCAGCTGTGAGAGCCGCACAGATGGCAGAGACATTGGAAAGGAAAAGAATCATTGTCTCTAGCAGCCCTTCATGCACTCATTTTTAAACTCCACTATTAGAGCACAACCACACTCCCAGTACGCCACTACCCATCCCTCGTTCACAAAGCATTCCCACCACTCCAGCAACTCCATCAGGAAATGTCGGCCTTCTACCACCCATCTGCTCCACCGCAAGCTTCATACTCTCTTCACTCAGCCTCTCCGCACCCGTCCCCGTCAAATCCTTCATCCACAATAATCATGCTGCCAGGTGCATTGTCCCGCCAGCCTTGCATTCTATTCCGAAAATCTTTCCCGGACTCCCGGAATATGTCCCCAATGACGGGCCCGGGGTTGACCGCATCGACAGTAGCTCTGTCACCAAGTTCACGCGCCCAGGTTTGCTGCGTCATGGCGGCTTCAATGGCTGCCTCGTACCACCATAGACACTCTGGCCCTCAGAAGTTGACAATTACGTGCTGATCGGTCCCGTGGCAGGTATGGAGCCACACATTGACTGTGTACATGCCGGTAGAAAAAAAAAAAATTCTCCATCTATGGCCCACAAACGGGGTCATTGAGACGGTTATTCCCCGCAATCCCAGCATTGTTGATCAGAGTATCAATGGTCAGACTATTAGTCGATGCATTGATGAGAAAAGTGGTTTCTGGCACTGGCGAGAATCTTGTTGACCACTGACGCGGGTTCGCTAAGATCCGCCTGGACGCTGATGCAGCGCATGGAGTGGGTTTGCGTCAGCTCCTCACGGAGCTGAAGAGTTCGCGTTATTGAGCAAGTGCAGATGTAATTGAGGAGAAGGGAGCAGCCTTTAGATGCCAGATTTTTGAGCAATGGCTGCTCCAATTCCTGCGGGAATGTGATATAATTACTGTTTGATTTACATTTATTTCCTTCTGGTGTATGTAACCTATCTCTTAGCGAGGAAAGATGAGGATTTCACATCATTCATTGTCACTCGGAATCAAAGAATAATAAAAATATATGTGCATTACTTCTTGAGTCCCCTTTGGCAGTGGCACATTTTCCCTCCAGGGGACTTGACATGCTTGTTGTGCCAGAGTCAACCTCCTATTTCTAAGAAACTATATGCGCCAAATAGTAAGTAGCCTTGAATGACCAGATTCGATATCTAGTTAATACTTTCGGATTAACTATATAACGTTAACTATCTCCAGCTCTCCTAGCAGAGGCCGAAATAAATATCTCCAATAAGGATTATAATAGATCCGTTCAACCGGATCCGGTCGGATTCGTAGTAAGGATTTGACCTTATAAAGTAAGGATCAAATCCTATCAAAGAGAAATCAAGTCAATCGTTCATTTTTCTAGATTGCTAGCAAATTTTAATTAATTTTGTAGTTATGAGATATGAGATCTTTGAACTTGAACCATTTGATGGTTACACCCCCACACTAACCTCAGAAGATGAGAGGTACTGCGTGAAAAATGGTACCGGGGGTGAAATCAAGCTGTGAAGCAGCCTTTTGCCAACAATGCTATAGGTAGGTCCTTGCATGTGGTAAGAGTTATGATGAGTGAAGAAACATGGTTATGATATGTATTAAGATCAAACCTGAGCTAGTCGCAATGCCCTCTTATTTACCATCTGCATAAATTCTTCATCTTTCAATTCAACGTGTCTTATATTCACCACCTTCTCAAAATGAACTCTCAGTGTGAAATATCTATTCAAAGAGTGATTGACAAATTGAAAAAATGACTTTATTTCTTCTGCTGCAGCCGTAGCTTTCAAGCATTCGTGAACCACTCTATGTGACTGATTAGCCAGTAAAATCAACCACAATATAGTTAGTTCATTTAGCAGATACAAAGATTAAGTTCTGAACAAGAGAAATGTCTCATTGCATGAATTCTAGATGAAGATATCAAAGTTTGTTCTTTTTCTTATTTGCATATATAAGAAACCATCTTTTAAATTTAAAAATTCTTACAGATATTACTTCTCTTGAAAAAAAAAATAAACTGCTAAATTTTTTAAGTATAATTGTAGTATATCTTTTTGTATTGATAGAAAAATAAATATTAAAAAAATTAAAAAATTCAATTTAAATTAATTCAATAGCTTTATAATTTTTTATTAAGATATACTATTTAAATTATAAATAAATATAAAATAGTTTAAAAGTTTATTCAAATATCATAATATTAACTAAATTAGAAAAAAGTTTAATCTATATAAATATATAATAGTTTTATTAGTTATATTTCTTTTACATATTATGATTATTAAATTTATCTATGTTTTTATTTATAAAGTTTACTATTAAACTTTTAAACTGAATGTAAGTTATTTGAATAATTTAGCTTTAGTAAAAAAGTTAAATTTATTTAAATCTATTTAGAAATAAATATAAAGACTTTAAATTAACTAAAAATATAGAATAAATAAAAAATAATTGAATTAGTATTTAAAATTCTATTTAAATATTAAAATTCTTATAAATTTAAATTCAATAATTTTGATACGTACAAGCAATTAAATAGATAGGATAAATCATATCTGATTCTCTTCTAATAAGAGGGGCAGATGCCCTGCTATATATACATACTATAATCACTCTATATGGTAGGAGTGATTGCATAGGATAGGAAGTATAGGAAAGATCAGGGCCTCTGAGTGGATTAGGAAGGGGCGAATAGAGAGCGGATACTAATATAGGGAGGGGCGGAAGAATAGAGGCGGAACACCACAGATAATAATAGGGGCGGAACGCCACAAGATCTGTTACTGAAGAAGTTCTTGAAGTCATATAGATACATTTGTTAATAATTTCTCATGTTTCATATTAAGATTTATGATTGTATTATTCTAAGATGAAACTTTATAACTACATGGTTTAATTGCTATTTATTAGTTAGAATAGTAAAATAGTTAAATTCTAGTTTAATTAAATAGATGTCATAGTTACTGGCTGAATATATTTTAAATGAATAATAATAATAATAATAATAATAATAATAATAATAATAATAATAATAATAATAATAATAATAATAATAATAATAATAATAATAATAATAATAATAATAATAATAATAATAATAATAATAATAATAATAATAATAATAATAATAATAATAATAATAATAATAATAATAATAATAATAATAATAATAATAATAATAATAATCAATATATCTAAATACTGCAAATCTTGATATAAAATCAATTAGATCACTGTATTTGATAGATTGTACACACAAAAAACTGCACTAAAAATTGCAAGTAGGAGAGATAGAATCATAGTATAACCAAACACCTCAAAGAGTTTAAAAACTAAATGGTGACAAGAGTGGGATTCGAACCCACGCCCCTTTCGAGACCAGAACCTTAATCTGGCGCCTTGGACCGCTCGGCCATCTTGCCGTATATTAGCAGTCACAAGGACGGAGAGTCTGTGCTGAAGACATCGGGTGTGTAGGTGAAATTTAAGTTAGGGTTAGAGTTGAAGGTTGGAGCAGCGCTAGCCTCTTTCAATTAAGTGCAAATCTACCGAGTTGAAAGTGTGCTTCCACCAGATGATACTAACGTTAACATCGAGTTGCTGATATAACAAAATGTAATTTATCTGGCAAAAAATAAAAAAGTGTAGAATCATATGCCAAAATTGAAAATATCTCTCTAGAACGACCAAGGGTCATCAATAGAAAATCAAGTCACTTTTTCATACAGTGTGCATTTAATGGGCTTTGTATCAAAATAGCATCATTGGTCCAGTGGTAGAATTCATCGTTGCCACTACTATTTCCTGATATCCAGATTCTGGAGTGTCGATGAGACCCGTGTTCGATTCACGGATGATGCAGAATAGTTTCAATCATTCGTCGAAGAATGGTTCGTCTTCTTTTCCTATTTCTTTTACTTTTCTTTCTGTTATAACTTCTTTGGAAAACACAATAGTTGTCTTCCAGTACATTTTGAGTTCTTCCACTAATCACATCATCTCAGCAGGTCATGGTCTAATTAATTAGTGGTAGAATTCCTCGTTGCTACTTCTGTCCGACATCAGATTCAAAGAGTCGATGATGTTCGTATTCAATTTACGGAAGATGCAATTTATATTATTACACTTCTTTACGAAGTGTTATTATTCTATTTGCGTTTTTAATTTGTGTAGTTTAAATTTACGTAAAAGGAATGTCATTTTGGGATCATAGATGCATGCGTATGCTTCTTGGTTAGTTCACGTCCTTAAAATTTCACTTCCCTCTATCCATGTCTTATGAAAACAGAAGATCATTGGAAATTAATCCGAGCAAAGTGAAGAATCCTCAGCTCACCATGTGTTGGGTAGCACTACCTCATATCTTCGTGACATTGAACTGGCCCTTGTCCGCTCCCCTCAATTTGTTTCCTGCTTCGTGGATTTTTGTGGCAGTCCAGTTGGGTCTATTTGAGAAGGGAATTCCTAAACCTACATGTTTGACAAGATCTAATGTCAGTGACGGTAATGCATATATTTTACTGAAGAGATGACAAGAAAGATGGTATTTACTAGACTATATACATACGTTCAATTACACGCAAAGAAACGTGACCTGTGTACTTAAGTTTAATAAATAATTGAAGAGGCAAACAATTGGGCCTCCACCAGGGGATTCCAGAAAATACCAATGACAAGACTAGTGATAGCCTAGATAGATCTGGGAATGATTGTTAAAGATCAGCATCAGCATAAATATGCTCTAAAACAAATAAAAATGACCTAAGGTTCTATGAGCAAGGAAGCTCCTGCTTGCTCCCTTTGAATTGGCTTCTAGACATCAAGGGTGAACAACGGATACGTGATAATGCTGGGTTTGTAGCCAAGATTCGACAAACGAGCATGGTAAATGCGTTGACAATTCGAGTTGACTGGGGCAGGTTATCACAAAGAGTTTGTGGAGAAGCAACCTGGCTCAAATAAGGTAGAAAGATGTCCCAGATGGAGGGAGACCTCCTGGAGTATCCCCTACAATGGGGCGTAACTCAGTGAACAAAGGTCGTGACCTTCTGCAGCAAGACACGATAACTGACTTATAGTATAATAATGGACCAGCAAACGCATTCTTTTCCAAGCCGATGTCAGCAAAGCCAGAGAGAGCATAGTGGATTTAAAGGCAGGTTATCTTGCTGACTCGATAACTCACCGATCTGATGATTCGCAGGTGCCACTTTAATATCTGGGATTGATGACTGTACCAGCAGTAGTGTTGTGGTCGATGGTAAGGGGAGATTGTCCCATTTGTGCTTATCGTACGTCGTCAGTTAGCACAATTAGCATGATTGTCCAGCAAGGAATTGCTTCCTAGTTCATGATTTCGAAGTTCAGTAAGTCAACAGTTAAGTTGACGGCTGCAGCGCTTATTCAGTGCATTTGGGTTCCGGAATCGAGATTGTAAGTTTGCTACTCAAAGGCCAAGTCTCCAATTTACTCAGAGGTCTATATTAGTTCAGTTTTCTAATGTCGCATCCAATACTGATTGATTTCACCCACAAGAAGCGCCAATGCTGACAGTTGCAATGGTTGTATATATATGTGTGTGGAGAAATTGCCTGATGAGGATATGGTCTTGAATGACCAAATAGTATAGTGCTATTAAAGAAGAAAGTAGGAAGTATCAGTCCCAGGCATCTCCCCAATCGTCCTCGGCTGTATTCTCTTTCGGTTTTGTATCGATCGTTTTAGCTGGTTGCGACGATAGCCTAGCTGTTACAGACGAACTCCTACTACCCGAAACAGAAGGTTTCAACGTGGCTGTCGGCCGTGTAGATCCCGTACCTTTTGCGGTAGATGACTTGGAAAGCCCTTTAGGTAATGGCTTTTTCGCCTTTGCCTTTGATTGAGCTGCTAGCCAGCCGGCAAAATCCGGTTCTCCGCCATCGTCAAACGTCACAAGAGTAGCAGATGGAGCAGGGCTTGGGGAAGGAATTCGCTTAGCGTCAAAGAAGGCGTCATCTCCATCATCTCCTTTACCGTCATCATCCATTGCTCCCCATGCATCGATTGCGTCTTCTTCAACTTCCTGCACAGGATTGTTAAGGTCTTCAGGTCGAGGTTTAGATATGGTTTGAAAGAGGTATGGTGCCTCAGGACGTAAAGTTTCTTTATATTTGTTGATCTGGACGGATGACGAGGGTATTCCCACATGTGGCATTGATGGGGACCGGGCTGTACCTGCAGCAACAGATTGAACCCCGTTTGCTGTGGACTCGATTTCACCTTTCGCACTAGTGATCTTATTTGTAAATGAAGAAATGGCCCAACCTGCCCAGGACGTATCGTTCGGTGTCCCCATTCGTGCGACACCTGCGACCCGGGAATCCGTGACATTCTGAGCCGGCAAAACTGTATCCGGCAGCGTTGAACTGAATTTGCGAATGCGCTGAAGATATAAATCAACAGTTTTGTTTGCTTGATCACGGACAAGTCTAGATAAGAGTCAGCTAAACGTTTTCGTAGTCTCGATCTTTGATTTGTTACACTTACTTCTCCTTGTCTAATAAACAGGGGCACATTGCAGGTAGCAACTTCGTTGCACAGTCATCTTCAGTAAACAAGTCCAGAGTTGCACCCAGAGCGAGAAGACCTGCGTTTCGGGCATGAACAAACGGATCCCTCAACGACCGACTGAATGCTGCAGTTAGGACTTTGGCTCTCGACTAAATAAGGGGAGATATCGTTAGCAATGTCCGGGAGTCGACTGGGGGAAAATTCATACACTCTGCCCTAGATTCCGGGCGATTTTCCCAAGACATATAGTCGTGTTTGTTCGGATACCTGGCTGCTCATCGTTGGCAGTTTTGGCAAGAAATCGCAACAATTCGCCGTTAATGGTTCGATCAGAGAGTTTCTCAATGACCGTAAGCACTGCTTTTACAGTCTGCTCCCTTACAACAGGAGCAACATCGGTAAAACCGGTCACCTACGATTAAATTAGATGCTAGTGTATGAACGAACGGACGTTGGTTGTCATCTTATTTCACCGTGCCAAACTCACCATCTGAGGAAATATTTTGTCATTGACAATCTTTTGTGAAAGGTGGTCGATAATTAACGGGAGATTGTCAAGTAAACAAACGCGCATGGCACGGTCCGGGTTGCCAAACAATCGTACAATAACCGGTGTAAGTTTACTTGTGTACTCGTCCTCTGAGAGCTTGGTGCCAATCTTTAAGATGGCAGCAAAGACTTTTGGTCCTCCGCCTCCAAACTCCACAGATTTCAGCAGCTCAGGCAGAACCTTCATTTTAAAGAAATCTTCCGGGAAATCATCCGATATCTCATCTAGTCCACTATATTTGGATTAGAGATAAATCGACTCAACACAAATCGATATGGGGAAATACTTAATGAATTCTTCTCGTTCCTCATCACTTTTCAAACCTAGACTCTCGATATCCTGGGTGAGTCGTATTAAAGGGGTCTCAAAAAAACCACCACTACGCGTTCCCTGCTCCAAAAAATGAGCAACACTCAGCCTTAATTTGGGTTTGGGATTCATGAGCCTCTTGTAGCTTTGATGCATAGACGGAGGGATATTTGATGTCTGGCCTGCTTGTTCCTTCCCTCTAAAAGTGCCATTGAAAACTTCAAAAACAAGAGCTCCGAAAGCGTAAGAATCTGTAGCAGGTAATGGATTGCGTTTGATGGCCTCCCAACCGCCTTCTGCAATCTCTGGTGATGTATAGCGGGATAAATCTGGCACAAGGCTACCATATGTCTGCTACCAGATTAGCCAATCCCATTTATCTGGTTACTAGGCGAGGGGAAACGAACGTATATAACAGCATCGTCTTCCTTCATAGAGCTTAGAATATCAAACCCTCCAAGCTTCCATTCCCCACTTTCACTTGTGAATATCGAAGAGACCCTGACGGCACCATGCACCGACGATGCATCTTCGTTGATAAATTTAAGGGTTGACTAGGAAAAGATTCCAGAATCAGAGAGAAGACTTCGAGTAAAATAATTAAAGCTTTAAGTGGCAACTCACAGCGATTGTGTATAAACCCCATTTCGCGGTCTCCTCACTCAGGCTCTGCCGTTTTACCGGCCATGCTAGGGGTGTAATCCTTTCAGTCACGACATAAATGTTTGTGTCTGTCTACGCCCTCCGTCAATGTCTCTTGTTCCACGAATTTTTAAAGAACTAGATTGCTTTAATAGTAGGCCGACCAGGAATCCCCACCTCTATGGTTTCCAATACTTTAATAACCCCTGGATGTCTAAGGGTGCGATGTTTACGAATGGCGTTTCTGGCAAGGGGTAGGCAGGATTTATTTGCTGCAACATCAAAGGTAAATATACTGCAGGCAGAACCATCTTCCTAAATTGTCAAGAAATCAAAGAGTAAATTAGCGTAAGGGATCGTAAAGCCCGAGTTTGACTGCCGTGTCTTAAACCCATACCCGTTTAGTACCATTGTGAAGTGTCCAGATGGAGTCGTTATTATCAACTCGATCACCGAAGCTGTAGGGAAATGAGCTGCCTTTGGCAATAGCCGAAGCAACGGCTGATTTTAAAAAATCCATTGCTGGCAGCAAAAAGGGAAAATGCGTATGATAGCGATATGACCCCGCGCATGTATGAGGCCGGAGGCAGGAATGGAGATGCTGCCCCGGGACGTAAAACTAGGAAGTTTGTGGCTGAGCAATGGTTGGATTATTGTGGTTCATCATGGTCATAAAAGCATAAACTTAAAGAACAAGGGTATCAGCGTTATCCAGACTCATTCGTTGTTGGTGTTAGTTGTTAAAAAAAAAAATAAATAAAAAAAATAAAAAACGAGGATCTTTTGCGTGTCTTCTTCTGGCGCGAGTTGACCGAAGATGGTGTTTGAAGGTGTGGCATTATGGCCCGATTAGGATTAGCGCGATAGTTACCGCCTCCAGCTTTTTAAGCCCAGCATTTTGCCGCATTTTGGCGCCGAATCAGCTATTTCCTATCAGGTCCATCATATATAACAGCAGATGGTTGTGATGCACGAGAATAAGAAATGACAGAGCTGCTTGTTGGAATATAACTTTGGAATGAAAAACAGCTAGACTTTTAACTAGTCGACCTTATTATGGATATTACATTCAGGCTATCCTTTCAACAACAAACTTTGGAGCTGAACATTTTAGCTCCCAGCAAGGTCAAGTTTGCCATTAATTTCTTCCCCAGTCCCTTCAACTTCCACATAAACCAAACCATTCATCTCCAATGATCTCCTATGATGCGAAACTGGTAAAAGGTCAGACTCCCAAAGCCGCAGGGAAGAAGAGCTTTGGTACATACGCAGCACAAAAAAGACGCGGTACTTGCGTCCCCAAGACAAGGCGCAATGGGCACTGAGTAGACGAGGCGCTTTATCAGTCTGCGCCGGTGGTTTTTTCTATTTACCTTTTCTTGATCCTTCCATGTTCCTGGGAGAAGGGACTCTTGTCTTTCTTTCCGCTGATTGATGGAGTGGATATGAGTCTTTTTCATTATGGAGTTGTGGAATCACAATTTTCCCTCCAAGCCAGTCTCTTATGAGGAGGTGATAGCTGGTGTCTCGCCCTGTTCTTCTTCTCTCTTCCTCTCTTATCTCTCTCCTCTCCTCCCTTTGGGGATAGTCTCTCACGCAGGCACACTGTTGGCAAGAGGGGTCTTGTTTCTGGTCCCTAGTGAACTACTGGGACAGTCATGAAGTATCATGAAAGATCTCTTGGACAGTTTTGAAATATCCCCCAAGTGTATATAACAAACACCAACCGCCACTTAACTGGAGTTCTTGATCTGCTTTGCTTCATGAGGACAAAGGGAACTAATGGCAGTGGCGGACATCAAAAACCCTTTACACACTGCGCATATGTGAGAGAGAGAGAAAGAGAAGAGGGGTGAGGGGGAGAGGTAGGATTAGGGGAGCTGTCAGAGTATCTCTCTTGACTTTGTTGGGATTGCGGATTCCACATCTTCTTGGTGTGAATTTCTTATGTCCGCTTTTCATCTATCAGGATCGAGCACACTGTGCTGAAGGAAAGGAAAGAAAGGAAAAAGAGATAAACCCAACTCGTCTACTTCTCCTTGCGCCTTCATTCTCTAGGGGACCCAGCTGAGAACCCCCTTTTTTCTCGTGGAAAACTCGTCGTGTGTCTCGATTCTCTTCATCCTCGCGTTGAATGATGACCAAAAATAGAAACTGAAAAGACCTGAGGAGACACAAAAAATCATGGGTTGAACCAATATCCCCATCCCATCACAAGTCCATCCCCCTGACTCTGACTGAGCTCAAAAAGAAGCTGACATGAAGTCAAGACAAACTACTTAAATAAATGAATCTAATTGGAACGACTGCTGATATATTGTTCCCCCCAAGGGCAAAAGAACATATAGCCCTACTATGAACCGACATTACACACGAGCATGACGGGTACATTACACACACGTGCAACTTGGAACTCTGTCACTTCGCACACAACCACGTATATTTACATTTGGAACCACCCTCCGTCTCGTATCCCGATCGTTTTCAACACAAAACGCCGCACGTATCAGTTCTCTCCGCATCTAATATCGTCGTGCTCCACTGTCCCAAGCAATCAAACAGCCAAAGAATAAAAGAGAGACAAAAAGCAAGATAAATTAGTACCAGCGATCTATTTCATTCTGGCATACCTACTGGTTACACTTGGGCATAATCGTCATACCATAAAGCCACCCAGGGACACACATACAACTCTTCTCTCCTCTCGCCACGGCATCCCCATCTTCCCTCGAAAGGGTTTACATAGCCGTTACACGCCACCCCATATTCTCATACATACATCATACATCTAGATTCTGTCAGGCCTATCCGCCTTCTTACGTAATCTTCACCGTATATAACTTCCGCGTAGCTAGCGATCGCTTCATAATCAATCAAGCAATCTATCCTTCACAGATTCTACATCCAGATCCATAAGCTGTCATACAGAATGAATGAACAAATGTAACATTCGAAACTATCGCAGGGAAAAATGATACTTGCGCCCCATGTATCCGCATATTTAACCACTAGGAGCCGTACATACATACATATACATACCAGGTACCCACGCAGTAGAATGACACCTATTATTCTCTATTCACCTCACATCATCCCTTCACCTCTCTCAAACAAACCATCAATGCTAATATATGAAGAAGTATATTTCACTTCGAAAGCTAAAGTAGCTATTTATCCGCAACAACAGCACAAGGAGGGAGTGGAGAAAGCCAGAGGCAAAAACCAAAAGTAAAAATAAACTTCTCACCTCCAGCCTGAGTCCAACAAGCATCTTTTAACAGCCACGGCAAGGCACCACCCAGAGTGTATGAACACCATATCATGCATTTTTCAAGAAACAAGAAAGCCCTCCGTCCTCAACATGTCGAGAACATAGTCACATAACGTGCATGCGTGCCATGCCACGCCATGAGAAGTTCTGAAGCTTTCCTTAGAACAATGGAGAAAAAAATAATTAAAATACACCACTTCACTCTCCCAAACTTCCACACCAATACTTTTTGCTTTTCATAAAAAAAAAGCAAACTAAAACCCAAACCACCTTCATTCATGTCTCGCCTCTTTCCTAGCAATATATAATCACACCCATCACACGATCCCAATCCTATCAATAATAAGCATAACACCTCTGCCGCTGTAGCTCTGAATCAATTCTTCAAATCACGCAAACCCTTCCATTCCCACAAAACAAACGATCTGACAAAACATAATATCTTCCCTACTTAATCAGTCCACCTCTAAAACCCCTCGACCACCAATTCTTACCACCGACCACGTATATCAGAATCCAACTCTTTCTTGAAGAATCGAACCAACAGAGTTGTATGTGACTCAAAATTGATTGGAGGTTTAAAGTGCTGACCTATATGGACTGCAGCACATCCAATGAAGGGATCGATTAAATAAACTTTGTGGTTTGATCCCATTCATTGGACCGGAATTGCTTGCCTCGCCCGACAAGGCCATGAGAACTCCATTTGGCGTTTTTCCATCTAGCGACGAATACTCATATGTTCAATCTCAAGTCTCAACTATCCTCAGAATGGTTAGTATATAGTAGCAAGGTTTCGGAAGAGAGAGTAGACTTTCACTTAACTTACCAAGAGAAATCTCCATAATCCGCTCATGTAAAGTCCATATAACCAGATTCTGAATGTTGCAACCACGGGAGACCAGTAAAAGAAATATATCAATCAACGGCGCCACGAAATATAATCAGTGAAAAAATACAATAGAAAGTAATGTAGCACAGACTAGTCTCACATCGCACGCAACATTCCGGAAAGGGTAAATGACCAATGAGAATTTCTGTGGTTTTCATGCCACGCTGCAAATTCCCGGGGGAGGGGAATGGGGAAGGAGGAAGAGGCGAAAATACATCGTATACAGCCTGCCGAAATATTTTCATTTAACTTCGTCAACAGCCTCCGGAGCATTAGATCCCGACGGGACATTTTGTGGTGGTCCTTGCGGTTGCATATGGGGGTGAGGCATGTGTGGCATTTGATTGTAGTGATTGTTCTGGGCTCTATGTTGATGATGTGGGTAATAATGCGCTTGATGAGGACTAGTGTTGAAATGATTCTGCTGATGCTGAGGATAACCAGAGCGCACTGGAGGCACTTTAACCGTTAGTACGCCAAATACTTGTAAGTGGACAAACGCCAGTCTAACTCACTGTGGGCTTGATGCTGTGGAGCATAGACAAGTTGTCCATGCTGTCCGGAGTTCATGAACATGACAGGCTGATGTGGGTGGCCCTGTTGTGAGCCTTGATGCATCATCATGGCTGCTCCTCGGTTTGGGCTGGGAAAGCCACTATGTGGTTGCGGTGGTGGGGGGACATGTTGCGGATAGGCATGCCCAGTATTCGGGGAGTATATCGACATTTGAGGGTTATACGGGACACTCATGCCCTGAGGCATACCTGCATAAGGACCATTTGATGGCTGTTGGACCATCATAGGTGCGCCCATACCGTTTTGTGGGTTAATAAACTGTGGCCCACTGGGGTAATGTCTCATGTGAGAAGGTTGGGGGCCTTGCCCCGGGTAGAATTGCGGAACCGAGGGACCAAATGCTAGTTGGGCATGATGGCCCATGGGAGAGGGGTATGCCACATGACTCGGTTGGAGTCGGGGTGACGGGTAAACTTGTGAGGTCGAAGTAGAAATTTGCATGCGATGGGGATCATCGAAGTGTGGATGTCCCGATGGGTGATGTGCTTGTACGTGCGGATGAGGATGAACCTGTGGAGGGCCAGTTGTCTGAGGGACAGTGTGCTGAAGGTGATATGGAAGCTGATGTTGAGGTGGTATTTGAGGATTAGATGCAGCCCTTTGGGGTGAAATTGTAGGGGCAGGTACAGGAGCTTTGAACATATCAGCGTAAGTTTTCTCCGCATTAATCGGAGCAACATCCCATGTTGGGGGAGTTCGATAAGCTTGGGGAATTCCACCATTAAATGCGTAGTCTTTAATACTCTGCTCTGTTGCTTCATTTCTCATCCGCTTAATGGGGTTGAAGTGGTCATTAACTGATGGCCGTTCCGATGCTGGCAGGGGTTTCTTAGAGCCAAATAATGCGGACGGACTAGCAGTACGAGAAATCGATCGAGTCCTTGCATTAGATGCAGGGCTAGAAGATATGGCAGATGTTCCTGCAGGTGTAAAGGTATTCGCAGTTGGGTTAGGCTTAAATTCATGTGCTCTGACATTGAATTTCGTTGATGTTGCTGACGTTGGGCTTTGGAGAGGTTTATGAGGACTGCTGGTATTGGTAAGATCACCGCCCATGGGTCCGGAGGGTGGCATACGGCCATCTTGAATGGGGGGAGGTGGAGGCATAGCAGGACCCATAGCTCCGCCTTTGCGCTGTTGCTGAATATCCGCCAGGCGATGGCTCAAAAGGCCTGGCCCAGATCGTCCAGGATGCCCGTTGTGATGTCCCATAGGACGTCCACCTGGACCAGCATGAGGCCCCATTGGTTGGTACCCTTGGCGGCCACGGGGGTACTGTTGTCGATCTGATGGTGCCACAGGAGGTGTCGTACCGGCCTCATATCGAGAAGGCCCAGCAGTGCGAGGTACGGAAGGTTTGAGTTCGGCAGCTGAAGCAGCGGCCGCAGAGGGTGGAGCATTTGAGCCGCTAGCTTTGGCGGCAGCTTCAGCAAGCTTCTCCTCATGTTGTCGACGTGCTTTTTCAACGATTTCCTCCTGTTTACTCGGATCCTTGGCCAGGATAGGCACCAAGTCCTTGGGAACAGGCGTTCCAAGTTTGAAATTCTTGGAAAATTTCATTAGCTCATTGAGTTTAATTGTCCGGTCGTAGGAAGCTTGATTACGACGGCGTTCTTGAAGTTTCATTTTTTCATTGTTCGCGAACTGGCGGAAATGATCGAGCACTTCGGCCTCCACGTTGGACGAGGCATTCTCTGCTCCATTACGCTTTGGAGGACCAGTGGAATTCGACGCGGGCGTGGAGGTAATGTCCTTTTGTTCGGAACTAGCGGTGGGTTTAACAGACGAGGTAGGCTTATTTGGCTCTGATGCCTTCTCCTTGGGTGCATCAGTAATAGAGCTGTGCGAAGACGTAACGGTGACCTTGGGTTGGGTTGGCTGTTTGGCTAGCACCTCAGGCCTTGCAATTTGGGCACTGATGATTGCTGGATCTACAGGAGCGCCGGGTACGGTCGGGTGGCTAGTGGGTGCTCTTCTCGCAGGTGGGGTATACTTGTTCGGTTGCCCTGATTGCAGAGGAGGGAAATCATCACGACGAACACCACTGTATTTGTCCTCTTCGTTTGTGTAATCATTTTCGGCGATCAAGCCACGTTCTTCTCTCATGTGGACATTATCTGTATCACTGGATTCGATCTCGCGTGCGATTCTAGCTGCCTCAGCTTCTTTGCGCTTATACGATGGGTCCGAACGATCGATTCTCGTAGTGTACAAATTCTCGTCGTAGCTTGTAGTCGCCCCAAAAAGGCGCTCATTTACTTCAAATTGGTCCCAGTTTGCAGAGCCTGAGCTTTCCAAGGACATATCGGCAGGTGCGTCCGTACCAGGTTCCCAACGCTGGAGTTCTCTTTCCCGAATTGCATGGCCACCAGAGATATCAGCATCGGTTTTAAATCCCGTTGGAGTTCCTAAATAAAATTAAAAAACGGAAAAGCAAAGGTGGTCAGCAGTGCAAGGAATAAGATACAAGTTGCAAGAGTAATAATTACCATTCTGTTCCTTCGCGGCGATTCCCGACGTGGTGACGTTTTCAACACCGACGTCCACAATATCCTGGACATTAAAAACCATCTGGTAATCTACGCCTGATCCCATGTAAGGGCTAGCGTGGTCGCTGAGGGCATTCGACCTGCTGCGGTCTGGCTGTGGGGAGGAGCAACGTTGTGTCATCTTAAGTGTGAATGAGGACTCATTCGACTCCAGCGAAGAGCCCGAAAAAATACCCGAATACTTCTCTCCGCTCCTGGTTGTGATGGTAGCGTTCAAACCCTGGTGGTCAAGAATCAGCATTAGTACCAGGACGACGGTGTGTCAAAGGACGAGTGAGTGGTCGGTAGCCAAGACAGAACTTACGATGCAGGCTGCCAAAAGAAAGGTAAGGCGATCATTGGCATGCATGTCAGGGGTATTAGACTCCCTGTTCGACGCCATTGACTTGGGGGAGAGTGTAGATTTTCGCTGTGGAGCACCTCTGTTCTGATTTGGATATGAGGGTTTCTGGGAAATAGGGTTCGTAGGTTGTGTCCAGGCCTTTGGGGGATTATTGCGCCTAAGGTGCGGGAAACGGGAGGTCAGTGAAAAGGCTCCAGCAAAGACAGAGAATCGATCAAACGACATCGAGGAGAATGTGCCAAGAGCGACGGCAGACAGAGAAATCGAAGCTTGATCCATCCCATGGAAAGGAGAAGAAGGACGCTGAGAAAGAAGGGGGGAAGAAAAGAATAGAGAGATGTCAACAGCTGGGGAAAGGGGCGGGGAATGAATGTTTATATTTGGTAAATGGAGGAGGAAGAGAGCTTTTTCGAGTTTAGGGAAGTTCCAAGCGGGTAACACGTAACTGCTACAGAGCTCTTTCCCAGATGCGGCCTAGAGCAGAGAAGAGCCAGGGAGATATAAATAAAAGGGAAGGAGAGAAAGAAAAAAAGCAGGAAAGGAAAGGAAAGGAAAAATGACCATCCGTGGATACCACGGGCTGCGACAGCGAGGGAAGAACGCACAAGCAGAGAAGGTAACGAGGGAAGGACCAAATCCAGTGGGGAGTAAGTGGAAAGGAGTGGAAGGGAAGGAAGGGAAAGAAGGGAAGGAAGGGAGGGAAGGGAGGGAAGGGAGGGAAGGGACAACCCCAGCAATTAACCGCAAGAACATGACAAGACATACCTTTGGACAGCATCGACGGGGCTCGAAGCCTGCCTTCGACCTCCATCGGTGCTGGCGGTGGTTTTGAGAGTGGCATTATTTGAGCGCATGGCTGGTCTTGATGTGGCAGACGAGGAATTCGGAGGCATGGAATTGTTGCCCGACGCTCCGTTAGCAGAGGAGACGGCGTTGAGAGTCGAAGTCATCGCTGGGCTAGGACTCGGACAGTGACAGGAGGGAGGAGAAAGTTGCAGCGGTCGCCGTCGTTGTTGTGTGGCGGTAGTGCTCTGTAGTTTTTAAATCAAAATATACGCGTCCGTCAAGCTTTGGAGAGAAGCCAACCAGGCTAGTCAGGCATAGGTAAGTGATTTAGTTCGTCGTGGTGGTGGGCACGTAGGAGGGAGAAGTCCAGAGGGCGAAAAGGCACGGGGGCCCACACCGCCAGGCGTAGAGTTTGGGACACGGGGACAAGAAGCAGAAAATAAACGGAAAGGGAAATAAAAAAAAAAAAAGGCAAAAAGAAAAAAAGAAAAAGAGAGAGAGGAGGGTGGGGGGGCAGAGGGAAAGGGGTAAGAATCAGGACCAGAAAGAAGGGAAACAAAAAAAGAAGAGAACAGAGCTTGAGATCAATAGGGGGAAGGGGATGGAAGGGGAGAAGAGGAAAAGAAGAGAGGGCGTTGTGAGGTTGGGGAAAAAGGGAAAAAAAAAGAGTATGGAGGCCGAAAAAACGGTGACGGTGAGAAGAGAGAATCGCTGGTTTGTTGGTAAGCCCTGGGGTGGCTGGAGCGCGGGCAGAGCAGCAAGGGCCGTATCGTACGGTATGGTCCGGTTATGACGTATGGCTCGGTAATCGGTATCTGGACTGCAATTCGCCAATCACAGGCCCCCAACACTTCCAGCCCTCTTCCGCTTTACTGCTTTAGGACTAGCTGCCAGTTGGATAGACCTCCGGTTTAGCCGTATTAGGAATACCTCCTCGCCCAACGGGGCGCTGCCAAATTGGCCTAGGTCGTATTGTCACAGCTTGATTTCTGCCTTTTTGTTCCTAATTCAAGAACTCATTTCGCAGCCTGGAAAAGCCAATCTTGGGGGAAAAGTTTATATTTCAATTTTTTTTTTTTTTTTTTTTTTTGTAATCCAGTTTCAATATCAGTATCAAATCTCGAACATTTCATCCTAGGCAATATTATATGTCCCTTTTTGTTTTTGATAACCATGCTTCTGACCATAGCCACAGTTCGGATAGGCCTCTCCGTAAAAACGCTAGAACATATAAGTGGACAGATTGCACGCGATGTGATTATTGTTGTAGTGCCGGTCCCAATGACTCCATCCCATTCATCATCTCCACATTCATTAACTTTCCCCAGAGATGTTAATTCACCAGCAGCAGCTAATTATTAGATTACCTTTAACAGCTTCTGTGGAGCACAGGGTCTCCAGTTCAGTCAGCCCTTTCTTTATTCAGCCCACACTTGTCCACTGCCAGTGTATACTGGATCAACTTTAACCATATCCCAACCCCTTTTTGGCGCAGACATATCAAGCTATCCTCCAGCGAAAATATACAACTTCTTCTGCAGGCCAATACCTACCTACCTACTCCGCAAGCTTTCTCTCCATGCAGACATATATAACCATGACGTCTGCGGCAATGGCCGAAACACAATCCTCCAAGTCACAACGACGTGATCTCCCCGTCCCGTTCCGTCTCCCAACGCTGCAGTACAGTCCTGTGAGCCTGTGTCTCTCCTGCAAGCGCGTGCAATGCATACTGGTATTGCAGAAATGCATGGACTAGCACCCTTAGCTCTGCAGATTACTGATTTTTCCATATTTATTTCTCAGGGGAGTTTTGGCCTCTGACGGGTTATCATTTGACACAGCGCTTGATCCTTTTGCGAGGAATTCCATAAGCGCCAGCCTCGTTTTTAGGACTCTTTTGGTTTCTTTTATTTCTAGTCCTTCTTTCCTCTCATTTCTATACCAGGCCAACGATCATCCATTTACTTCTAACCCCGACTCTTCTGATCAACCATTAAGTTCTGTCAGGAGAGGTGGCCGCTGAATAAATTGAGATATTTGATATGAAGCTAGAAAGATTATGGGAATCTCAATGACTGAATCTTCGATAATGTTGTCAAAATCTGAATACTCTCTCTCTCTCTCTCTCTCTCTCTCTCTCTCTCTCTCTCTCTCTCTCTCTCTCAGCTCTGCTGTTAATCTCACCCCTCATTGCTAGCATGCATCTCCTACCCGGCGAGGCCTTTTCAAAACCATCAAGGATGGGGATTTTGGAAAAGACAAAGGGTTGAAGGCAGGCAGGGTATGTCCAAGTAAACCAGTTAGGCGCGATTGATAAAAATCCTAGCATAGGATAAATACTAATTGCAATTGTAAAATATTCCGGGAAGGATGCGATCTTCTCTCTAGACCCGTAAATAACGGAACTTAGGACTGAAAACGCCTTTCCGTAGGTTCCTCGTTCATAGCTTATTTTAACCACTCGGCATTGCTGTATCGTAGTAGATATTTACCGGTTGCAGATCGACAGTTCAGGCGTAGTTGAATGGTTGGAACGAATATACTGAATACTTCACCGGGCACCGGGCGGAGAGCTTCATCCGTTAACTATTCATGGCATATTCCTCAACTTGCTGACAGCTCCCGATTCACTGGCGGAAACAGTTGAAACAAACAATGAAAAGTTCTTGAACACACCTGTTCTTTATTAATCGGTAGCAGACTAATTGAAGCAACTCGAGCCAATGCCCACCGTCTCTTCTTTTGTTTCCAACTAAACTGGATAAAGTCAATATAACAATAGAGTTAGAGCCAAGAAAGCAGCACGGCAAGCATCCAGGAGTTTTAACCCATTTTAGGTTTGATGAAACTACGGGTTATTTTCAAGTGAGTTTACGCTTTTCAGGGAAATTTCTAAGGATCTTCAAATGTAATGGAGGGGTTGGATAATGAATCTGAGCTACGCCACTTGGCGTAGCTTCCATAGTGAATCTTATTCAGGAGAATAAATTTGGCGTTTCATATGTAGGCGGGGGATGCCGTTGGTTGTGTTACTTTTCTCGGCGAGTTACATGGATCCGTACGAGGTCCTGCCCAGGGATACGTGCCATATCCGGATATCTAGATTCGAGAGTATATAAACCAGGTCAACCGGAAGCTTCCGTCCTTTTTGGATCAGGATGGTTTCTCGCCCACGAGGAAGACAAAGTGAGAGGGCAGAATCCAGGGGTAATAAGGCAAACTAAGTTACTCATGCAGGAGAGGAGTACCGCGGATTGACTGCACTTTGAGGATCGGGGATAGATCTCGGCGGGTGGTAAAAATAAAATAACGGATATATAAGTTGAGGAATGGAATGTTCTCCACATTGAATGTCAGGAGCAGCATGCAGCGATGACTTTCAGGCTTCCCCGTGTCTATAAAAGATGGAAGGATTTGCGTGTCTGCGAGAGATCTGCAGGACAGAAGGCGGGGAAGAACTACTGAATCCACGTGACAACTGGAGTTATTCCAACTCAGCCTTACTGTTTTGGACATATCACGTGATAATTTGTGCCAATAAGGTTTAGATGTGGCTTGTGCTAGATGTAATTTATGATACCAAACTGTACCGTATTGTTTGTCCTACGGTATCATCCTCACGCCTACCAGAACGTCTTTCCTATGCCCAACCCCTTGACATATTGAATTGTATCAGATCGTATCAGGCCGTATCGTCAGCTCATTCTTTTCCTTCCCAGCCCAACGCAAGACTAAGACTCTCTTTGTCCAACGTCGAGTCTCTTCTTCTGTTTCGTGTTATGGACTCTTCGCCGTCATCCTCATCTTCTAATTCTCGAGCTCGCCATATACGTTCCGCCGCCTTTGCTCGTGCTCGTTCTCCCGTGATGCAGAAGATGGCTTCAGCATCTGGTTCGGGTGCTGCTACTGCTGCTGTTGGTGCTGGCGACGCAAATGCCTACCTCACCACGGGCTCGAGAACATCCTCCGGCTCAGGAAAATCTTCCACGAGTCGAGGCACGGTATGTTGTATCCATGAATGCTCATATATCCCGTGATGACCCTGCACTTTATCTGTCGTTGTTTATGCCACTTGGTTGTTCAGACGGCTGAAAACGAACACCTTGTCTGGGATATATCCATGTGCTAACCATTGCGTTTCTTTATTTTCTACGGATTTTCTACGAGGAACAGCAATCGGACAAACAACTATCACAGATCGAGAAGAGCGTTACACACCTACTCGTTGCGACAAAGCAGTTATTAGAGACCCTCACACAATGGTCACGACAACAGGCATCGGAAAGCGAGGTTTCCGACGTCTATGTCCGCCTAGGATATGAGTTCAATCTGGCCTGTAGGGCGTTTGGAGCAATTGGCGTGGATACTACAGATTTGGGGCCCGTGCCAGATCTTCTCCGGACTATTCTGGAAGATACCCTTAGCCAAGATGCATCTCTGGAGAGCCTAGAACGGTATCTGCCTCGTATACGGGATATCATTATCAATTTACTTCATGGCCTCAAGAAGAAACAGGCCAAGTTGCGGTCAAGGCAAGTAAGGGATGGCAGGCCCACGGCACGACAGGGGAGCTCTGGTAGTTGGGGGAGCGGAGAAACCAGTCTGAACCAGACGGCGGATGAGGCTCTATCCTTGCCTCAATCACCACCTAAGCGACAGCCAGACCCTTATCGTCAGGGTGCGGTGACAAGCTATGGTGAGCCAGGAGTCCCCAGAAGCGCCTCCTCTTCGAATTGGTCCAACGATCGCCATGGGGGCTCTTTTGCTGAAAGAGCTGAAAGGGACGCTTCCAAGCGGGAAGCCCAGAAGTCGACATTTTCTTCAAACTCGTCTTTGTCGAGTAACACAATGCAGAATATTCCCGTTATGCATCCGCCCTCTGACCAAAACTTGAATGGACCTCGCTACGGGACTAGCCAGGATTTCTCCGCACATAACTTCCCCCATGCTCCGCCGCCCACTCCGCCCGCGTCTAGACAAAATGATGCCATCGGAATGTTGCAGAGAAGTGGTGAACTGGAACGACGAGCGTCGAGAAGGTTTTCTGCTTATCAGATCCAAAAACATTTGGGTCCCTCTCCTAACGGTGTCCCTGTTATCCCACCACCTCAAAACTCACCGATCCCAAATCGTGGTCGCGATGTTCGTGAGTCAATGAATGCTGTGCGCCTCCGCGGACCGTATCACAATAAGCAGCGTTCCAATAACCGGGCTGTTGAATCATCACCAGGTCGACCCTCCACGGTGCCCGAGGGTGGAGAACCAGCATCGATACCTCAAATTGACACATCGGTGACATCGGTTGAAGAGGCCAGTCCTATGGCTAAAACCCCAATTGATAAGATTGGTTTCCCACCTGGGTTTGACACTAGAGATACCCCAGGTGGTGACTCTCTACCTTCTTTACCCCAGATCTCCGAGCGTGACTCTAGTGCGGAGCCAAACGATAGCCAACCCGGAAAAACTACTGAACCGCATTTCGCACTTGCAGATGAGACCAAACACGCTGAAACCAAAACTTCTACAATATCTGATACTTCACCCCGCGGTCAATTTACTCCCGAGCCATCCCCTCCGCCTGGCAAAGAGTTAACACTCTTCTTACAGTACAGGAGCAAAATTAAGAAGTATGTCTTGCCAGAAGGTTATTCAGAATTAACTATTGGACGTCTACAGCTAGCCTTTATTGAAAAATTCGCTTGGAATACCCATAACAATGGTACCGATTTGCCCGAGATATACCTTCAGGATCCCGTATCTGGTGTTCGACATGAATTGGAAGACCTTAACGATGTCAAGGATCGATCAGTCCTCGTATTGAATGTCGAGCCACTCGATGAAGTAAAGAAACATTTCGACGAAGGAGTCGGTGGTATCCGCCGTTTAATCGAGAGTGTCCGTGAAATAGTTGATGGGCAAGGCGCTTCCATCCAAAGATTAACTGATGGTCAGTTGGAAGCTGCTAAAGAGATTGCTCGCCTTGCTGCAGCCCCTCCTCCAGCCGCGCCAGCCAAATCTAGGGTTACCTCGAATAGTTCCCTACCGGCGACTGGAAATCATGTTGCCGAAGTCCAAGATCTCCGTCGCGATCTTGCTACACTACGTCAGACTTACACGAGTTTCACATCAGACATTGCAGCCTCTATGAGCTCAATCCGGGCCAAGGCTGGCTCTGTGAAGAGTGTGGCAAATGAGATGACTGTCCCATCCTTTGAGGGCGATGCATGCCGTGCTCGTGTAAATGCAGGGAAGAAGGAGCTGGCGGACGAATCTGAAAAGATCGTGGCTCGTGTGGATGATCTTCAGGATCTCGTTGAGGACCTTCGAAAGGATGTTGTCACACGCGGTGTCCGTCCGTTGCCGAGACAATTGGAAGCTGTGGGGCGGGATATTAGCGCCGTATCCAAGGAGCTGAAGAAGATGCAAGAATTCCTTAAACGGGAGAAGCCTATATGGACTAAGATCTGGGAGAAGGAGTTACAACTCGTGTGCGAGGAGAGAGACCAACTGACAATGCAAGAAGATCTGGTGATCGACCTTGAGGACGATCTCGAGAAGGCAACACAGACATTTGCCCTTGTGGAGCAGGCCACGAAACAACAAAGTCTGCAAACCAACTCGAACTCAAACTCAACCACCGGACCCCAGGGCTTCAGAGCTGTCTCCCGCAATATCCCAGCCAATGAACCGTTTGATCCTATGAAGGCCAAGGATCACCTTCTGGGAGAAGTAAGAGCACTCCTTCCAAATCACAAAGATCGACTTGAAGCTATAGAGCGCGCGGAGAAAGCGAGACAGAAAGAACTGAAGACTCGAAGAGTCGGTCCCCTCCAAAAGGAGCTGGGGAAATTTGTCGAAGAAGGAAAACTGAAGAAGAGTGGCGGGTTTGAGGAGGTTGAACGGATGCGGAAGGCTAAAGATGAACGCATACGAAAGGAGGTGTGGGATCGAATGAATGGTGCAGTCGCTGAAGTGGAGTCAGCCGTGCCCGCAACAGCACCTCCTCCTGCAGATGACAAAGACGAGGAGAAGGCTGATCTTGGTGGGGAGCCAGAGACCTCAGTGCCGGGCCCAGCGAAGGAAGTCCCAGATGAAGATGTTGGCGCTGGTTCCGGTGATGACCCCGCGCCAGGTGAGACTGCGAAGACGACTATATTACTACCTGCTCCTGGTACGTAAAGAGCAAGGGATTTTCAATATACATATTTACAACATATATGCGAATTCAACTACAAACACAAGGAGAACTCTCTAACCTTAACCTCTGTGGGCTTAGCTTCTTCAGCTCGCAAGCGCACATCATGGCTCTCTTCCATATTCTCCAATTCCCACTGAATATTGGAATCCACAACCCCATCCCCCCTCCCTCCCCCAACACAACCCGTCGTTTTGTTTGATTTTGGGGAGCGAAACGTATTGGAATCTTCTTTTTTTGCGTTGCCCGTGAATAAAGCTGGGCTATTATCATGTCTGGATATTTGCGTATTTTGGTATTTTATTGTTTGTTTTATTTTCTTCGTTCAATTTATCAACTCTATTCCTTTTTTTGTTGGTCGTTTATGTTTTGCTAATTGATATTCACTATAATAACACCCTAGTCCCGGATGCTGTGTCGGCAGGCCTGCGTCTTATATAAAACCTCATTGTCTTGCAAGTGGTTGATGTGCTGGAAGTTTGGCACTTAGTTCCTTGATTCATTTTTTGTCCTTTGCCCCTCCAACTCCTGCTTTGATCCAGCAGATCATTCATCATCACCCTTCTTTTTGTTCTCATTGAACCTTTTGTCGCATCTCTAGCTCTGCTAGTATGTTTTTCTCTTGCTGTTTTACCGTTGGCATATATATACTTGGATAGATAGCGCCTCTCCTTTTATGTACATCCTCTTCTGTCATCCTCATTTTTTGTTGTTATCGATACCCCAAGACACCCTTTCCGTTTATCATCATCTACACATGCGCATGCTCTTAACTATTATTTCCTTGTTTCCTTAGTCACCCACCATTTTTCCCTTTTTTCATCTTTCATTTTTCATTTTTTTGATTTTATTGTTGAAACCTGTTTCTGGTGTGTCTTAACGCGATCGCTGCTGAGCAGGCGCCATCAGCTGGTTGGTTGGTTCGGTGGGCGGAATTGGGCAAAGCTTGGATGAGGATGATTTGGATAGTGTCCATTTATTGTTACAACCCCCGATATTTATTTACTCTTGCTCATAGCTCTGCTGCTGAATCTTCGAGTTTTATTTCATTTTTTCCTACCAATAATACGACATATATTTTCTCTCGATATTGGTATTCTGCTCCGTATTTTCAATGCTGAAGTGCTATTTTATATTGCTGCACAGTGAGGTCACTCTACATCCAAGCCCAGCCTACAACATTTTAAGACACCTCCTACCAGAAGCTCTCTTATCACCGCCAACTGTGTGATACGAAAACAAATGAAACACTGCAAGAATCGTAAATCCAACTCCCGAGACCATGAATATTCTTATTCTGCCACCAACTTTACAAGTGACCGTTTTCATTTCTTGTTGTATGAAAGGTCTTGGAACGTCCAACACCTAGCCGAACAATGTTGTCTTGTTCTGGCACCCCCCTGCAAACCTGAACCTGTGACAGCGTTCATTCGCTAAAGCCCACCCCTTTGATGATATGTAACTAGTTATAGATAACATACCATTTTTGTTGATTCTCTTATCCTTCGCATATCTTCGAACTTGCACTTTCGAAACCAGTCACTATCCATAATTCCCAGTCAGAGCATCTTCGAACTTTGCACCTATTTCCGTACTTCAATCACATCGATCTGGTTTTCAAGCTAAATAGCCAGGAAGCTAACAAAGGCTGAGCAGGGGGCCTGATGAGGTGGCTCCCCTCTCCAGCTGTCTACCAGAACCACCACCTCGTCCTTTTCCTTCTTCACGCCTCGAAACTCCTAATAACGGCTGCAAGTGCCACAGGAGTTCTTCCCAACGATGACATATCTGATACAGAGCTCGTGCAGGAGAGATTGGTTCAGAGGGATGTGGAGATCCAAAAGCGACTGGCAGATCAGTCGCCGGTTGGCGTGAGGAAAATGTCTGATGATGAGGGGGAGAAATTTTGGCTGGATTATTGGTATTTCGGTGACGATGACGATGGCAGTATACCACAGCAAAAGCAGAAATTTGGTCATGTAAACAAGGGGAAGGATAGCGACAATTTTGGTGGATCGATGGATCCGGATGGCCTCACTGGTGTCAATGAGAAGGGAGCAAAAGGGTGGGAAGAGCTCTGGATGAATAGGTCCATGCCGTTTTTATACGCTCCGCTCCCATTACATGCAGCAGAGGTAGGAAATGGGGACGGAGCGGATCAAGATGAAGCAGGGGGACGGGACCGCTCACTGCGGGGGTGGATGGCCCGAGACCAGGGCCGTATGTTCAGGAAGAGAGATTTCCGATGTCCTGCGGACACGGAGCCGTGCATGTCAATCAACCGGCCGAATAGCTGTTGTGGGACTGGAAGCAAATGTATACTTGTTCAAGATCGAGATGTGGGTTGCTGTGGGCGAGGTGATGAGTGTTCGGGTCATCTTATTGAGTGTCCGAAGGGGTTCATGGAGTGTCGTGATTATCCGGGGGGTGGCTGCTGTATACCGGGCTATTCTTGTGTGGATCAGGGGTGTATGTTTTTTTTTTTTTTTTTTTTTTTTTTTTTATCCCAAACTACGTCTCCCTTAACGCTGTATAAAAGTGATTCAACTAACCGCCTCAAACACAGGCATCTACATCTCAACAACAATCATCACCGCAATTCCCCCCCCACTATCACCGCCACCTTACCCCACAACTACAAACCCCATTGATCCCCCTTACCGTCGAACCTCCAACCCCACAACCACCATAACCACAATCCCGTCGCAGCTACTCACCAATGCTACCCCTGAAACCCCAATTATAGCCGGTTGCCCCACCGGCTTCTATGCCTGCAGTGCCGTCCACCATGGCGGCTGCTGCCGCATCGGTCTCGATTGCAACCCCACTTCCTGTCCGGAGATCTCCTCAGCTACTATCGTAGACGCCAACGGCTTTACCGTTGTTGTACCCGTTGATGCTACATATTCTTCTGGTGGTGCCAGAGCACGGAGGTGTGCCGGGGGCTGGACGAGCTGTGCAGCCTCTGCGGGTGGTGGCTGTTGCCCAGATGGATTTGTCTGTGGGCACGTTAGTTGTACGGCTTCAGGTGGAGATAGGGGCACGGCGGTGGTGGGGAAGACAGCACCAGAGAATGGAGTGGTAAGGGTAATTGGATCCGGTGTTAGTGCTTTAATTGGAATTTGGTTTATGGTAATGATAATAAGTGTGGCTTGGTAAAAATCTGCCAATCATCAATTTTTTTTTTTTTTTTTTTTTTTTGATTTTAAGAATGTTATCCAACCGGGACCTTAAAGAAATGTGGCCTTTGCAAAGATGTGTCCTTATTTAATTTGGGTAATGGGATTTGCTTTTATCTGTGATTGATATAGACATCTTCTGATTTCGTTCTTCTTGGATATTATTGATGGACCTGGAGCTCCTTGATGTACAATTTCTGTGAATAAGAGGACCAAACTTTGAATTGAACCCATATACCTATTTATTTTCATTTTATACCGTGTCTTATTCCATACCCGTTATTATGTATCTCTATGTCTATTTTTATATTTTCATATCCCTTGATGTTATCCTCATAGAGAAAGAATGAATCAACAATAATTAAAAGAAAAGAAAAGAAAAGAAAAGAAAAGAAATAGGAATACAAAGAAGGGGCAGGACGCTCTAAAAACGTACGCAAAACAAAAAAGAGATCTAATAATTACACAGAAAAGGAGACAGAATATAGAAACTCAGACGGGATATATTTAAAGCTTGCTTTGTCTCTTATTCTTCACCAGTACGTCGGTAGACGGATACGGGTCGAATGTTATATTGTTAGCGGGATTCAGCTCGCTGGCTCGGTAGAACAGGTCCTCGTAGACCTTGCCATCGGAGCGGCCCAACGAGCTGTCGAGCTGCCAGTCTGGGAATTTCCATGCGTCAACAAGTCGGACGGCATGGGGTCTGACCTCATCAAGCAGGGTCACCACTGCCTTCGTTCGTGTGAGGGTGATTTGACGGATGGTCACAGCACCGGAGGTGAAGAACTCGGCGGATTCACGCTCTAACATATTGAGGGCGAATAGACGGAAGAGTTTCCAAAGGACTGCGGTCGTGTCAGGGTCGAGGGCAGATGTTGTGCTAGGTGAGGAGAGGGCCTCGTAGAAGTTCTTCACCACAAGATATTGGGAGTGAGCGGTAGAGAGGTGGTAGAAATCGATGAGCAAACTATTCCAGGAACGCTTTTCGACATCACGGTGCTTCAATGCCTCGAACGTCAAGAAAGCGGTACGCCATGCAAAAGCATCTACGATTTCGGCGTCGCTGTCAAGAATATCGAAGGCGGCTCCCGTGTCTTTGCGGCTTAGGTAGCCTTTGAGAATACGGCAGGTGTCGTTATCCGGGGCTTGGCCGGCGAACACTGCCCTAGCAGATTTAAGGAGCTGAACCCAAAACTATTAGTTATTTTCCTTTCGTATTAACTGGAGAAACTCTAAATGGTTGGACTTACGTATCGTGCGACTTGTTGGGTCAACATGTAATTGTCTCCCTCCCAGGTAGTTGTTGGCAAATAATCAGCATACCAGGGACCGATGCCGCTGTAGCTACTGTTAAGGGGGTTAGTTTTTCCCCCTCAAAAAGCATAAATTGACGCCGAAAATAACCGAAGCGTACCTATACCCATGTCCACCACACGCACGACGGCATACTTCTAATCCTTCAGCAGCTATTGTACTTCCAAGGGCTTTCAGGCCACAGGAGGTGGCGTGGAGATCAGCGAGGAGGATGGCGCCAGCCTTCTCTGAGCCACCCGCAGTTATCAGCTTCTGGTTTTGTTCGTACATCTCCATCATTCGCCGTCCAGTAAAATGGAGAGCAAACGTAGCAGCAAGGAGAGGCAGAATTCGAATCTGAACCATCTTGTAATCCAGAACCTGGTTTTCGCCAGCGGCTTTATCTTTTGCATCGCGGTCCTGGAACTGCCTTCGAATAGAGCAATATCTCGTGGCAATTGCGACGCCTCGGGCTAGGACGCTGCCGGATTGTAATACAATAGTGGATCGAACCCAGGTCATAGTACCATAGACGAGAGAAGCGGCGGCCGGGCGCACATATTCACTCGTAGCGGGGTCCACGTGAGAGAAGCGTGCCAACATGTTTACATGTGGGATCTTAACCTTGTTCAGAAGAAGGAATCCATTATCCATGGTACTTATGATTGTTAGAATCTTCTCAAAAATCAAAGAGGTGCTGAATGAACAAACTTGTAACCAAATTTAGGTCCAATATCTCCCACATGAACTCCCTCGAGTGGTTCATGTGTCTTCAAGTCGCGGATTGGCACGACAAAGGGGTGAGGTCCGTAGCGTTTGCCACTAATAATCAATTGGGCCATAACTATGGCGTGGTTTGCCGTTTTACCCAAGGAGCCAATCCACCATTTGGAAGCGGTCAGGGTCGGGGAGTGCATGACGAAAGTCTTGTCTGTGGGGTCCCAGGTTGCGGTGGTTTCGAGACCTTGAACGTTGGATCCATGACCGAGCTCGGTTTGGGCGTAGCAGCCAATGATCTCGTACCGTTCCGCTGGCTCTAGGAAAAGTTTTGCCTGCTCTGGAGTCGACTGATTTCTGAGAGTGACCTAAACAATTAACGGTTCGTTTTGCTGTATTTCCAAACACCCTAGTTGAGTGCAAGAGAAAACTCACCAAAAACATGCTCGCATGGAGACCGTAAGGGGTGGGCTCGCTGAGAAGATTGTTGGCCATCACGAATTCTTCGTCTGTCCAGTTGTGCTGCTCTCTCAGCTGTTGAATGCGCTTAGCCTTCCCGAGGGATGCTGTCAGTCGTTCCACACGGCCCATTGATAGGTTCTGGGATTTATCAAAAACTTTCTCGTTTTTCATGATGGCCAGAATCTTCTGTTGTCTGTCAAGCACCGCCTTGGTATGAAGCAGCTCCGCCAGCTTGTCGACTGAGACATTTGAGCTGTCCCGCTCACGCTGTAGGAGCTCTGAACCCTGTGGGCCAGCAGGCTTCAAAGCCTTCACCCACTCGGGAATGGGGGCCATTTGGAAAGCGGAGGGGTGTAGATTGGAATGAGGGAGGGGAGGACGGAGAGCCAATGCGCACAAGGACAATGTGAATGAGAGACAGGGAAGAAGCAGAGAAAGAAGGAAAAGAATGAGATGAGTCCGCAAACCCCGGGAGGCGGACAATTTAAGTAAATGTCATCAAGTTCCGAAGCGCCCTATGCCGAGGTTGACCAAAGGATTTCTGGATTATGTAACCATAGCGGGTTCCTTTGCGGAGAGAATTGGACACAACCCGCTTTGGTTTATGTAGCCCAGGAGATTCGTCGCCTCCCAAAAAAAAAAAAAAAGAAAAAAAGAAAAAAAAAAAAAGTCTTGTTCCGGTAATTGTGAGGTTTGAGGGATGGAGAGTGTGAGAGAGCTTGGAGCTAATTACCCTGAACTAAAAACTTGGCCTCTTAGCCTGGCACGAAGATTCGCACGATCCGCTGCTAAGGAGTTTGCCAGAACATCCAGGAAATGAATGCACTGCGAGAATCGGGATAAAAGTTTCGTACTTTCGTGCCGCTCGACAACGCTTAAAGTGAGTGAAAACATGCATCCCGGTGAGCTAAATAATTCTTAGTTTTATTACAGTATTTCGATATTTTCTATTTTTTTCATATTTTTTTTCTGGTCCCCTTTAGCCGTGTTCTTCAGAAAACAGGACTTCTGAATCATAGGGTCCACGGGTGAAAAAAAGTCAATATCTTGAGAGTATTAAAATTCAACCAGGGCCGGTCCGCTCTCACATGCTTGTGGTTAATATCCTAGAAATCCTCTTATCACGCAAACAAATTTCCCAGGGGTATAACATGGCCTATGACATATGGTGGAGCCATTTGCACTATTGATAAGATTCTCCGGTCCTCGGAAGAGAGACCTCCCTTTTCAAAAGCCTTGTTTCACAATGATTCTCCAGAGCTGACCAAAAAGAAGCGAAAACTCTCTTCTGTGATGCTCGCAGGCCTGTCATATGCTTAAATTCGCACGTGTCCAGGTAATATGTGTATATGCAGAGCTTATCGGCCGTGAGTCGGAAGCCATAACGTGGAAGGATTAGAGCTTAGAGGTGAAGAAACCAATGGGCATCACTGGGTTTGCTTCTTACATAGAGGTTCTTTCAGACAGATTCAACACTCCTCCGCATTGACCAAAGAACCATGTTTTAAACAGGCTTTCACATTGCATCTCGAATAAAATAACATTTATTCCAGGTGTCGAAGAGGTGTTCCTAACGGTGGTCGTGATAGAGGAGTGTATGAACATAACGGCCCACGATTCTTTAAAACGCCACCTGTATATGTTGCGGATAGTATGCCGCAGTTCTTTAGTAATTAAGACACATAAATATTCACCTCTTCTGCACGTTAATGATGTAGCAGATCTCTAGCTTGAGACCTCGGAAGGCTTATGCTGCTGACAGGCGTCTACCAAGCGGCGCCTAACTAATTTCGCCTAATAGCGCCAACTGACCAATCATGGCCGCCAAGTGGAAATCAGACCGAACCGCCAGACCAACTGGTTGAACTACTCTCCACTGGTTTGGAATTTCCGACAACTGACCAGCATCAATTTCAACTCAACGCCCAATATACCTCTGCCGCAGTACTCAGTAGTTTAGTCTTCTGCAGTCACATAGGCAGACCCTTCTGAACTCTGTCTACCGCCATTGGCGACACATCCGCGTTGCCTGCACTCTCGAAGGCCCTTGTTAACATTGGTTCCCGTGACCATTCTCTCTCGGCACAGCCGCAGCTAATCAACCACAGAATGCCCGCACGGCCTCCTTCTCTTCCTCTGAGATCTCGCTACGTCCTCCGTTCGTTACAGCATCGTCAGGCGTTCTCGACGCAGAACTCGCTCAGTGGCGACCATGGTGACCATTTCGATCCGCCAACCGGATGGCTCTGGGGGGTGAAGCCCGGACACAAATACGTCAAGGAAGGATGGGAAGGCCTATGGACTTATGGCTTTGTTGGTAGTTTGCTTGTTGCTAGTATTGTGTATTGTTTCAAACCTGATACATCGTACGTGTTCTCTTCTCCCCTATACCAATCTCCCACTCTTACGACCACATCGATATGTCCGCTGTACGTGAATGTAGCTAGAAAGGCTAACAGTTCCTTTCTTGATCATCACCTAGGATACAAACATGGGCCCTGGAAGAGGCCAGAAGACGGCTAGAGAAGGAGGGCATCCTTGAAGACCCCGACGCGAGAAAAGAGCAATAATCTACCCGACTTACACTGTGATTCCGCTGTACATAGAACTTCCAAGAAATGGTGAAAAGCCAGGGTGAAAAATGTGGGAGTTTAAAGGAAAAGAAGGAAGGAAGGAAAGAGATATAGTTACCACCTCACATATAAATTTCAGACAGTTCGCACAGATTCAGTATGGGATGAGAATGTGAAGAATGCGGAGGAACGAGTGGAGTTTGTTTTTATTTTTCAGGCTAGTTCCTTAACGATGCATGTTTCTGGCACTGCGCCTTTTCTGTTCTTATCGTTTTCTCTTTTTTTTAAAAAAATTTATATTGGGGTGCTATCCACCTCCTGTTTCAAGTCGCTTGGCGGGGGCCTGAGCTGCATATTCTGGATTTACTGAATCTTTATCCAGCTTCTAGAAAATACCATGGGATGATGTAAAGTTATTGCTTCCATAAACACTGACCCTTCATATACACAGTCTGGAAAATACATTTTCAAGTACTTGTATACGAAAACACCACTTGTCAATTCTCAATCAGACAATCCTCAGTCGGTCCGCCACTATCCATCCAACGATAAGAAACCCACATCCTGATAAGCAGAAGCACTTCATACCACACTTAATGACAAATATCTAATACTCTGGATAGACATCCACCCTTCTCAAAAGTGGCATCTCCCTCCTCACCTTTTCTAGAAGTTCCAGATCAATATTGGCAACTGCAATCTCCGGCTCCTGTGACAGGCTCCCATCCCCAAGCTCAGCAACCACCTCTCCCCACGGATTGACGATCATGGAATGTCCGTAGCTAACCCTCTTTGAATTATGGGCCCCAGCTTGGGCGGCCGCAATGACATATGATTGTGTCTCAATTGCCCGTGCTCGGAGAAGGGGTTCCCAGTGTGCTTGACCCGTAGGCGCGGTGAATGCGGATGGGTAGGTTATTATCTGAGCATTTTGGCGCCTGAGGGATAGACTGATTTCTGGGAAGCGGAGCTGTATGTATGTGGATGATTATTAAATGGTGCCTGGTTGGGCCTGGTATGGGCAAAAAGCTTAGAGGGGAAGAATCATATCTGTTTACGCAGAACATACATCGAAGCAGATGCTGAGGCCAACACGGCCAACTGGTGTGAAAAATGGAGGTAGAATTTCCATCCCTTTTTCGACACTCCTGTTTCATGTGCCCGTTAGCAAATATGAGAGCAGTATAATGTCCGAAATACCAAGAAGTAAACGAAGTAAAATTCGAACATATCCTGTGTATTGCAAAGCATAAGGTTCCACGGACTTGCTCTCTTTCAATACAGGGCCATCCTTGATGTCAACATCAAACAGATGTAATTTTTGATACCGTTGCGTAATTTCCCCAACTTCGTCAATCCATATCAACGTATTCTTCACCTTTTCACCCCCTTGGGCTGGCTCATGAATTCCCACATTAATTGGAATTTTGGATTCCCGAGCTTCTTTCTGCAGACCGAGAACGAATGCGCTGTGCTGTACAGGCTGAGCGAGCGAGACGGTTTCTGACGGCGATGTGGCTATGTAATCTGATGCTTCAGGAAGGAAAAGCGCCTAATTATACTTGGAGTATATTGGGTTAGAACCAAGCGTATTTTGCTTCCAATAACTACCCCAATCACTTTCTGGTTAGGGGTGGAAAAGCTTCTGTGTCACGTCGGGTAATTCTTGGGCTTATTTAGGCTAAATACTGGAAATCACCTTTGCGCCGGCCTCAACAGCCTTTTTAACAAGTATTTGACATTGAGACAAGTTGTGTGCCATGCTCGCTGTCGAGCATAGTTGGCCGATTGCCTTTGTGATTTGAGTTAGTAAAACCCTCCACTTGACATGTCACGGATTAAACATACTGCAATTGCCATTTTCACGATCCGGTATTCACATCATGATTATGTGCATATATCTATAAGGGTATTATCAAGCAGTAAATATCCACTTCCTATCTGATGTTGAATTCATGTTAGTATTAGAATATGAAGTAAAACCAGCTAACGGTTGATATTGGCGCAAGTCGGCAAAAAACAGTGAATAACTAATCACGTGTGTGAATAGCCGCGGCGGGAAACTTCCCAAGTAAAAAAACTAATACTTGTTTAGGAAAAGTGGACGGTAATATGAGACTACACCAGCAGGTCTATCTTCGATATTATTATAACTGAAATTGAACTGACTTGTCAACATAAGTACCCACTCTCTCGTTATTCCATCTGCCAATTATAGTATACAGAAATGCTAATAATAAAGTAGAAATCGCCTTTGTTGACCACATCGCGCTCGCCCAGGAACCGTTGCTCGTACGCAACTCAGCCCTGGTTTGTCACCCGGAACCACCTTGACCGGGTCGCAATTTGAGAATACTCTACGAACACTATAGGCTCTATTACAATTCCAGGATGAAAAGTTTAAAGAGGGATCACTCTTCAAACCCGCTCGCCGCCAATGTCTCAAGCAAAATCTTCGTCAGGTCAACTAAAAGCGGGAAGGCCCAGAAGATTGTACGGGAACTATACCTACGACAAGACATACCATGCTCCTCGAAGCTATGTTCTGTGTGCTTGTCATACGCACCAACTGACGCCAATGGAAATGGTTAGAAATCTACTTGCGCAATCAGTTATTTATCGATGCTAACTTATGGGTGAAGTTACTCCGTTTGTGCTATCTGAGCGGCCCGCTGGCACGAAATCATTTCCTCGAGGCCATTACTTAATGCCAGATACGAATGCGCTTCTTAATGGTATGGACCTTTTCGAACAGACAGGTTCTTTTTATGATGTGATTATTTTGCAGACAGTGCTGGAGGAGTTGAAGAACCAGTCTCTAGCTCTATATAACCGACTGATTTCCCTAATTCGGAGCGAAGAAAAACGGTATTACCTATTTTTCAATGAATTCCGATTAGAGACCCATGTCAGGAGAAGAGCTGTGGAAAGCATTAACGATCGAAATGATCGGGCCGTTCGAACAGCAGCAAAATGGTATGAGGAACATCTTCGCAATGCGGTGAAGAGAAGCAATATAGAGCAGACTGCCCCGGACATAGTTGTCATAACCGACGATAAGGATAATCTTCGTAAAGGAGAACAGGAGGGAGTTACGGCCATGTCGTTATCTGATTATGTTTCTGGCCTTGAGGATTCCAATAGACTGCTTGACATGATCAACGAAGCTAAGTCTGCGCACAGTTCCAGGGCAACCAGGGGCCAACTGTTTTACCCTGAGTATTACTCTATATCTAAGATGATGACTGGTCTTCGCGCTGGAACTCTGCACCAGGGAGTTTTCAAAGTTTCCCCCTATAATTACCTCGAGGGATCAGTACAGGTGGCAGCTTTTGAAAAATCTCTCCTTATTCTTGGTCGAGATAACAGTAATCGAGCTATATCAGGGGATATAGTAGTGGTGGAAGTTCTTCCAAAGGACCAGTGGAAGGCTCCATCGACAAAAATCGTGGATGAGGAAACGGTCACCAAAGATGAAAATGCCGAATATGAGGAAAAGGAAGCCGTGGTGACGGAAAAGGAGAGGAGAGCCCTACAGGTGGAGGTTCGCAAAGCGCACGTAAAGACTACGGAGGGTCGACCTCAACCAACAGCTCGGGTGGTTGGGATAGTGAAAAGGAATTGGCGCCAGTATGTGGGAAATATCGACAAGATATCTACAGCCGCTCAAGCTCAGCCTGGTAGGCGACAGCAAACTGTGTTTGTCATTCCCATGGATAAGCGAATACCCAAAATTCGGATACGAACAAGACAAGCACAGGAACTTTTTGGCCAAAGAATCCTAGTTACGGTCGATGCCTGGGATCGCGATTCTAGGTACCCAACGGGCCATTTTGTACGGTCTCTGGGAGAATTGGAAACCAAAGGGGCCGAAACTGAAGCGCTACTTCTCGAGTATGATGTTCAATATAGACCGTTCCCGCAGATTGTGCTTGACTGTCTTCCTCCAGAAGGTCATAACTGGAAGGTTCCACAAAATATGGATGATCCTGGATGGCATGATCGCAAAGACTTACGGGAGTTACTTGTCTGTAGTATTGACCCTCCGGGCTGTCAGGATATCGATGATGCTCTCCATGCTCGCCCTCTGCCTAATGGAAATATTGAAGTCGGTGTCCATATTGCCGATGTGTCCCATTTCGTGAAGCCAAATACACCTATGGATACCGAAGCTAGTATGAGAGGGACAACGGTATATCTTGTAGACAAACGTATCGATATGTTACCTATGCTTCTGGGAACGGACCTATGCTCTTTAAAGCCGCATGTTCAGCGCTATGCCTTCTCAACTATCTGGGAAATGACACCTTCCGCCGAGGTCGTATCGTCATCCTGTACCAAGTCTGTCATCTTCTCTAGGGAAGCTTTCAGTTACGAACAGGCCCAGTTACGCATCGATGACATATCGAAAACTGACGAATTAACAGAGAGCATGAGAACACTTTCGAAGCTGTCGAAATTGCTCAAACAAAAGCGAATGGATGCAGGAGCACTTAACTTAGCGTCTCCGGAAGTCCGCATTGAAACCGATTCGGAATTATCTGATCCCGTGGCAGACGTTAAAACCAAAGCCCTCTTAGAAACCAACAGCTTAGTCGAGGAATTTATGCTTCTCGCAAACATCACTGTGGCTTCCAAAATTTTCAAGGCATTCCCCAAAACCGCCATGCTTCGACGCCACGCTACTCCACCACCTTCAAATTTCGAAGAATTAATTGCCCAACTCTCTAAAAAGCGCAATATGACCCTTGATGTATCCAGCTCCCTTGCTCTAGCAACTTCTCTTGACCGCTGTGTCGACCCTGCCAACCCTTTCTTCAACACTCTTATTCGTATCCTAGCGACTAGATGCATGACTTCAGCTGAATATTTCTGTGCAGGAGCCCACGCGGAATCTGAATTCCGCCACTACGGCCTTGCCTCACCAATTTACACCCATTTCACTTCTCCCATTCGGCGATACGCGGATTTGGTCGTCCACCGCCAATTAGCTGCCGCGATAGGCTACGAAGGTCCTGGTGCCTCTGCCGCAGAAGGTCTAGCTACCAGGGGCCGACTGGAAGATATTTGCAAAAATATCAACCATCGCCACCGTAACGCACAGTTTGCTGGTCGTGCAAGCATTGAATACTATGTCGGGCAGGCGCTCAAGGCACGTGGGGAACAGGAGGCGTCTAAACTTGGGGAGGGCGAGGGTACGAATGCGGGAGTAGATGAGGAAGGATATGTCATGCGAGTTTTCGATAACGGTGTTGTTGTTTTCGTGCCACGATTTGGCATTGAGGGTGTTGTGAGGTTAGAAGATTTCATTATTCCCGGAAGCACCCAGGGGGACGGGAAACACGTTGCGGCAAGGCGGGAGAGTGAATTTCATGTAGAGGATTATTCATTAGAGGTTTGGGAGAAGGAAGGGGAGAATGGAACTGGTGGGGATGCGAAGAAGAGTGTGGTGGTCAACTTGTTTGATAGAGTCAAGGTTAATGTTAGCTCTGTGAAGGAGGAAGGGGGCCGTGGTGCTGGAAAGAGGAGAGTGAGAGTATTGATTTTGGGCCAGGTTTGATTTAGATTGGGTCACTGGGAGTGATATAAATAAATAGAATCTTTTTTGATTTAGAAACCAAAGGAAGGCTCAGTAGTATTATGTTATAGGAAGCAATGAGAACACACAATATGCACAGGGTCATGGTCTATAATTCTAAATCTTCTAAACACAAATGCAAAGTAGGAATTTCTTGACCCTCTCTAGGTAGCAGCTTTTTAATCCCAAAGGTGAATGTGTGCACTCTGGTACTTTCGGTCATGTACACTCTATAAATTCTAACATATGTGCATGTGTGATTCAGATGCTTATGTAAAAGCAAAGCTCGTACTATCTATGAAATCTCAAAAATGCAAAATGAGCAGTGTGAGAAATCAACAAAGCTTTCCTAAGAACCGATATGCCAACGTTCTTGTTGCATGGAGTCCTCTCACCATCAGTAAGAATTGTCATATGATATCCCAAGTAACCAGACTGCGAAGAAGCACAGCTGGGTTCCATGTGCTTGTTCTGGTCGCTGTAGCAATAGGATCTGTACATGTTACTGGCGGTGCTACCACAGGCTGGTTCGACGGGTGTATATTTCCCTCAGGCACGCAAGTGGTGTCAACTGGAGCTGCCGTGGGGAAGACTGAATTTCCACCAATCTTCATCGTCCTCGCAGCAATCGCGGCATCTGCAACAGCCTTTCTTTCCGCAGCAGCTTCGTTATCGCCAACTTTCCAAGCGCGTAAGACCCACAAACACAATGCCCCAACAATATATGCAAGTCCCGCAAATAGCTGTGCATACAAATAGGCGCGGTTCTTCTTCGAGTTGTCCTTCACGAGAACTGCTATTGGTTCCGAAACAGTCGTGGGGGGAACCATTAGGACCCAGGTGATGCTTAATGCGCTGGGAAGCTGTTGGAGACCGACCACTTCAGCACACACAGGAACGACAGTGGTCCAGAATGTCCCTGCCACGGTTCCCGCAACGATGGCGAAAAAACATAAAAGACCCATGCTTTGGGTGGGGGTCCAGACGGCTAAGCAGAAGACACCGCAGAAAATTGAGAGGACGGTGGCCACGTTGAGCCGGCCATAGCGATCACTGAGTAAACCGATGACCGGACGTCCCAGCCCCTGACCAAGATTGAGAAGAGCACCCACGATGCTACCCTGACGTGCAGTGAGTCCAATCGATAGCGCAAAGTTGGGGAGGCTGAAGAGTACCACAACGTATCCTAGTAAACTGAAAACGCCCCATCCTTGTAAGAGGAGGAATTCGGGCCGTTTAAGCAGGGGGAAATGAAATGCTTTGTATTGGGACCCAGTAGCTTTGTTTCGGTCTTTTATTAAATTGGCCGCGATGAGATTGACGACAAATGTGATGAGGCCAAGGATACGGAATGTCCAGCCAAGCCCCAATCGCGATATCATCGACCCCGTCGCCAAAGAATAGGTTAAGCCACCAATACCTGAGCCGGCAGCCGAGATGGAAGTTGCAATGCTTCTCTTGCGGAGAAACCATTGAGACGTAATGCCCACGGAGCCATTGAATAGCAAACCCATGCCGAAGCCGAAACAGACACCTTGGCTTAGAAAAAGTTGCCATTGCTTGGTGGCAAACGAAGCCCCGATGAACGAGATTGTTTGGAGCACGACTCCAACATTAAGAATGGGTTTGTTTCCGAAGAGATGCACTAGGTGCGTTACCAGAGGGGCTACCAACAGACAGCATGACATGCTTAGGCCGCCGGTAAAAGCGTAGGTGAGGTCACTGGCATCGGGGAAAATATCATGGGATAGATAATAAGATAGAAAGACAGCATATGACTAGTTAGGGGTAGCAGGGAAGCCTATGAGCCAGTTGTTTATTATTTTACCGGCAAAGCTATAAAGAACACAGGTATCGGGAGGGGAGAATATTGACCAGGATCAAAACTTACACTGTTCAAACCCCATGTGTTCCCATTGATCCATGCTGAGCACGCCACACAAACCCATCCATACCCACCATCTGGTGGTGCATCGTCCGGCGGTTTACCGTCTATTCCCTCGTCAGACTGCTGGGTGATATCACTCTCGAGAACCTTTTCTTCTAGAGGTCTGCCCTTCCTGGCCGATAGCTCCGCAGGGGTCTGATGTGAGTCAATCCCAGCCTCAACCCCAATGTCGTTTGAACGGTTGTTGGTCATGACTTATCGGTACATGGCCAACGTATCAATATTGATTCGAAAACACCCTATAAGAGTTCGACCGTCTGTATGGAATTTCACCGGAGAGTCTGACGTGAAGGGGGAACTTTTTCGCGAGCAAAAACCATGCAAGGAGATAGCAGGAAAATTCCTTATATTGGGTGGGAAATAAATTAGTTATCACTAAATTATATATATCCTTTCGATTGAACTTTCAGGGAAATAGTTCCAGAAATCCAGCGCGCAACAGATAAAGGGACAAAAGAGAATATCGACAATAAATGTGAATCTCATTATAGCGGCTGCTGTGCTGTTTCCCTTAGCCGTGGTAAAATGTTGGTCATATCTTAACTAATGTTTTGCCGCGATGTGGGGGGATCTGGTTTACTGCAACCAGTCGTGGTGAGTATAGAGTACCAGGATTCTGGCTTCTCGGACTTAGGGAAAGACTTTCTGGTGCCGACTCCCCGAATTGCGGGGGAAGTTGAGGCAAGATGGGGGCCATTGAGCGCCGGGTCAGAGGTTCTCCGCATCTTCCTCCAGGCTCCATATTGACTGACTAGTTACGGTCTGTTGGTTCGAGCAACATCTTTACCTAGGTAATTAAGACTTGTCTCCGGCATAGTTTCCGGATAAGTTAAACAGAACTGATAGAAGCTCCAAGGCATAGCTATATATCATTGTTCCCAACTCAAGGGGTCATGGGTTGCCACTAGTTATATTAGAAGGTTAAGGACTTGTTAAAATTGGAACCTCGTCGTCATTATTTTGTAGTTCCGATGCGATTCAGCCTCCTTCGGCATTTATCACGTGGCACTGTGTAGTGCCGCGTTGTCATCGCGACGGATCACGTGATACGATGACATGGGCGTTTGTTGACGCGATGCCCAGAAGAAGAAATATTGAAGCCGAAGAGAGCGAGAGACATGTAACAGACTTAGCGTTGGTGGATGGGACAGGGCGAGACAGCCCGAAGATGGGGACTCATATAAATATAATCCTCTCCTAAGTTGATGGATGAAATATCCTGCACCCCCTTTTCCAGAACATCATTAATAAGCATTATTATTAATCCGCATGCTTCATCGATATCTTGTCTGTTCCTCTCGATCTACATAAACAGCCAGCAACAAAGAATATATTTTTGTATATTTATATATCAACCGCCAACGTATACACAAAGACTCGTATTGTTTTCTTGGCTGGCAATTTAAGCTCATCCTGTTTGGAGCCCCCTTGAGTAAATGATATCAACATCAATGATACACTCTGCAAGGTCGAAGACTGGGACCCGGAAGATATCTCCTCCGGGCCCAAGTTATATGAACAAGGAACAGATTGGTGGGTAACGCCCTTTTGTTTGCATGAATTAACCGGGTTCACGACAGTTACTGGGAAGGGATCAGTTCGAGTCCCGCAGGTTTCATTGCTATGCTTGGTGTTTGTTCTTCTGACGAAGAGCCATATACATCCCCTATTGGTACTAATACATCTGTCCTCGTAGCAACGTACCTGAATGACCTTCGAACAAATAGGCCTCCCCGACCCAATGGATCTCGACCATTGCCTACGAATTATGTGTCATCGACCCGAGGGTTAAGAAGTGATATGCCACCACGTGCGTCGTCAGCACTATCTATAAACGCGGATTCAGAAAGTCCTCGCCTTGCATCCGGAGAAACCTACAATCGCTCAGCAAGTGCTCTATCTCACCATAGGACTAACCCAGGTCTCTCTGTCGAAGGCGAATCAGTCGGACATTTGGTAGACGAAGAGGCACCATCGTCATCGTATGATATAACAAGAAGCTTCACTCCAAACCCAACCCTTGTGTCAAAGACAGGAACATATAGAGAACGGGATCAGAGGTGGATCGAAAGGGAGGAAGCTCGCTCGTTACGGCAAGCTCTGGAAGAGATGGATTTTCAAGATGAGGAAAAACGATTGCATGCTGCGGCTCAGGACGAGGCCACACAGTTGGTGCTGAGCCACCAGACTTCTGGATTTCCCAAGCTTAATCCAACAGCTCCATATCGAAATCCAGACCTATATGCCACCAACCAATTTCGTCAGCATCCGAAGAAGGGCGCACATGCAAGAAGCAAGAGTCTGGGGACTTCTGGGGAACAAAGTTCAGGTGTTAGAGGACCAGGAACCCTTCGATCTGTGTCAGATAGCTCAAACGACAGCAATACCGGTAGAGAAAGTCCTGAATTCCAAAGACCACGTGGCACCCTCACAAGATCTCATGTTCCACCAAAAATTGTCGAAGTTCCGGAGGATAATGCAACTAATCTGGTCACGTACAGTGGGACTTTGCGGACAAAATCGAAGGTTAATTTTGCTCTGCCCTCTGAAGATTCCTCCGACTCTCAACGCACAGTTATCGGAAGCAACACAAGGCCGCGAACAACGAGAATTGCCAGTAATGATTCAGCTAAGGGTATTTTCCGAAATCCAGAGGATCATATATACGAGGAGCCGCAGGATGACAGTTCCGAAAAGCAGGCTCAAAACACGCAAACTGAAGTATCTCGCTCATCTTTAAATGTCAAGACTCGAAATTCGTTGCCTCTCGGTGCTCGACCATTCCCTGGAAGATCCAACATAGTTTCTTCTCAAAAGAAGCTCTGTCCTTTCGACATCCATAAGAATCCTCCATCCCAGTCGAGGAATCCTCTCTACAGAGAGAACCCGTCACCCTCACCACCTCCCGTCTTCAATAAAGACGCTGACGACGCCCCTCCAACTAAAAATGGTATAGAAATACGTGGCAACGACATTCGTGCGGCCACAAGTATGCGACTGAAGGATCGTAGCACTAAATTACCCATGCCAACGGTTGTCAGTGATCGTCCTGGTCGCCCAATTGTGAGCTTTGATCCGTGTTGGAGAGATAAATCACGGAAAAATTCGCCTAGAGACACGCCACGGAGCAGTCTTGGAGGAAGATCTACGCAAGAACCCGCTGTGGTCGACGTTACTCCTCCAGCATCCACTACCGTGATACCAACCATTAATGTTCCCGAAGAGCCTGCATTTCCGGTTATTGAAGACTCTGTAGATGCTTCAGCCGCAGTAACCATTTCAGCATCCACACCTCCAACAATATCTGAGATGAAGGCTGCTGAGGAAAGCACCCGACCACTACGCAGCCCGGACTCGAGCCAAAATAAAAAGCGTGGCTTCAGAAATTCGAGAGGTTCAACAACAAATCGTTGGTATACTCCCTATGCACGAGCGGGCGTTCCAGCCGCCTCGTGTGACTCGTGTGGACTACCCATAGCTGGACGTATAGTAACAGCGTGTGAATCGCGCTTCCACCCCGAATGTCTATCATGCCACCATTGCAAAACGGCACTTGAGTGCGTCGCCTTTTACCAGGAACCCGAAGCCAAAAGAGCGGAAAGACTCGCGAACGCAGACTCTAGCGATGAAGAAGCCAGTGGCAAACGATTTTACTGTCACCTAGATTTCCACGAGCTTTTCAGCCCGCGGTGCAAAAGCTGCAAGACACCAATTGAAGGCGAAGTCGTCATCGCATGCGGGGCGGAATGGCATGTTGGTCACTTTTTCTGCGCCGAATGTGGCGATCCATTCACCCCGACCACCCCCTTTGTGGAGAAAGCTGGGTACGCCTGGTGCATTAATTGCCATTCTAAACGGACTGCGTCACGCTGCCAGGGATGTAAGCTGTCAGTGCTCGATGATGTTGTGGTTACTGCTCTGGGTGGCCAGTGGCATGAGAAGTGTTTTGTGTGCAGTGAGTGCAGTGGTAGCTTTGGGCCTGAAGGGCGCTTTTTCGTTAGGCAGGGGGAAACAAAATATACCAAGAAAGGTCGTCAGATTGGTGGACCTGTCGAGACTGCTGTTTGCGAGGCTTGTGAGGGACGAAGGCTGAAGGGTTAATTCTCTTCGATTCAATATCGTGACGATGTCCGTTGTGAACTCTCTGAAGAGTCCTGGGGCGTGTTTTATCGCGACATTACTGGAAACGAATTACCTTGATTTTTGAACACATGCAGCGTGCACTACGGTCTACAGTCCCAATATGGAATCTGTGGTTTCGAGTAATCCCAAAACTGATACAGATTCTCGGACATTCCCCCGGATGATTGTGATGAATTGTTACGTCGAGCTTTGCTATTGGATATTTGCTGCCTTGTGTTTCCGAGTGTTTTTCGTGCATCTTTCAGGGTATAAGACGATCCTTATTGAATGTTTTGAGTGGGAAGCATGTTACGCTGTATTGTCTATCAGTGGTTTCATTTTTACTGGGTCTAATTTTGGGGATTCAGACCTCGTCGCCTTATCTTCCGCTATTTCCAGGCCATGTTTTTGAACTCGTTATCTCGAAAAAATAGTGCTTTGATTTGTATTTTCAATTTGGAGAACCTTTTTCCATTTGCTGCTTAACTGTTTCGAGGAAGTTGACCTATGAGTAGTGGGTTTCATTTTCGGTTCCTTATTTTCGTCTTCACTCCACTTGCAAAATTGGAAACGAATTTCTTTAACCTGGAATCTGAAATTTAGTTCCATTTGCCGGTAATACGACCTTCATTTTGAGCATTCTATAATGCATCGCTTCGTCTAGAAGCTTATCCCAAGAATTTCTTTAACCACAAAATCATATCTAACGAAAGACAGTCAGCAAGGCCATTGCGGATCTTCCTTCCTTCTCCAAACAGCCACATACTTATGTCCCTTATTTCTTGTGACTTTCTTCCCCTCCTCCGTCTCCTCCATCATAACCTTAACACACGGATCCTGCTCCAACTCCTCATCCCCTACTCTCTCAAACAGTTCTTTTACGTTATTTGCCCCTCCACCCCCAGCCTCCTCGTGTGCCTCTTCTTCTCTATCTCCCCCTCCGTCTACACCCTCAAAATGGCTGACTATCCACCGATGCAACTCCTCCACATCAGTGATGGTATATAACTTTCCACCAGGCCGGAGAACATATGCATACTCAGCATTCAACGAAGCGGATACGATTCGCGCCTTGTGCTTGCGGGTTTTGAAGTGCGGATCTGGGAAGCAGATAAAGATGGAGGATAGTTGGTGATGCGCGAAGAAGTTTGGGAGGAATTTCATAGTATTAGAACGGATGGCGGAGATATTTTGGTATGTGGCACTCGCACAGGATAGTGCTGGTGGAGCTGGAGAATGTGATTGTTCTTGTGATTGCGAAGGGGAAGATGGGGTAGCTGCCACCTGTGAGGACTCAACGAGGGCTTTTGCTGGAGGCGTGGATGAGGTGTCAGGTGTTGGTAGGGGTGATGCAGGACGCTGTGCACGCAGAGCGCGGATGCGATCTGTTACATATTCAAGGACCTGGGCGCGGAGCTCCATGCCTACATGAAAATCGTTAGATCAATTGTCAGATCTAAACGTCGTCATTTTGTTTATTTAGAAACAGGATAACTCACCAACCATCAGAGTATCCGGCAGCAATGGTGCCAGAGCGACCAACAGCCCTCCAAAACCACATCCAATATCTGCTATTTCGACATCCTTTGTTAAAAGTCGTCCACCACTAAGGTTCACGTTCTCTGGATTTGGGTCTATGTAGGCGGGGAAATGTGTTGACCAATCCATGTGCGCTGGACTGATCGGACTGGTTGGTTCAGGCACATATATTAGCTTCCTTACCCTTCCTTATTGTTTATTGCATCAGACAAGCCTCAGTGGAACTCTTACTATGACAACCGATGGTCAGAAAACGGGTTCGCATGAGCTCGCTGTCGGTATAACCTTTTCTGGGGAAGAGGGACTGCTCCGCTCTCAATTTGCTGCTGTTGGGTTCTGCGGTACTCGCTGCGCTTCTGGCGTTTTCGGGGAGACGTATATGACATTTTGACTTTACTCCTGCTATTATGTGCTATCTTTGTATTGTTTTCGCAAGCCGTATTCGTTCTCTTTGGGGCTCGTCCAGCCAGGATCGGACAACTGTGCGGGCGGCGAATAAATTTTGTTTTTCACGGGTAAATCCAAAATTGTATCTGTTGCCTCGAAATATATAAAGGTCTTTCCCCAAAATACCCAGAAATTGTATCAATTGGGCGCGGTCATTGTATCCCGTCTGACAAATAATATATTGTTATTCCTACAGTTAGTTTTGTCAATGGTTGATTTTAACATTGAAGACCCGCACATTGTCACGTGTGATCTTTATCTTATCTGATCGGCTGATCCTTGGAGCGCGACGGGGAAATATCAGAAGTGAACTTTTGATGTCGATAAGATATTCTCCGTACGATCCATTGACTGCCAAACACCTCGATACGACATCTGCATAAATTCCATTTTGCTTTATAATCTAGCTTCAAAAACGGAAGCTCATCCCCCATGTAGAATCTCTAAAGACCAGCAAGATTGAACATGACACCGTCATCCACTCCTCCTCCCTCCAGAGGAATGCTCACAAACTCCACCCCAACCCACGGCTTAACCCCAAATCAACTTTCACTCTCTCCCTCTCCCTCTCCCTCACCCTCACCCTCTCCCTCTCCATCTGTATCCGCAGCCGCATCCGCCTCCGCATCTGCATCCGCACCAGCATCCGCACCAGCATCCACCTCTCCAGCTACAGCACCGGGTCCCTTCAAATTTCCCCCAACCTATTCCTTCCCGCCCTTCTTCACCCTTCAACCAAACACCACAACCCGCCTCTCACAATTCCAAAAATGGTCAGCGCTAATCCAAGCCTGGTGCCGCCATCACCGCGTCTACCGTCTCTCTCTCATTGATGCCGTTGACTCTCCACTTTTCTACAACGAAAAGCTGCGCAAGCGGCTCAGTCTGGCAGATGCGAGGACAATTGTTGATTGGATGGTTCGTGGGGAGGGAGACGGGCGCAGGGCGGAGTGGGTCGGCGGAGACTCAGGTGGGAAAGGGGTAGCGTGGATTTGGTGGAGGACGCCGGAAGAGTGGGCTGGGGTTTTGGTTGATTGGGTAGGCATGCCTTGCTTATTTTTGACTTTTGTTTAGGGAGGGAGTATGGGTTTGCGATTATATATTTTCTCATTTGCTAACCGCCTGGTATAACTTTTAGGTTGAGGACACTGGACAGAAAAATACCGTCCTTACGCTATATGAGTTGGTGGAGGGCGAAGCCACCATTTCACAAGGTCGGTTATTTTGTTTTTTAAACTTACACCCTCCTCTCCCTTCCCCTGAGCCACAAGAGTTAGTATGCTCATTTAGCGGTGATACTCCAGAATTCCATGGCATGGATACCGACGTTTTATTAAAGTCTTTGAATATCTTGGTCAAGAGGGGTAAAGCCCAAGTATTTGGCAGCGAAGATCAACAAGGCGTCAAGTTCTTCTAAGAAACTGGAACTTACGTCGAGCGCAAAATTGGCTTCTGCGCTCAGTATTCATTATGCCCCAAGTAAGCAGTTGGACTGCATTAGAAAAATCCAAATATGCGATCAGGATCACTAATCAGCATAACCACAACGGGAGGTAAGTTGACGAGCTAAGGGAGCCAAAATCAAAACAGAAAAACTATATACCACACGTCGAAGATACGAACGCTCAACGAAATTGATCTTCTAAACCCCTGTCCCGTACAAACCACCCCTGAAATAAACGCCAATTACACCGGAGAAAGTCATGGATATGAACGTATACAGAGATATATATAGTGCATGTGTATTGGGCTGTAGTCAACGTTAACATGCCACGACACGTTAAGCGTCAGCCATCTGTGCGTCCTCCTCTTTCAACTCCAGAGAAGTATTCGTCCGCCACTCCTGCGCCATGGCAATAATCAAAAGCCAGTCAGGACGAACAATTTTGGGTACCTTTTTGGCATTCCATACCATATTCCTGAACTTAGGCCATAACCTCACATGACTTTTCTCAGTGCCGCTGATGAGATATATCTCATCCATATCTGGCGCCCCGTCATTCCGTCTAATTACGTCACTGCTTCGACGCTGATTTGGTAGCGTGATGCCCGATCGGCCACGGAACATTAAACACTGGCCCCCGTTGCTTTCGATAATGGATTTAAATGCGTCAAATCCCCCAGTGATGGTTTCAACACAGTATAGAATCCTGCCGCCTAACAGATGGTTTTTGTTTTCTATCGCATTATTCCTGGCTTTCTCTAACGAGAGGCAGAATTTCTCCTCCGAAATGGGATCATGCAGCAGAAAATCGTTCGTGTTCAATAATTGGTTCTGTTCGAGACATGCGTCTATAAAATCGGTTCTGAGGATCATGGGAGCATAGGCGATGGCATTGACGAATTTATGAGTTCGTAAGATGCAAGGGGCTGCCAAATGGGTACATTTTCTGGCGTCTTGGACGACGTGGATGCCTAGATTCCGTAGTTGACGCTATGCGATTTGCAGTGTTAGTTTAAAGAGATTCAAAGAGCACAGAATGGAAACCACAAACCCTATCTGCTTCCTCCTTTTTTAAATCTCCAATCCATTTCCGATAACCCGTGAGTAGAAGATGCATGATAATGGGTACTTGTGTCTGCTTCCGTTTTTTTGCCCCCTCAATGTCTACTTCATCTTCCGGTTCCATTGATCTCTTCCGAGATGAGCCTTTCTCGTTCAGATCACTCTTCCTTCGACCACCGTAGACAACCCCACCCACACGTTTCTTTTCCTTTTCGTAAAGGGCAATGTCAGGGGCAATTTCATGTAGCCTAGCAGTAGCTACATCTTTGGATTTTCTGCTTCCCGTTGTGGACGGAGTGGCATTTTCCTTTCCCTCTGCAACGAACTTCGGAACCTGTGGGGTTTGAAGATGTGAGTCTCTAGGTTTGTTTAATGATTTGTTTGATTTGGACACTTTGGGCGTTACTTTGGTTGGAGCCGGACGAGTGGGTTTTCTTCCACTAGAATTTGGTGTATTTGTGTTGTTACTAGCCGGCAGATTGTTAGTCTTCGAGCGCATAGCTGTGGAAGGGCCTTTCCAATAAGAAACAGCAGTTTCCGCGGGGAAGAAGTGCTCTTCGATGGCGAAGCGGTCGATTTTAGTCTGACCGACGATTTCTCCCAGGTTGGTCCGGTGCGGGAAATGTGTGAAGCGTGGGTCAGTGACGGTTTGGAGCTGCCATTTGGCATAGCTCCCTTCAAGCCAGAGGTGGTTTACAACATGGATATTCCACTCCCTAGCGGCGGTGCATTTCTCACTGGTTCCATGTGCTGTGATGAGGTGAGTATTGTCTTGTTTTAGTGTTTTCGTACATTCAGCACCACTGGCCGCGATTAAATTTTCGAGATATATCCGTGCTTCACCAGCATAATTTGACAAACTGATTTTGAAGCCTTTAAACCCTGGGATCCCATGTCTGGAAAGAGGATAGTGGAGTAGCCGCCGTAATGGAGACATCCATGAATTGTGCGTGATGAGATGGAAAAGCCAAGATAGATTTCCGACATCCTTGCCTAGCCTTGAAGCCGCTATGTACTCCTCCCCCTCGCGATATCGACAAATGAATAAGTCAGTGTTCTGAACATCGTCTGTAACGGAGCCGCCGCCTTTTTGTATCAGTTCTTCCAAACACTCATGAAGGCGTGACGCAATCTGCAAATCTCGCGATAACATTACAGTCTTGCCCTCGAAAACGTTTAAATCGCTTCGAACTTCCTCATACAGTCTTTCGGGAGACAAGGACTTCGGCTCGGATGCTGACGCGCCAACAATATTCTTATTTTCAGTGACTCGCACAGGAGCGTTATGACGCACGCGAAGGATTTCTGGATCTGGCAACAAGTAGGGGCGCTCGTCGATTCTCTTCCCCAGTTTTAAACAATCATCAAACCTACAGTTTAAAAGTTAGAGATTGCGGCCAAGCAGTTCGATGCATACAGGGCGAAAGAAAAAAAAAATTTATATACCAATGGGGTAAGACTATTTTGATATTCAAGCTTTTGCTTAAAAGGCCTGCGCATTTGTCGGAGTTCAAGGTTAGGGCCACTAGATGTGTCGTGGTACGTGTGATTTTGGAGCTGTATAAACCCCCCATTGCCAAAACTCCACCAATAATGGCATCCTTATCACCCTCTGGAATATCGGCACAGGCGACAACAACATCGTTCAAGAAAAGTCTTGGGTCGGGATTATATTGTCTAGGGTTTACGAGCTTATTCTTCGAGATTGATGCATGCACCCATTGAGGTTTAACCACGGGAATCAGCGCGTCGCAAACCGCATCGTGACCGGGGAAGTCGATGGTGGAAGACACAATATGTGTAAATTCGTGGGCTGGAGGTAATGAGGCAGGCAATCGATGAAGGGTAACTTTGCCTCCCAGGTTTTGAATGGCAGCTGCTAGCTAAGCAATGTTAACGGCCTTGCGTTGAGGAGGAAGATGAATGGAGCATCCGGCCGTACCTGGGCATCATTGTCAGCATCCACTGTGCGGGAGCAGACAATACAAATGCTGCATTGAGAGAATAATCGCTGTTCGCCTTGTGCTTGGCCATCCTCCATATTGAACTACTTCATCCAGGTAACAGGTCTTTAGCTGTGGATATATAATGAAGGCATATGTTAGGGGGTTGCACGCAGCCTGACGCTTGGATTCTTTGAAGGTGGTTGTTTACGCGATTTTCTAACTTGAAACACGGGATGACGCCGAATCACGTGCTGGTGCCAAGCGTCCCCAGAACCGAACCTTAGCGAATCTCCGGAATCTTCAAGGATTCAGTCAATCAATGTTCAAAACTACGGAGTGCAAAACCTGTGATTAGCGAAGCAGAGGGTTAGGCTAAACTTCGTGAGAGTAATCCAAGCTAATTTCATAACCAGTTAGCTGGAAAATCATCCAGCTTTATACGCTCGCTCACTGGAGCAACTCCCATTCGTCTGTCATCTGTCAAGCATGAGTTAGGTGTATTATGCCGGCGGGGTGTCTTTAGCTCCACTCTCTATGAAGATTTTGAAGATATGAAGTGTGGTTGGACGGTGATGCAACACGTTAAAGTTTCAATCTCAGCGGCCGTGTTCGGCTTCAAAGACCGCAATTTAAAACGTATACATAACTACTCAACACCTTTTATCACCTTGCCACTGAATCCAGGTAAGTTAGGATATTGGATGAGGGTTAGGTTTGACGGCTGTATCCCCGGGGGTACATGAAGAATGAAAATTTTAGAGGGTTAAGGTGTGGATGAGCCACTGACTCACCAGTTGGGTTTGACCGAACAACTAGATGGTTCCATATGGGATGAAGAACGCAAGAATCCTGGTAGAAACGTCCTAGAGCAAACGGTGCCACGCCAACAACACTACCTTGTATTTTTAAGGTTGACAACACCCTACGTCATCACGACATCAACCGGAGTCTCGGAGTGCGCCCATATATTGAAGGACAAGGATGCAGAAAGCTTCGCGGATCGAACAATTATTACTTACACGAAATAACTAGTCAGGGAATAAGATCTTAATTCCTGCCCACTTGCCTGAATATCCGGATTTAAACTGGACCATATTGGGAGTTGTTGCATTCCGTCCTACTCTAGCACCCGGTTCACAGTAGGGAAAATCCTATATAACTTACGTCTAGACCCAAAAACTCAACCCACAACTTGATTATTTGACTTCAAACATTTCCCTGTGCATCAAGACCACATAACAAGCCTTAAACGAACTTATTCAAAATGGCCCCGAAAGTTCTCGTCGTTCTCACGTCTCAGGACAAGATCCCAGCGACTGGCAACCCCTCTGGCTGGTACTTGGTATGGTTGGCTTTCTGCTGATTACATCTCTAGCGGAGAATCGCATCAATTCTGACTCTCTCTAACAGCCAGAATTTGCCCACCCCTACGAAATTCTCAAGGACAAAGTTGAATTAGTGATCGCCTCGCCCAAAGGGGGTGTCGCTCCGCTAGATCCTGGGTCCGTTACGGCATTCGCCAATGATCCAGTCGCTTCCTCATTCGCGAAGGAAAAGGAGGCTGTTTGGAGTAATACCGTCAAACTCTCCGAAGTCAAGGCCGGAGATTTCGATGCCATCTTTTACGTCGGCGGTCATGGACGTAAGCCTCCGTTCCCCTTCCAGTTCCCTCCGAGGTTTGGTCCTCGATCCATAGCTAATTTACGCTCTTTTCAATAATCTATCAGCAATGTTCGATCTCCACAATGACAAAGACTCCCTCGCGCTGATCCAGCAATTTGCGGAACTTAAGAAGCCCGTAAGCGCCGTGTGTCATGGATCAGCTGTTCTCCTGAAAGCAACTGCTGGTGGAAAGCCTCTCATCACAGATGCCAAGGTGACGGGATTCTCTAACGCGGAAGAGGGAGCAGTCAAGATGGCACAATACATGCCCTTTGAACTAGAGACCGAGCTGAATAAAGTGTCGAATGGCGGATATGTCAAGGCTGATGAGCCCTGGGCAGAGAAGATTGTTGTGTCCAGGGTGGTTGCCACTGGCGCTCCTCTGATTACAGGGCAGAATCCAGCCAGTGCCTCCGGAGTAGGGAAGGAGATTCTCAAGGTATTGGGATTGTAAATGTTTTTTATTTATTTATTTATTTATGTAATGATGAATGGGAACGAGTCGTACTTTTATCGGGCAATGTTGCACGTGACATATTGAGATAGGATTAAAACACTAAATAAATAACTAGTTACTTGTGCATAATTTCATGCAGAGAAATGAATTGACCGCAACGCTGAGAAATATTCAAACAGAAAAAAAAGAAATAGAGATGGACTCCCCATCATCGTCATGAGGTCCCTTTTATCACAGGTTTTCCCCGAATATATGCGCACAGGCTAATAGCCGCTGAAGTCGTTCCGCCTTTCGAGAGACCTCGGCAGAAGCAATCGCCCCTGTAACTAACGGTTAACTAACTAGTTAACTAAATAACTGTCAGATCGTCGCAGAACTCTCAGCAATATGTTAAAATGGCGGGTTAAATCTCCTGTTATTCATTATGTCTCTTGATATCTAGATCTAGACGCTCATCTGTCCACCCAACTTGAAAGATGATATCTAGACCCTTTAATGTAATTGAGCATGTCGCTCCCTGTCAATATATCAGGGAGTATCCGGGGGCCATTGATACGGATCAAGAAGAAACCCTCTATCTATCCGTCAAGCAGTATGTCCCGATCGACAACCCCAACCCGAAGCCAGGGGATATAACCATTATTGGTGCGCATGCAAATGGCTTCCCGAAGGTTTGTGTGCTCATCCCATTTATTTGCATAGCCTTCTACGTCCGCGTGTTTGATAGCATCTCTTCATTCTGCTATGTCTATAAAATTGCTCTTGACTAAACTACCGATCCGTGACAGGAACTCTACGAGCCACTCTGGGAAGAGTTGCATTCGCGAGCAAAGAAGCATGGCTTCCGAATCAGAGGCATTTGGATTGCAGATGCAGCCCATCAGGGCAAAAGCGGAGTATTGAATGAGAATCTTCTCGGCAATGACCGTATGTCCCGGACCCCGGTTTATCTAGCTTCATGAATTGTTTGCAAGCCTGGCTCCGGGGAAAGTAACTAATCCATAGAATAACAGCTTCATGGTTTGACCATCCCAGAGACCTGTTACATTTCATCAACTTGAAGCGGGCAGAAATGCCCCGTCCAATCTTTGGCATTGGCCACAGTATGGGTGGGAACAACTTGTTTGTCGCCTCTGCAGCCTACCCTCTCTGCCTGCTCAATTCCACTAACCTTTTACTCAGGATTAACCTTGCCCTAATGCACGCGAGACTCATCACCTCCCTCATCCTTATGGATCCCGTCGTCAGCCGTCTCGCAATAACCCCCCAAGAACATACCCTCCACACGAAATCGAGCAACGTCCCAGCCACAACTGCCGCCTCCACTTACCGGCGTGACATCTGGCCCTCCCGCGCTGCCGCCGCAGATGCCGCAAAGAAAAGCAAATTCTACCAAACCTGGGACCCTCGCGTCCTTGACCTCTGGATCCAGTACGGGCTTCGAGAACTACCCACTGCCCTCCACCCCCTCCCTCCACCACCACCACCATCATCATCAACCTCAACAACTACCCGCAACGCAAAACCGGTAACCCTCACCACCACCTTGCACCAAGAAGTCTTCACCTTCTCCCGGCCCAACTACAACGGCAACCCAACCAGTAGCCATCCGGTAAACCGGATGACGCATCCCGACCTCCACCCAACCGTCACAGCAGGATACCCATTTTACAGGCCCGAAGTGCACCTGACCTTCGACCGGCTGCCTAACCTCCGCCCATCCGTCCTATACATATTCGCAGACAAGTCGGACATGTGTCTACCGCAGTTCTGCCAGGATAGGCTTAACCAAACGGGCATTGGTGTGGGGGGAAGCGGCGGGGTGGCGGAGGGTCGTGTCCAATCTGTCTTGCTGAACGATGTGGGGCATTTGATACCGATGGAAGCAGTAGGGGAGGCGGCTGATCATGCTGCTGGCTGGATTGGGAAGGAGATGGAGCGGTGGAGGGTGGAAGAGGATGGGTTCAGGAGGAAGTGGGAGAAGATGTCCAGGGTGGAGAAGATTACGATTGATGAGAAGTGGAAAAGCTACATCACGTCGCCGGCCAAGGGGAAGAAGAAGCTGGCTGTAGTGTCCAAGGCTGGGGCGAAGTTATGAGAGTGTTGGGATGGCGGTTTGTTTTATTAGAATATATTTCAGGGGATTACATCTGTTGTGACATCTGTGTATGGTAATTTTCCCTATTTTGCTAGTGTTTCACTGTTTTGTTAAGCCTGCTTTTATTTTTTAAAGTAGATTTTGCTGAATCTAGGGTTTACTAGAACGGTATATTCTGTGGAGATGCTGTATACTTCAATACACATCGCCACATTGTTTGGATTTTACACCTATCAAGGATGTGCACTATGTTTTATAGAATCCTGCCGTATTATATGAAGACGGCTCACACTCGATGTCCCTCTTCATCGAGCGCAATTGTTTATCCTCAGCCAAAATGTAGAGTGCCTCACCAAAGCTTTGGTAAACCCCCGCTATGTATATTCATTACAGAGTATACACTGTAAAAGAGAAAGATATCAATAATAACATTAGAAGGAGTTAGAAGGAGAAGACACCCTATCCAAAGTGAAATGCACCGCTAACCCAAAATATGCCAACCGCGCCTCCTGTCTAACATACTAACAGTGCAATTAATGCAAGCATACACATGGCTATAGCGTGTAGGCTTAGCGGTAAGCCAAGGTGAAGTGTTACCCTTTTTTCTTCCCTCACATATCTATAACTATGGGTAACCAAAAACCTGGGGAATGCGAGAGAGGAAGGAAGAAACCAAAAAGGAAATCAGAAATCTCTAATGTATGTTCTCCGACACCCCATTTTGACGGGACTGACAGGATGTCGCCAACTTAGTCGACGAGCCATTGGTTTTGTCATAATTGGAGACGCGAACGATGTCCGGAAAGCTATAGAAATGAGGCCAGACGAGGCGGTATTCTTCCTGGCGTCCGTTGAGGCAATGTCGTAGCCAGATGCCCCAGACAATGTAAATGTATGCGCCAATGCCCGTCATGAGATGCCTGTTTTCGCTTGTTAATAGGTGAATATTCCAGGTGATTGGTGACATTAGGGCAAGTCTCTAAGAAAGAAAAGAAATTAGGGTAAGAAAAATTACATACCACCAGCCATGCCCCTCCAGCAAAATCCCCCATGGCAGCCCAATCTCCCTCCGCCAGCCGCGCAACCGAGAACAGAACATGGTATCCAAATTCCAGATCGCAAAGCCGCCCAGGAATGAGACTAGGCCGTACGCTACCATGATCCACATGGTATTCAGGATCTTCAAATCCCGCTCATCTTCGTATATCTGGCGTTTTGGGCGGCATTCCTGGCCCTTATTGCGGCTTGACGGGCGTAATGTGGTTTCCATTACCCAAATGCTGCGAAGGAGAACGATCACAGTTAGCAGGGCGTAAGAATTTTGGTGGAAGACCGGGTTTTGGATGTAGTGATAGTAGAAGGTTATGGAGAGGGCTAGGCCAAAAAGGGAAAGGCCTAGGAATATGCGGCTTTTGGTCGATTTGGAGAATGAAAATGTGGCGTAGCAGACTAGGCAGGTCGTGTATATCATGGAGAGCTCGTCGACGAGTTGCATCGGGTCTGATATTTTTGCTATTAGTTGGGCTATCCCATAATTATGGAACAGCATTATAAATAGGGCGATATAATCCCACTGGACGCACATTTTAAGGTAGAGTGGAACAGGAAACTTCCAACGCCGACAATGAAGTACCCCAAAAAAGAAATGTGGAAGATCGAATCGTGGCCATTCTTTCTACAGCTCAAAAGACCTTTAATCCCTAGACAGAGAAACATAAAGTTCGTGAGGGAGTTTATGAATTCAGCGAAGTAGACGCTCGCATAGTAGTCCTAACCAGGGGCGAATTTTGTTTTCTTCCCGCATTAACATTGCAACACATGATAGACTTTTGCGACACTGGAAAATGAATTCAACGCACCTCTTCGCACCAATTCAGAGTTGAAGTTACAGGGGACCAATATCCAGCCCTGGAAGGCGGATAAGGAATGGAAGAGTACTGCCACATAGAGGGCAACAGAGACACCAGAGTATTGCTGCGAAAGAGACCAGCACCCCGGAGCACACCACAACGATGGAGGGAAATGGACGGAACGGGGATATTCTTCTGCTAGTCCAACGAATATATTCCCTGCATAGGGGAAATGTGTCGAAGAACGAAAAAGCGGAGGTTGAGGGAAGGAGAGAATTGGGGCCCGGCTGATCTCGAAACCCGGCAGCGTGACATAATTGTCCGTGCTGTCGAATAACTAGATCTCGACCTGCGGTGAATAATCAACGATTCCCAGCAGCGACAGACAGTTTACTCGGAGGCTAAAGGCTGGTATATACGCGAACGCATTCCAGCAGCAGTCAGCGCTCGGAACAAAGAGCAGCAGCCGCAAGCAGAACTGGACAAATGGACAAATCGCTTGAGAGATACAAATCTTGGTTGAGCCTCCCTGGAGGTAAACCAGAACCTATCTGCTGAGTCATCGACGTGCTCTATTGCTTTTGTTGCCCGGCCTTGGCGCTTGCTTGTTGTTGATAATGGCAGGCAGAGACAGGCATCCGAAGCAGCCAATCAGCATCCGGACAACTTCCGTTACCTGCCGATCACATGTTGGATATTACGTCATTGATAAGTGAAGCGATCTCCGGATCCGCCAAACCCTAACCCTAATCAGCTTCTGTTTCTCGTGGACCAGCCTTGTTGTTGTGTGTGGACCAGCTAACCGAAATCTGAACTATATATAGAATGCACGTGATCCTGATAGCGGTATTATCACCCAACAGCCCCACATTCTTGCGGCATTTCACGAAGCTGTTAACCACTGCGCCTCGCTAGCTCAAGCTCCAAAAGACAAAAACAATGATTCAGATCTTGCGATAAGAGCTGAAAGGACAACAAAGAGACACTGATTCCTGAATAGTAAAGGCGTCCGTACAAAGCATAACCGTATAGTTCAAAGCGAAACACACAAACATCAGTTTATTCCTGTATTTCCCATACGTCCGCAGGCCGAAAGATAAGCAATACTTCCACTAATTCAACCTTCTTTTTAAACGAAAGCAAGCGCACACAAGCTTTCGTTAAGAGGCATCGTGGAATCCGTTTGATTGTGGTTGTGTCAGGCATAATAATCTCATAAGAGATCTCGCCTCAGCCATTATTCATTCCCATTGATTGGCACCTCTCCCACCGCCACCACACAGATTAGGTAGACCCTTCTCATCATATAGCGTACGGCTATCACCCGCAACATAAATGAAAAATCTCATCGCTGGCTTCACTGTTCTGGTGATTGGTGCAAATGGTGGATGTGTCCATTCGAAAGTCACTCAACGGGACTTTCACCCTCAGAAGGTATATCAATCTTCTGTACAGCTGCAGCTACAGCTGCAGCTTCAGCCGTAGCGGGGACTGTAGTTACCGTCTGCCATTTCTAATGTGACAGTGACCTTTTCAGGCTTAGTCTCGATGATCTCTTTGCGAGGTTGTGGCGTGAACTCCCGAACCGCAGTCTAGGACCCTGGTATCTCCACCAGTCCGGCCACTAGAATAAGCCTTGTCCGTTTGTGCAGAATACCTCTCGACGATGTTTTGAAACTGGGGTGGAACCAGTCCCATCCTTATCCTTGTCTTTATTCTTACCCTTGAGGCATGGCGTTTTCCCGGAAATTTCAAGCAACATTCAGAGTGTATGTGGCCAACTTTCTGGCAGTGGTAGCATGTTTTGATTGCATTGCTACCTCTTGTCTCAGGCTGGAAGTGCTTGTCCTTGCTCTTTTTCTTTTTCAAAGAGTCTTGAGCATTATTCACGGGCGTCTTCATATTCATTTTGGGAGGTTCACCGGGCAGTTGGCAGTCGTAGTTAGATATCATAGCACAGACCCAAGAAATTAAAGTCAAGATCTTGAGCTGTATCATCTTTCTCAATTTGATCCATACAGTCCCTTATAAAAGAAGCCCATTCATTGCTAACTCCCGTAAGAAGTCGGTCAAAGTGCATGAAATCCTGCACTTGATATCCTATACGGGTACACTCAGTTCTGATGGCAATTAAAACATTTGATAAATGCCTGAACATCTAGATCCCTTTGACTTCGCTGTCATTCCAATCAACTCCTCAAATAGTCGAGTTCTCCAGACTGCAGTGCCTCTGTGAGAAGTTATCCTTGATGACAGACCATAGAGCACAAGCAGACAAATGGAGAATCTCGAGGCATTGTGAAATGAGATTTAGCCTGTGAGGTGATTGCAGACCACATATAGTTGTAAAGCTAGATATTTCTTTCTGACGAAACCCGTCGCATAATCATCGGGGAACTTTTGTTTTTCTTCCAGAACATCATCGGTTTCAGATTGCTTCGCTGCAAGGAGGATATCTACTTCTTTCCACATTGGGTAGTTTGTAGAAACAGTCAGTAAAATATGCTTCTTGATGCACCCCACTTGGTCCCTAAATTCGCTAAGGATCTTTACTATCGCAGGCGTCCTTCACTTTAAACGAAGGTAGTTTGCCAGATCCGCTCTGACTTCTTCGGTGGTCTCTCATTCGTCCGACCTCGGGCTGAAGGCGCGTGATCTCCAGCTTCATGTGAGTTTCTTCACTCACTTGAGTCATCAATGGCCAGAGCCTTGACCGCTTGGAACCACCCAGATTGTCTGACATCTCTAAGCCTTCAACGGGGTCTTCAAAGTCGTCATTTGACAACTGATTCGTTCTCTTAGCGGTTCGTTGCGGGAGATGTAAGGATCCGTTATCATGTATCTCAGGTGTTTGCTGAGCCTGCCCCCTAGGTGGTACGTATTCCCTCGAATAAATCAGGCATTCTACCTGATATGAGATTGACTATGGATTCCAAGTATCCAAAAGAGCATCTAGGCACGTTTAAACGATTCGTAGAGACGTTGTTAGCTCCCCTTATTCGCAGTTCCTTCCAATCGCTGGGCCAATAACCTCATGGGAGGAACAACGTTGTTGGTTGTTGTGTGAACTAGCTAGCCGAAATCTAAACTAGATAGATATATTGGGAGGCACAAATTAGGGTCGCCGGTAGCCGCGGTATCACCTAACAGTTTACTGTGCATTATGAAAGAAACTGATACTTACAAATTTCACCACTTTCGGAGTAATTACTCAACATACAGACATCGATTGGAGAGAACGGTTCAACAAATGCGGGCCGTTTTGCTCAATTCTCTTGAGAGTGGTCATTTTCACAAGTCTGCATGTCTTGTACGCCTGGATCGAAGTTCCTTGTTAACAAACTTTGCAAGCCTTCCATCTCGACCGCGGTTTTCTCCAATACTACCGTTTCCGCCTTGCGCCATTCTCGCCCAGCCCACGGTGGAAATCCACCAATACAACCAAGAACCACAATGACGTAAAGACCCCCATCAAAACAAAGCTCCTTGTCAGTGAGCCCTCTTCTATACTCGTACCAATACCCACGACCAGGAACCCGATGCCAGCATTAGCCATGCCCAAAAGTATTGCTCCCCTCCCTATCCATCTATGCATAACGCCACACAAGTTGCTCTTGTTATCCTCTACCCCAAGTTCAGAGCAGCGACTTTGTATAATACCCAGGGTAGGTTGGATTATTAGGATTGCGCCTATTGCAAGAGTCCCCAAGGCGACATGGGCGCGTAGCAGATTCCACAAGTGCACCTCCAATGCCAATCGGATCCCCAGTGCTGTTGCTGCTACCATCATAATTACGCCCACGATCTGGATCGGCAGGTGGAAATTAAGGGGTACGCGGAGTTTTAGCGGAAGGTGCAGGGACAACGCGCCCAGAGGGTAGATGATCATGAATACTAATGTCATGATTAATCCGTGTAGCTTCTGCCGCTTTTGAAAGTTGATGCATTGGACGAGAATGTTCGTTATGGTTGCTGTGCTGGTATCTGATTCTAGGGACTCCATATAATTCGAGTCGAAGGTATTTGTGTCTTCAATCCCGAGACCGGAAACCGCAGCTGCTACATAATGCTTCCATATTAGCAGGCAGAGGACGCCACTGTGGTTAAAGAGGGACGTTTATATGTTGGCTAACTTACCGTGCAACATGAGGCTGCCAATGGCTGACAGCGCTTTAGACATTGTCGTTTGATAATAATTCTGAAACAATTTACGCGTCGCACGACTATCTTCACAGGCAAGGTGCTAAAAGATTCGAATTGACAGGGAAAAGTCTTTTAAAAGGGACTTGGTATAAACTACTTCCTTTCATGGGCGGGAACCCACTGCTATTCTCAAGGAGACTGGTCTTCCGACATGGTCGCGAGGCAAATTTGTGGTGGTTTGATGACAATAGATCATCTAGTTGCTCGCTGACAACCCAGCGAACCCCAACGAACTAATCCATTTCACATACAATTTAGAAAATTTTCAACACTAACATCTCACTCAATTTCCTGAGTTTTTTAAATTCTTATATTTTTAAATTTTTGTTTGTAATTTATACTCTTCTATGTTGTGTGTATAATATATAATATATAGAATACTTAAATTTTCATTGACAAATCGAGTCCACAAATAACTAGGTTAACTAAAACAACTACAATACGTTATTTAACTATCATAAGGAAAAGTAAAGTACGTCAATTATTATTATTATTATTACTTATTTAACGCCTGGAGGCACGTGATCAGCTGACTAAGAATAGTCTGCCGTCGCGGCCACAGCACCTCCCTAAGGGTATCAGGCGTGCCAGCGCAGCAGCTAGTCTGCTGCCTGACATGTCTAGTCGGCCGAAGCCCTCTTGAGAGTCTATGTACAGAGTAGCCCCCGTCCTGGAGGTTCTGAATGGCGTAGTAGCCGAAGATTACGGGACTGAGGAAGCCAAGGGCTTCTAGGGTGGTGTGTAGGGGTGATGAGAAATGTATATAGGGAGCGTAGGAAAGAGAGAGGGGGAGGGAGAAGTCGGATGTTGAACAGGTTCTAGTAGCGGCGTTGGATGTCGATGAAGAAGCGGGTATTAGTGCACCAGGTAGAGAAGGTCGTAGCTCCTCTTACTGTGCTGAGAAGCCAGTCAATTGCTTCCTTTGGTCCTCGGCATGCTTCAGGGGTTTTAATTCGTTCAATGTTCCGGCCTTTCCAGCAAAAGAAGAAGTGCTCGGGGGTCTTATCTCGGCCGCAAGAGCAGGTGAGGAGTGCGTCGTCATGTGCCCATCCGTGATGGTAGGCTGCAAAGTCACCGTGGCCTGTTCTAGCTGCCAGCAAGTGGCCTAGGTTCCTTCGGGGGAGAGTGAGCTCAGGGGAGGGTCCTTTTGGCATTGGGATATTGAGGTCCTTGTATCGTGATGTGCTATTGGAGCTCCAGTATTGTTGCAGTGAGGCATTGAAGCGTTCTTTAGCATAGGATTTGGCCCGCGCCAGGGTCAGAGTGCGGCGAGTGCATTCCATTGTGCAGGCTGACTTGGCCGCAGCATCTGCGGCATCATTGCCTGGAATCCCAGCGTGGCCGGGGCACCATCGAACATAGACCCGTCTCGGGCCGGCTGGACCTGGGCCCTGTTTTGTCCAGGACCTGCGGAGTTCGTTGAACTTAGCAAAGGCGAGAAAAGATGTTCGTGTGGGCGTGTCTGTGTGGAGTCTTATTGCAGCCTCTTCATTGTCTAGAGCCACTATAATGTGCCGTGCGAACATAGAGAAGGGGTTCCGTAGTGCTGCCTCGAGACCGGCAACTGCTGCAAGCACTTCAGCATCAAAGACCTCGGCGGTGCGGCCCAGAGGCAGCTTACCAAGCTCCAGAGATTGATTTGTTCCTCGGTATAGACAGTAGCCTCCGCCTGAAACTCCTTGGCTGTCTTTGGAGCCATCAGTATATGTGATGAGATCAAGGGGGGATACAGCTTTCTGAAGCCAGTTTTGGAAAGCTGCTGGTCCTGCAGCTTGTCCCACAGCCCCAATTTCTAGTGCCTTTTGCTCTCTATTTGGTATGCCAGGATTGTCCCAAGGAGGCAAGGACCCTGAGCCGGGTGTGATGGCCGTCGTTTTAATGTTTCGTCTAATCCATTTAAAACGTGAGGTGTACCATCTTCGGCGTAGGGGATGTGACGGGTCGGCTGCAGCTACGCGAACGGCTAGTCGGTCATGTATTCTTTCTAGCCAGGCTTTGGCCGGGCCCCAGCTTGATTCGCGTAGGAGAACAGGGGTAGGCGTTGTGGCAAAGACAGGTAGAATGGCTCGAGCAGCGTTGTTGAAGGCTACCTGAATCTTGCCAATGGCTGCCTGAGAGGTTCGCTTTGAGAACCAGGTCTCAGCTCCATAAAACAGAGTGCTGAAGGCACAGCTTTGAGTTGCTTGTCTGAGCAAATGTGTTTGATTTCCGAATGAGGCTCCATTTAGTGATTTAACGTGTCCTGTAACAATTCTGGCTCGAGTGCACGCAAGGCGAATATGTTCTCTGAAGAGTAACTTTCTGTCAAAGAAAACCCCTAGCCATCTGGTGTAGTTATTGGGGGAAATTGTCTGTTCATTAAAGGAGATGGAGGGCTCCGAGTACTTGATCTTTTTATGAAAGTATTGAAGCTCCGTCTTGGCTGGGTCAAATGAGATTCCATTGTCAATACCCCATTCCAGGGTGTGGTTGAGAGAATTCTGAAGCTGACTTCCTACCCGCTCAAGGGAGCTTCCAGTCTCCAGGATTGCAATGTCGTCTGCGTACCCAAACCGGCCTTTGGTAAGCTGGAGGAGGGGTTCTACGTAGAGCAGAAAGAGAATTGGTGAGACCGGGGATCCCTGTGGAAGGCCACAGAGAATCTGAAACACCTTCGATTGAACGCCGTCTAGTTGAATCAAAGCTAGTCATTGATCGAGGAAAGACGCTACCCACTTTATCAGAACTGCCGGCCAGCCCTGTTCCTGTAGACGTCTTAGAAGCCGGCCTCGAAGGACTCCGTCGAAGGCCCCTTTGACATCTAGGGTGATCATGCCGGCCAGAAGGTGTTTGTCCCATGCCCCTTGTACGTCACAGGCTAGTGCAGTGGTGAGGTCTACTGCAGACCTCTGTTGAACAGCACTACACTGATCTTCTGCTAGAATGTGATGATGGAGAGTGAGATGGGACATTCGTCTAGCTATCAGACGCTCCAGCCCTTTGCCGAGGCAGGATAGCAGTGCGATTGGGCGGTAAGACTTTGGTAGAGAGTAATCTCTTTTCCCTGACTTTGGAATAATCACCACCTCAGCCTTCTTGAAGCTCTGGGGGTGGATTCCTTGATCTATACAGTGTTGAAAGAGTAGAACAATTCGATTGCCTATCACTGGCCATGCCTTTTGAAGAACCTTGGCTGTAATGCCATCCAGGCCAGGAGATGTGCTAAGTGTCTGGCAGGTGGCTCTGTAGACTTCCTGCTCTGTAAGGGGCATCCAGGGTATCTCTCTGCATGGGATTGTTGGTGTATGCTCTGGGATATCTTCCGCGTCAAGATGTCTGGCCAGAAGTGTCTCGCGCAGTAGAGAAGATTTGCCGGCACAAGATTGTTCTAGGTGTCCGTCGGGATGTCGTAAAGGAGGGGTGGGGTCTTGAGGTTGGTATTTATGCCATTTGACAATCTTGTAGACATCTGATAAGGAGGAAGCCTCCTCAATTCGCTGGTGATTCCATGCTCTCTTAGCTTTTCTAATTTCCGCCCGGAATGCCACTTGTTCTGATTGACAAGGGCTGTGTCTACGTGCTGCATGATATACTCTTCTGGCTATCTTGACTGCTGGGGTCCACCATGGGGCATGATGACTCTTGGGTCCTGGGGCGAGAGAGCAGGAGCCTTGTAGAGCCAGTTGGAGAGATTTCACGATGTCCGCCGCTTCCTCATTCACGTCCTCATAGACCGGTGAGGAGAAGGGAGTGAGTAGTTGCAAGAAGCGATCAGCATCGCAGGTCGCGAGGCTAAGCTTCTTCTCCTTAACCAATTGAGTCTGAGTCTGTGATAATTGAACTGTTGTGATAAGAGTTTCATGATCTGAGGTGCAGTGCAGTTCAGGAGCAATATGACAGATAGCTGAGTTGGCAGCACAGAAGACAAGGTCAAGTGTGCCTCCTTGTCTATGTGTAGGGGATTCAGCCGGGTTGAGAAGCTGGAGTTCAAGAGAGATTGCCCAGTTATACAGATTCTCTCCTGCTTGAGGATGCCTATCAGTTGTAGAGTCCCATGCTGTGTGTCTAATATTAAAGTCTCCTAATGCCATCCAGGGGATGGTCTCTGTGGTGGTAAAGTACGTCAATACAAGCGTTGCCAAGCTGAAAGCGACATACAAATCACGTGCTATGGAAATTCATCATGTGATCTACGATATTGTTACGGAAACCATTTTGCGAACAAGCCTCCTCGTAACTTTATCTGCAACTTCCGGTGTCTTTCAACATAATATTAGGAAGAAATCGATACTTGCATTCCATTATTCCGCCTCATTCAAATCCGATCTATTCTTTGAACACTCATATCTCCCGCTTTTCTCGCCCTCACGACCCCCTATTTCAAAATGTCCATACCTCCAGAAGCGCTTCAAAAGGTGAGCCGCAACTTAGTATCTTCTAATGCTGTCCATTCCTTCTATCAATGGCGGTTATTGTTCTGACACTCCTTGCTTTGTCTTTGGAAACATAGCTCGTTCAAGAAATTGAAACCCGCGCCATTGCTGCCCAACAACAAATCAACGTAGTTAAATCACAGATCTCGGGGAAACAGCGGGAACTACGCTTGCTGGAACTTACGTCGAGCGAGATTAGCCAGTTACCCAAGGAAACCAATGTATATGAAGGCGTTGGCAAAATGTATGGATTTACTTTTAGCTGGAATTCATCGTTCCCGACTTCCATTTTTCAGTTCCTCCTCCCGTGACGAGGAAAGAAAAAGACAGGGAAATATTTTGCTTACAAACTCCATTTAGGTTTGTCGCAAGCCCCATTACGACCGTGAATAAACGATTGTCGACCGAGACAAATGCGTTGAAGACAGACATCGCCGGTCTTGAGAAAAAGCTGCATTATTTGGAAACAACACATAAGAATAGCTGGCAGCACATTGACCAAATATTTCAGCCTGGTGGAAAGGCATGACGATGCGGTTGGACCTAAGTTAAAAGCTCTATATATCGTGCTATTCAAAAGTATGCCCATAATCCTCCACCTATGAATGAGCTTGGCGCCGGATGGGTTTAGGGCTGGCTTTAGAGTATATCTTGAACGGCTACCTGTCCATAGAAGCCGATTGGGGGCGACTATCCCTGCTTCCGTATCTTCGCGGTTGTTTAGGGGCAAACTCCGTAGCACATCGGTCAGATTCAGATAGAGTCCGTCATTTCGTTGGGTCACCTATGGATACATTGAGCTATCCTATCCAGGGACGGGTAACTGCGCTGCGAACCGTCGTTGATCTGGAACGGTTAGGCGGCATCTTGAGTCGTGGGAAGCATTGCGAACATTTATCTTGTGAGGAGTGGAGAACAGTTGTCAAAGCTTGATTCATTCTAAGCTTGCCGCAGACATACAGAGCATGGCCGTCGAAAACTTTACTGTTCATCCGATTCATAACTCGATAATCGCTATATCCACAACAACCGTGTTTTCCTCCTTTTCTAAAATACCCTATCCAACTCCAAGCATAAGCGTTTCATTACACCATATTTCCTACCCCTTAAGCCCACAGTAATGGCCCATTATTTGATGTAGTGCTAAACCTTCCCAAAGTTTCTTGTGTTGCAGATAAATAACGATACTGGATGATGCCTTGCTGTGGTTGACATGGATATTGTTGCAGGGATGGATATCAGACTATGGTATCAGACAGAGGATGGTGGTGGTAAGCGGGTGAAATGTTCTACACATCCAGGTGTCACTAGATATTGACATTGGGGTGAATATTTGCGCTTTCAGTTATGCAATTTTCATATATCGCGAGAGCGACCAAGCAGAGCAAAATGCAGGGCACCATCCTATGCCGAAAGTCGAATGCTTTATTATTTCTAGGCAAAGTCGGGCATCCATCCAACTGCACGGTATCTCGCAGTCAAAGCCTGGTTAGGTATATTAATAAGATCGCCTCTGACTTTGAGGAAACCAGCTGGATTGGGCTCTAAAAGGTCCTGTCAGGTATGTCACTCAAACGGGATCTGGAGCTTATGCTCAGGGGGCCAGTTACATCCGCTTTATGAGAGTGTATGTGTATGTTAATCATCTTAGTTTCATATATTCCCTTTTTTATCTAAGGAGCTCTTGATTTCCGTTTTCTCTTCAGACGGTTGTCGTTGGAAGTGTGGAGAGGAGAGATTTTGAGAATCAAGGGAATCGGAATTGGAATTGCTAGGCTTTTTTGGGCTGGCTACAAAATGGAGACATGAATTGTTGGTTTGAAAAATCATGGCAGAAGGACATTACATAGACAGCTATAACCAGATATATAGTAAGTCAACGTTCATGAAAATCAAGTATCTGCCTATGTGCCCGATGACTGGGACCAGAAGATGGGCAACTAAGAAGATCAGTGGTTCAGTCGAGTCAAACATACCAATCATTTGACATTCACCATCAAAACTGTAAAGCCGAGATTAAGCCAGGCTTCATCTCAATCTGCTGGTTTGCCTCCCATTCCCTTCTTCTTCTTCATCCACAGGACGGACTGTTGGAGTTGTTTGAGGACGCCCAACATCGCGATCAGATTGTAGTTAGAGAGGTGGCAATCAGGCACGGATAAGTTGATGGAGACATATGTGGCGAAGGACCGATTTTGCGGTGAGATATTGACTGTGGTGGATCCTATTATAATAAATAACATCCTGCTAACCTCTTCAAATGCCGAAAATACCACCAGAAAAGATTCCCGGCCGCAGCGTTTTCCAAGGTTATATCCCGCCATAGTTACCCTACGGAGTACGGAGTAGCGGTAGTTAGTTACCTATCTATCTAAGCCTATGGTTAAGTGTGGAGCAAGTCATAACTAGATGGTTTTCTGTTCATGAATGATTCGTGACTCTAAGCACACATGCAGTGTTTTCGACCAGAATCCTTCGTTCTTCATGCAAAGAAAATTGCCAACCTTCCTGCTGGTTAATACTGGGCTAACAGATAACTAGCTAAACTGATCTATTTACGCGGCCCCAAAGGCAGGAGTCCTGATCTGCCATCAGGCAGCCGTTCAGTGCGTGCTCGGAGGGAAGCAAGCAAAGGTATCAGCAGCACTAATTAACGGCCCCAGCGTGCGTCGTCGGCTCAAGATGGGCATCTCAGAGCTGAAGAGTTCCAACCTTGAAAGGTTCAGGCGCAGATCCAATCTGTGTCTGCCCGTGATACAGAGTGGCTTAAGTATGGCCAATTATATATTCCTGCCAATGCTGGGTCCCTGTCCCCGAGCCTCTATGATTCGACCTCTCTGGGGCTAAAAACAGGTCAACTGGTCGCTCAGGTGGCGCCGCCCTTTTCCCGCTGGGCCCTTAAATCGATGCATAACTAACCACGCAGTAAGCCTCAATTCACCGACGTTGGAGACGGTGCCCCGCCATTCGAAACTGGCCAGCGCCCTCCAAGGCTCCCACTTCATCTCCACTGGACCAGAGACAGTGTTATCGTGATACCGTTTGAATCCTCCCACAACGTTGGTCTTAGGAAAACATTCAGGAAATTCGGCTTGCTGCTGTTGGATTATTAGTTACTAGTGACTGGTCAAGGTCTCACCGACACTATCATTGAGCACTAACATCATCATCCAGCGGAAGTTCGTTCTCTTCTTTCTTCTAACATTCCACAACTCCCCACAATCAAATCTTCTATCATTCTTCGTGCTTGGGAAACCAGAAACATATCTCCCTTCTCTGATCATCAGTGCCTTCTTGATACCCAACTGCTGGTCATTTGGCTGGCTGCAGCCCAAGGATCTCCCGCGCTTCGGGTCGAAACAATTGATCCATCAAATCTCCGCATCAAGTCCAACACTAGCAAGAGACCACATAAATAAGGCATTTCTTCTAACTACCGACAACGTGAAACAAAGTAATCACATTTTCTGTGTGTTTTATTCGCCAACTTCTCTCCCCTTTCACGCATTTTTACCTGAGCGCTGCAGGACGCCTACCCAACCTCCCTACGGATATATTGCTCTCTTTGCCTGTCGTTTGCGTCACACTGTAAATCGACCGGCCAACTTTGAAATCAAAATTTCCTACAATATTGACGCTCAAACAATTTGGCGATACCTCCATCCTTAGCCTCTCTGTGTCTGGTGGAAGAAGAAGAAGCGGCCATTACTAGCGTCGACAAGTCTTATTAATTAATATCAACTCTGTTTCTTTTCACCTATTAAAGCAACAGAGTACCGCATCATGGCTCCCCCTCAGGTTTTCTTCGATAACTCATCATATTCCTCATCAGACGATGACTCGCTTCGTTTTCGACAACATATTAGGGTACGTCAACGTTCTCATTCACGTGCGCCCAAAATCGGGACCTTGGAGGTGCCAAAACATAGACGTGGACGTGCTTCGTCCGTGGGTCCTCATGGTAGAGAGAGCAACAACATATATATCGTTAACGACAATCGCTCCCCGAGTCGCGAGCGTTCCCATTCCCACGTCCGTGCCAGGCCAAGAGCATTCGTCGATGATGACGCCTTTCTAGGCATAGAAGACCAGATAGAGCAACTCCGCCACCATCGGCGACCACGATCCAAATCCCGTTCTCCTCACGTCGATTTCGAGGAGCAGCTCCGACTAGATAGGTTAAGGCTTGTGGAGCGGCGCGAGGAAGTTTTGCTGGAAGACCGGGCGAAGAAATTAGATGATCAGATAAAAGAGCTGCAGAAAGACCGAGAGAGGCGAATTCGGGATAGGGAACGGGAAGTGGAGCGTGAAAGAGAACGGATAAAGGATCGAACGGACCACAGGGGCGAACGCAAGGAACGCAGCACATCTCGCCGAGATTTAGAAACCGAAGTACAGATAGAAAGGTTACTCCAAATGCAACATGACCTAGAAACGCAAAGGTTCATTGACGACCAGCTTCTGGTGCGGCGCGCGCAAGCCAAGGAAGAAGAAGAAGCTGAAAAGGATCGTGAGAAGCGGATTCGCCAGAAGGTAGAGGCTGAACGAGCCAAACAGGAGGCCGACGAAAACAAGCGCAAAGAATACGAAGCTCAATTAAAGAAACAGGCGATCGAAGATTACCATAGAGCTGAAGCAGACAGGAAGAAAAGAGAAGAGAAAGAGAAAGAAAAAGCAGACAAAGAATTTGAAACCCGTGCTAGGGTGACGCTCGCAAAGGCCGGTTATACTAATGATCAGATTACGGCCATCCTCAAGGGAGAAGGGAAGTTGGTAGCGACCCCGATTGCTCGACCAACCCAAAAGCCAACATATATCAAGGTGTGTTAAACAACTAAGTCCGATATTCCCCAAGTATCAAAATGTGTCCATACTTACGAGACCATTTTAAGGTTTCCCACCACCATATTTCACCAGAAACACTAGATGCCTTCCAGATACCGTGGGAATGGGATGATGTGAGTATCCCCTTTATCCCCTACCTTGGCCCTCATTTTCTGTATCTTCTTCTGGCGTCCATTCATTCCTCCCCCGGCGTCAAAAACCCCAAAACACTTTAAACTACCACCAGCCATGAACGGATCAAATAGCTAATCAATGCACTCGCAGCGCGATGGGGGATTCATTCTTATTAAGCGCATGATTAGTGACGATGTGCAAGAGGATCTGTTCGAACATACCCGGAATCTACGAGACCGCCAAAAGCTACTGATTGCCCCTCCTTCCCCGCAACCACATGTAGGCGTCCGAGTCAGGGATCGGGATGAGATGTTTTTAGTTCGACCGTCGCGGAAGAAGTCACCACGGCGTAGTGCTTGGCTGTGGTAAATTTGTTGTATCATTCCGTATACCCCTCTGGCAGTTGCCCCCCCCCCCCCCCAAATTTTTTCTTTTCATTTCTTTTTTTTTTCATTTCAAATTTCTGTTTATAAATCCATGATTCGAGCATTATTGCTCAATTTTCAATCTATCTACGTACCAGATTCGCACTCTCAGTCTCCTGTTTACTGAAACGATTTTTCTTGTTTATGCTGTCTGTTCAAGCCTCTGACGAGTCATTTCTCCCCTTAACCATTGTTGAAGTGGATATGGTGCTTCTGCTGCTACAACATCGTTAACGGCAGCATAAGCGTCGAGCTGCACCGGGGCAATGTCTGTACCAACAATTACGGACAAACAGCAGGAAGTGTTCAATCCGTCACAAAACAGTGGTGACCATGAAACGCTACTTGCTGAGTCCGCTTTGGGCGAGACAGGGGAGAAGGGAGCGAGCGGCATTTGATGGGGTTATTTGTATCCAGCAACCGACCCTTCGCTTTTATAGGCGACTTTTCTCTAATACAGCAACTATCTTTGGATCACTCTTTGGTCTAGCATGACCTGGGCTCATATCATTACTTTAATTCTATTTATTCTATTCTATTTTTGATTTTCATCCACCCCATTTTCAATATAGGACCGGGCCGGAAGGGTGGTCGATCCTTAGGCGGAATCATGCATTTCGCATTCCGATAATCCCTCTAGATGGGCCGGTCATGTACGGCTTCGGAAACGCTTTCTCATTTGCCTTTTATATTTTAATTATATTATTATACTCATTATTTTTTCAATTGGTGCGAATTCCCTGATACCAAATAATAATAATAATAATCATAATTCTTTTCTTTATTGTACATACTAGCGAAATGCTAGGCTTGAATGCTCACCCAGGCCCGTTTCCCCCATTCTATGGTACATGGAATTGTTGAGAAGAGTCGACATCCAAGACCCACCCACATTTCCCCAAACCATGCTTCCCAGAAGCAGACGAATAAGAGTAACATGTCAAAAAAGTTAAAATGCACATAATATGCAATTATAATCTGGAGAGGTATGTTATCATACAAAGGCCGTTGAGATTGCAAGGATTGCATCAATGAAAGCGAAAAGCAGATCAGGGCGTCAATTCAATATTATCTTCATCTGGCCATCTCTTTTCAGCCTTCAGGATTAGCTCTTCATACACAGTCCAGGCAAGTGCAGAGCTGATTGCTTTTCGGCCCATCCGTAAGCCCAAGCCTGAAAATAGGCTCCGCACTCCATCTTCGCGGAGCATGAGTTGCACAGCATGGACCATATTGCGGTATTTGTAGGGCATCAGCTGCAGACGTGTTTTGACGACGTCGAAAGGATTGGTGATAGCTGTCGCTAAGCCAGCAGCCAATGCACCTGAAACAAAATTCACCAATATTGACGAGGGGGTAGATTGCCGTTCAGCGGTGTCTATGGTGTTCTGCTCCCCGGATGGCGGCCATACCGGCGACGGAGATCCACCAAAGCCAAGTGAGGAAAGATATTTCTTCGATTGCTCGTAAAACACAATGTACAGGCCGGCGTATGGAGCATCACGAATGGCAGTTGCACCAAAGCCCGAAAATAGAGCACGAAACCCCTCAGTACGCACGATGTCCCGACCGGCTCCCCAAAGGCTGCGGTATGCGTAGAAGTCTGATTCATAACGTGCTTTGAGCACAGTGACAGGCATCATGACGAACCCTGCGGCTGTTCGAGCAAAGGCCCCCGTCACGAGATTTGCCGTGTGTGAGAGCTGGGGAAGTGCGGAAGTGCGTTTTGGCAGGGTATCATATTGGCTATAAAGTAACACACAGGCGTCCCTATTTGATACCGCTTGCCTTAACGCATTCAAAGTAGAAAAGTAGAGAGCGGACCCAAATCCGGTTCGAAGCGCGGAGGGTAGTGTCCCTCGCCAGAGACCGCGGATTGGCTGGGACGATGCAAGGATTTTGCGAACGGTGGTGAGAAGGGAGGACGTTTGGCGCCCTTGTTGGATTCTTGTCTTTAGGAGGTCGGCGGGCTGGAGAAGGACGGCGGATGTGAGGCCAGAGGCCAGGCCGGCAGCGAAATGGAACGTTGGCTTTGAGGCTGGAATGACCGTTAGCAGCTATATTGTATCTTGGGGACCCCGCACTGTGGGAGACGCACACGAAGAGGCCTTTAGCTGGACACGGTTTGTGGAGCCATTAGACATAGCTGCTGCATACCGCGGACTGCAGGAAAGCTGTATAAGGTCAGATGGCGGCTTGTGACCCGGCCGCTTGAAGAACTGGCCGGCAAAATACAGGGAAATTAATTCTGCCCTTGGATGTGCATCGTGATTATAGATAGACAAGTATGAAAACCAAGCGTGAGTCAGAGGGCCGTATCGGGCTGCAATTGGTCAAGGCACCCTCTCTATCTCCTCAAACATCTGTTAAATATGTAAACGTCAGCCAAGTTCCAAGATTTTCGTATTTGTGATGCTTCCAGCTGCGGCGAACTCTTTTAGTATCGCAATTCCCGGCCAGACGGCGAGGCACGTGACGAAGCAGGAGCTATCCAAATACAGCTTAGGCTCCTAAAGAAAACGGATTATCCTGCGGCTCCGGACAGCCAATTGGAAGGTGCTTGGACCAACCGGTGGCTGCAGTAAACACTAATTTCTGCAATGACGTCATTCCAGCAGCCGCAGAAATTTTGGTGTCGCGGAACGGGCAGTTGGGCATTGACTCCCGATATTATATCTATCATGTTGGAAACACTGATTCCCCCGGCTGAATATTTCACTACGGAGTATGGAGGAATATGAGCTCCCTCCTCTAATCTGAGTTCTCAGCTCTCTTTCTGGTGGGCTCAAGGAGTTTTCATCCGAATCTCATAACTGTTCCAATGGCACAACAACCAGCTCTCAGCGAATAGACGTCGCGCAATTGTTATTCTGTTTCGACTTTGGTTTATTTGCAACTGCTATCTATCTACTTTCCTCTGTCCATCGTTGACATTTCATCTTGACGTTACAGGGGCTCTTGTGGATACTGACATGATAGGAGGTTGAGCTGCAAGATGAGAGCAGTTCGGCACAACCCACCTTGTCACTGTTTTAACGAAAGACGAAATGATATATTTTTGGTGATAGAGAGGGTAAGAGTGTCAATTTATGTATGTTTCAGAGGTGCTTTCTGATACTCCTCTTTTGCTTTCAATTATTTTTTGTTGAATGTCTATACAACATATATTTATGGCATTCACCACCATCTCGATTTCTCTCCCCTAATCATCTACTTTATCTACACCATAGTGGTAGTGACCTCTTCCGCAAATCCCTCAGACTCTCTCTCTCTCTTCTGACACCAGTCGTTCTATTTCTCTGACCCAATTTTATTTCTGAGCCATCGTCTTCAAGTATTAGGAATTGTCTCGCTTCGAGTGTCCGTTTGGATATCCGAATGCTTTTTGTATGTTTGGGTGCATGTTGACGTTTACGATGTCAAACTAGGTTGGTGGGTCTAAAATAGGCTTGTGGATGTCAGAACCCCTTCTAGAATGACACAAACACTAGATTCAATTGGCTAATCGTGGCTGTGAGGTGGTATCGAAGTTTAATATATCAGTTGCATTGTGATCTGCGCGAGGCTTGCTAGACCGTTAGCCCCGAAGTTTAATTAAGCTTAACCTAACCAACTTTGGTCCAACCTTCCACCCAAAACCGCCATGCAATCAGCTTGCTGTGCAAAAAAAATAAACGACGATTCCCCATGGTGCAGATTGTTTATTTTAAAAAAATAAAAAATAAAAATAAAAATAAAAAGAAGACGTTCCTTAGTTCAATTCCTGTAGTGGAATTTCCTGTTGAGAAGTATAGTTGTATAGGATATCTTCAGCCATGACGGTGTTATATCGGATAGCCATCTGGGAGGGGAAATTCCTCAAGAGTGTCAATCCCTAATAAACCCCCATCCATTTATCCATCCGTTCCCTCGTTTGCGTATTTGCAGACCTTGTCACGTCAAGGTCTCGGGTTGTTCAAGTCTTGAATGTCTCTTTCTTTTTAATCATAGACTTATGTCTAATTGGGATGGCTGCTTCGCAATGCTCAGGCCAACAGCCCATGCTGTATCTGTCATCAGAGAGTTATTCGACCAGAGCTCTTTCACATGCCGTCTGCTTGTTTTGCATATATACCATCTGGAAGGTATTTGCTTTCTGCATCCTCTGTAGCGGCGATGAGTTTGATGGGGTGGTGGGCGGTCTCATTGATATAATTATTCGCGGTAAACGGATTCGCAGCGAAGTCCAATTTTGACGTCATTTTTCCAGGTCAGGGGGAAACCCAGAGTTTATCTCCAGGCATTATTTCCTTCTTGGGAGATATGTATTTTTTGACGTCTTTCTCTCTAATCCAGTCCAGCTGGATGGGTGGGCTTACTCCCATTATGCCGGAAACTACAAGCAAGCGTTTCTTACCTACAAGTTCCCCCAGCGCCGGGAACCGCCTCCCCCAATTCTTGAATTCTAAATATGCCTTCTCTCTTCGCCATTTGACAACCCGTTTTACAGCTTAAGATCGCTGATCAAGGTCTCTCATTAGATCATTTTAACCTTTCGTCTGGAGTATATAAATAGTGTTGGGACTCCCTTTCTTCCATTTCCCAAGCAAAAGCTCCTCCACTCCGACATCATTTCAACCTCTTGGTATAGGATTGTAGGGGAAAAGCACCGCTATATATATTCAACTTATTCATATATACACATCCACATCCTGTATTTTAATCTAGCGCGAGAACATCCCAGCAGGCACTCGTTTTACCTATTCATCTCCAGAAATGTCTGCGTAAGTTTTCCATCTGCTCTCCGCTGCTCTCCGCTCCCTGGAAACATGTTCCTAACTATGAGCTGTAGTCGCAAAGCCAACAGGCGTCAAGCCCAGAAGAGCAGAGGCCGCGACAAGAAGAAAAGCACCACTCGGCGTTCCACCCCAAGAGGCAACGGGGCGGGGTTAGCTAACCTCCCGCCCGAAATCCTGCTCAAAATCGTGAGCCACCTGGGCCCGGCAGACCTGGCCTCACTTGCCCTTGCTTCCAAGGGTAAGTCACATGCATAAACAGCAGCAAGAGCGGCATTGGGTGGCCGCAGTACGGACTAACTGACTAACGGACTGTTGGCAGGAGCGTATCGGTTCTTCGCAAACGGCGACTTGAGAGCAATGGACTTTCCACAGACGTCTGATATGTTCTTCTGTCGTCCCTGCCATGAACCGTTCCCAATGGAATACCACCGGTTTAAGTTTCTTCAGGGTTTGCAACGCGACTCACCCACAGACATCGCCTGCATTTGGTGTCTCGAAATGCATCCGAAGAAACAAAACTGCTCTGTTGGGTGTGCTCCTAGCTTTACCTGCGAGAGGCGGATCGACACTGACGAAATTACCTGCGAATGGCGAATCATACGTAACGGCATGATTACCGGAGTCTACATATCCAACTTCAAGAACATCGACGGAGAGTCCCAGGAATTCGTCGACCGTGAATGCCCTGGTCGAATTTCTGGACTATCGGACGGGCGATACGTCTGCTCGATTGTTCCACATGAGAAGGAGACAGGATCCTATGATGTGTCCAGAACAGCAGGAGAGAAATGCTTTACCATCCGTGTCGATTATGACAAAGTCTTCGACCGCGAGGCTTTCTTCGGCCCTCAACTCCAGAACTCCTTGATCAAAGTGTGCGATCACTTGAAATTCCCCGAGAACTCACAGCTTTGGGACATGGTCTACTGCAAAGTCATGAATCACCCGCAAAGGCTGTCTTGCCACAAGTGCGCCAGAGCTCCCCGCAGTTGCGACAAGTGCAATGCCATTTTCGATTTCAACGTCCAGCCACTAGAAACGTTTGGAGATATGTCTGACCGCTTCGTGATGCTCCGGGCGCGAATTCTCCACCGAGTCAACGAGAAGCTGCGGAATCGCGCGAAAATTCGAGCCATCGAGTCGTCCATGCCCGACGAAGACATTGGCCCCTGCGCGATGAATTCCACATGGGGCACGGCGCAGTTCAAATTGGATATAAGATCGGATTTCGGATGGAAGCGAGGAGACTTGTACAGCGACGAAGTGCCAAAGTTATACGTCCCTCCTCAGGACGAAAGCAAAGGAAAGTGTGATTTATGTTTCGACTGATGTGGTTCAGAATAAATGAGGGGACGACTTTTGGGTCATATACATATGGTGGTGATTTGGAAGAGCATCTACTGAAAGATATTTTTTGAAAGTAAATTGATTACTTGTTTGGAATATATATTGAGTGGCGTTTATTCGGTTGATTCTTTTAACTCTATACGGGCTATGATGGCATTTTCAACAGAGATTTTCGAGATAAAATTGACATTTTGGATTGTGCGAATTGGGCGGTGTTACATGGAGAGAATATTTTGTTCAATGTTCAGTTCGTCTTTTTGAAAGCTGTTATGGACTTGCTTGACTTTGGAATCTTTGGATCTGGATTCCGGTAGAGTGCCATGGATACTTTTGTTTTTCCTTTCTCTTCATGCCTTTCCCAATTGTCTGTTTACAGAATGGCATTTTTCATACCTTGTCTGCAAGCATGTGTTTGTACATACCTGCTGCTCTTCTAAACATTGTTCCTCTCATCAATTGCAAATTAAGCTTCTTCACACGCCTGCACGGTTGGCAACTCTCCTCCCCCTAGATGGTGATATTCCCTACAGAATGCTAATTATCGTCTTTTAGTAGTTATGATGTACCTGTGCTCACCTGCAAATAGGATGCGAATGAAGCTTTCTCTATTGGCAAAATGTGACTTTCTAAGCTCTGCTGTTCCATTTGTAGGGTTACAGTTGAGAAGGTTCAATTCAAGATTGTTGTTACATAAAGACGAGCTGGTAGAGTCGTATTGAAAAGTACGGCGTCATGACCCCCGCTAACCGGTGAATTGGAATCCCCCATGGGGCCTTTCCAACAATATGAGAAACGGTTTTCATAACTTCGCCACGTGGGTAGGTAGTTATTGCATTAGATCCATAAATACATTACTGGCATGACTGGAATAGAAGGAAAAAAGGAAAGAAAACTAGAACCACCAATCCAGTCCACACAACTCAACGGATATTTAAAATTGAGTGGGTTGCATGTTATACTAGAGTCGCCTATTAGTTAAAAACAGAGTTTATTCAACCTACATCTTCGATCAACCTGACTTGCAAATTATAGGCAATGATAGAAATCATTAACTAATCAAACAGAACTCCCGATATCAATACGCTATTCCACCACCGGCTTCGGCTGCTGGGTTTGGGTAGTGCATCATGGATCGAATTCGATTGTATTCGCCCTGCGAAATGGGGAAGTATCTGGGAGGATTACTCTCGCTGGTGCAGGTGGGAAGGCACTCAATAACTGACGTGGGGTCCGGGGCGACAAAATACGGAATAGAATAACGTTCCCTGACCATGCGGTTGACTCCCTCAAGGCGATCAATGAGAGGGGGGATTGTGACGCGGTGAGAGGTTGAGTGAAGGTGATCTGTCAAAAGTTAAAATGTAACTGCAGGATATATGTATGATTTCACAATTTTTATTATAAACATTGAAATCCTCCAGTTTCAATTGCACTCTTATTCGTAATTTGGGCTTTTCGCAAGAGGAAGGACCGAAGAGATGGGGGGGGGGGGGGGGGTTGTGTGTTAACAGGAGACGAGAAGATAATCTTACCATTGCTCCATCTTTGGAGCAGGTCCCCAACATTGATAACAATGGCGTTTTTGATCGGGGTGGCAGGAATGAACTCGCCAGGACGCTCGATGCTTTCCACTTCCAAACCGCCACAGTCATCCTGGAAGAGCATGGTTAGCGAGCTCCAATCCGTATGGGCGGGCATACGAGCATATTGTTCGTTTTCCAACGCTGCGGCCGGCACAGAAGGATAATGGAGAAGCCGAAGCTGATTGTTGTGGCCAGAGTGCAATTTAAGAAGGTGATTCTCATCTTCAAGACCAATACCAATGGATATTGCTCTGAGAATGTCGCTAGCAACTCCGAAGCATTCCCAATAGAACTTGGTCATAAAGTCTCGGAAGCCAGGGAGTGTATCTTCAAGAATCCAGACGTTTGGCTGGTGCGAAGCTTCGTCGCTCCCCATATCATAACTTTCCTACACAGGCATAAGAAAAATATATATGATATGAGCGCAATACAAAGAAAGCAAATTTTACATGATGGATAGCAGCGAGGCATAGTAAATTTAAACATTATTATAACTCAAAGATACCTTATAATCGGTAACCTCTCGTAGCTTCTTCGCCAATTCTGGCAAAGCTACATCGCTCATCACCTGAGATACCTTCTCGAGGCCCGGCCAGGAATATCCGCGATAGATTAAGGAACCCTCTGGATGTGGCGCTTGGAGCTTTTCTTCCGCGCTGAGCGCAAAAAACTTTTCTGACCAAGCGAACAACTCCGCCAGCCGCTCCGGGGAAATGGCATGATTAATGATATATGCAAAGCCAACATTCTGGCATGCGGACACGATCTCTTTTGCGACTTTCATCCGTTCTTCTGGTGTGTTTTCTGGGACCCATCTGGAGAAATCGACCACTGGAATGTGGGCGGATGCCCCGCTGCCATCACCGCGGTGTGTCTGCGGTTGAACGATTCCCGAGGTCATCTTTCAGCTTAGCCCACACAGTAGGATTGGGGATCCTCATGTATCCAAACCAAGCAGTTATGGGTCATTGATTGCCATCTTGCATATAAGAAAACCACACTGTTCAAAGCTCTGATCAAGGGCCTCGGAGAGACTTCGCCGGGATCAGGTGGTTGCTGACTAATAGGCACGATCCCTCCTCTTTGCAGGCGTCTTAAGTAAAACTAACTTACAACATCCCGTGTTGGACTTCTTCAGCTTCTTACAACGTGGGCCCGCTGTGAGCTATGTAGCCCTTGTTGTGCCGACCCATGTAACTCTCCTTGTTTGGGGTTAAGAAAGGTGCAATTAGGATGAGATCCGTGGATGAGATACTTCTTCCACTCACTTTCCCCCATCTTTACCCTTGAAATCTTCCATTCTATGCATCCTATGGTTCGCCCAACCGTCAAACAGAATGATGTATGGACGTCTTCCCAGGAGATATAAGGGCAGCGTCGTCCACGATATCACAGCTCACAGCAGTGTAGCCAGCCATATATATATATATATATCAGACAGCCATTTATTTGCTGTATGATATGGTCGAGCAGGGCGATGGCTTCCCTTCAACAAACTGTCGCTGAACCGAGTAAACAAACAAACCAACTTGTGCAAGCACAAACGGCGGATGATATGGCTTCGCCCAACCTCTGAAGTATATGGAGAATAGATCCTGCCTGTTTCCTAATGAAAATGCAGATGCCTCCCCGTGTTGTCAGTGCCGGTATCAAGCGGACGGATGCTGTTGTTGTTCTTGCTACATGCAAAAGGGACAGAGGCTATCATCAACTTGCTTCTACAATCATTACCAACCCCCTTTTGGCATCCCTTTCCCCCTTAGATAGAATTACTATGTATTTTCCACCTTTAATCCCCTCCGATAATGTATTTCTCAACATCCATAAGGTTTTGTGTTGCATACTGCTTTTTAGCCTCCCTGCTTTCTGCCTATTGTGCAGAGGAGTTGCCATCGCGTAAGTTATCCAAAAAAAAAAAAAAATAAAAAAATAAAAAAATAAAGGGGGAAGCAATCAAAGTGTCAAACCCAACTTACCCTGATTACTAACTACGGGAAAATATCTATTTTAAAAAAAATAAACCTGCCACAGCCTTTGTCGCCGAAAATCAAACGATCCCGTCTGTGATAACAAACTATGCGGCGCTGGGGGACAGCTATGCCGCCGGAATCGCCGCCGGCAAACAAATTCATCGTTCCTGCTGGCGGTTTAGAGATAGCTATCCCATGCAATTGATCCGCACAGGCGTTCTCGGACAAAACCACTCCTTCCAGTTCCTCGCCTGCTCGGGAGCCGTCATGGGTATACCGGGCACTTCCTTCAACAAGCAAAGGGCCATCGCTAGGCAGATCAAGGCTCTGAAACCTACAGATCTAGTCACGTTGTCGATTGGGGGTAACGATGCTGGTTTCTTTGATATCCTCAACGCATGCATTTATCGCTTCTACGGCATCAGGTCGGGAAATTGTATTGAGCAGCTGAGCAAATCGCTGAAACTCATCGATAGTGACGAGTTCGCGCAAACGTATGATAAGGTGTTAGCTGAACTGTTGGCCAAAGGGGCTGGCCCGCACTTTCGCATCCTTGCCCTTGGATACAGTCCCTTCTTCGATGACGCCCTTACCGATGAATGCAATAATATGTCCTTCGGATACTGGAAAATGTGGCGGCCAAAGCTTACGGTGCGACTGCGGAGACAACTAAATGATGTATCCCTCCATCTGAACAAGAGAATAGTTGAGATCATCAACGAAAGGGGGGATGATAGAATTGTCTGGGTTGACTGGGCACCTCAGTTCAAGAATCATCTCTTCTGCCAACCGGGTAAATCGACGCCGACTGATGGGGATAACACATGGTTTTTCGATGTTGATTTCCGCTCCGCCAACCTGACTCGTGACGATGCCCTCGATCCGGGCTTCGACCCGGACATGGACTTGGACAAGTGTGCGCAACAGTCGTTGGATTCGGGCGACTGGGGCTACCGGGCTGCCTGTGGGATTGCTATGGTGCAACATAAGCAAGATTTGGAATATCCACACGACGGTAATGACAGCGGCGACGACGATGACAAAAATGGTCTTTCTATCAATCGCTATCCCAACCAACCAGGTCTGGCACGCGTCTTCCATCCCAAACCGCAAGGGTATAAGGCTGTTGCGGAGGTAATACAGAGTTATTGCCCTCATGCATCGTCAGAGCCTAGATTAGAGGATGAAAACGATGTAGACTGACTCTGGATGTGGGATCTCCTTTAGAGAGCATGCATGTGGCTTGAGGATGAATTGTGATGGCTTCAGAACTTCAAAGGAGGAAGGGGTTTCCTTTTTTTTTTTTTTTTTTTTTCCCTAGCGGTTCCAGGATCAAGAAAAATTCAAAAGGCTATCTATCCCTTACACTCCTTGATTCGCTGGTTGTGGTTTTAATCCTTTTTTTTTTCCCCCCTCTCTTTCTTATTAGTTCTGTAAAGGCACTGTAAATAACAATAGAGGAGTTAAAGAGTTATCTGACATATGACATAATTTTTGCGTCTGTGCCTGAAGCCAGTTTTTGCCTCGCTTTTCCGCCCTCTTGCAGCCTTGTGTTCACGTGGGTGTCGCCGGGACCCTGAAATGTCAAGTGATGACATCCGTAACTATGCAGTTCCATCCGCAAGCAAAAGTGATCGCCGCTGATCATGCGAACTCTCGGATCATTTTCCTTTTCCATGAAACACTACGTCTGGAGTTGGGGAGAAATTCATTCTCGTTGTCAGTGAATTACCAATTCCTTACTAAAGTAGTGTTTAAGAGAAGGAGAACAACAATCAATTCTATACTCTGTTCTTTTTTTTGTGTTTTGTTCTATATTGTCAGTAATACAGCAAGCAATAAGATAATAGTAGAGCAGTAAATGGAGGGACTCGAAGGCTGAAAAACAAAAAAACTCAATTAAAAGTACACAACTGGGCCACGAGTCAATCCCGCCAAAGTAGCGGCGAGGAGACAGTCAGAACCGGCCGGTTAGGAGAAAAACAATAGTTGCCAAATGGCCGAAGGAGAAAGTGGGGAGTGGTCTCTCAGATGTGGCTGCAATAACAGAATCCAAAGAGAACGAACCATCACGATCCGAGTCGAGGTCAAAACCCGAAGAAGGAAAACAAAATATTTAACAAATCGGTCGGTCGGTCGATCGGTCGACACAGAAATGGAAGATTGAAGATGAAGTGACACTGCAAAGAATAACAAGGATACAGGGCATGAGACGAGAAGAGCTCATGCACGGCCTCTGTCCAAATATTAAATTGACAGTTCCACTGAAAACACGGTCTGTGTCCCAACCTCCCATCATCACTGATGACTCCAGCAAGAAAACGAAGAACGAAAATTGGCAAGCGGCAGATCAGATATTTTCTCGTCAGATCAAGTCACACAAACAAGAAGGCAACACATTGAGGAAAACTTTTTAAGTCAACGTCTAGACAGTCAAGAAGAAAGTTCACTCCCTAGCTTCAGCAACCGACTTCCAGTAAGCTTCTCGCTTACGAGATTCAGCTAAAGAGGCTTCCAGCTCCGCAATCTTGGCCTCCATTTGCATTTGCAGCTCAACTTTGCGAGCACGGGATTTCCGAGCAGCCTCAGTATTGCGGGCACGCTTGGCAGCAGTGGTATCCTTTGGATCATATTCGATTGGTGGAAGAGGCTTCTCACGATGACGAGGCTTCACACCCGAAATAGAAGAGTGACGAAGATGAGAACGGCCTGGGCGAGGAGAACCTTCGGACGAAGATTCACCCTTCAGCGCCGGAGAGGAGGAAGACACCGAAGCGGAAACAGGCTTGGGCAAGGTTGGGATCAAGCTGGACTTCTCAATGGTTGAACAAGAGTGGTCATTAGGGAATAAAGAGTCCCAGTGCTCGTGGCCGGGGGCAAGATCGGAATCTGCGAAAAAAAGAGGCGAAGTGTTTTGGCTAAAATAACCGGGAGAATCGAAGGAAGGAGTACTGATATCCGTGAAAGAAGTCGAAGGAGGGAAAGTGACATCCAACATCAGATCCTTGGGTGAGACAGTGGCCGTGTCGGTCAACTTGAGAGAATTGTTGACGGAGGTGAAATTAATAGTGCCAGCAGAAGACAACAGGTCCTCTGCACCAAGGTGGGCAGGGAAGTCGAGCAACTCGGCAAAATCTAGAGCAGCGTTGGCATTTCCATACTTGCAGGGTTTACGTGGTTGTAGGGACAGCAAAATGAACTTACCTTGCGGGATGGTAGGGGTAGACATGATGCGACGACAGGATTGATGACTGGTCAAGTTCTGATAAGAAATGTTTTCCGCGCTATTGTTGAACAATGGAACTGGGGGACGATTGGATCGAGGTGAACTGGAGGGGGCCGAAGCAGCGTAGAAACTTGCGGGCCTCGCCCCAGAAGGACTGGACTGGTTTGAAGACGACGAAGAGAACCCTTGAGACTGCGAAATAACTTTGGCTACTCGGGGATCCTGAACGAGGGAGCCGCTGAAAACGACGTTCTTCAGCAGCGGTGGATGATACAAATGCCGCTGAGGATCTTGAGTGCAAGATAACGCCAGATCCGAAGAAGTCTGGGAATGGGTCCTAGGGGTACTCGCGGAGGAGACGGGCGCACGCTGAGCAAAGTGACGCGCTTGACGAACAGTCTTGGGAGGACTGGGGTACAATACAAAGTCGTCCTGATGAAAGTGCGGATTGTCTTGAGCCGGAGGCTGCAACGATGGGGGTTGAGAAGAGCATGGTGGCTGTAGTTTGTCCGTGTTGAACGACGTGATGTCGAACGGTGGAATGGTGACGGGGAGCGAGGAATTCGAGCTACACTGAGCTACAAAGTCCAGAGGTCCTTGGCAAGGAGACTCTGAAGGGGGAGACGAGGGGGGTTGAGTTGTCAACTGGATGGAAGCTATGATATCTGTCCTTGGCGGAGAGACAGGAAGAGAGGATGATCAAACAAAAGCCAGAGGCTTAGAAGGAAGCCATTGTCGTGTGGAGTTTCCTCTTGATTGACCGGATTTGATTATTCAGTGTTGGGTAAGCGGTTCCTGTCTCGATGCAACAAAACAACGTTCTGTTCCGACTTGGGGGGGAGGGAGGTGGGGGGGAGGGGGGGGGAAAATGATGATGATATATAGTTGAGAGTGGGGTGTTTTCCAAGCTGGCTGTTTACAAGAGAAAAAAAAGAAGAGAAAATTTTAGCAGAAGTGGGAATCAGGCAACTATTAATATTATTCTTCAAGGCAGGCCTCCGCGTGACCCAAAGCGGCTTAGCGCAAGAGGCTGACAGGGCAGATTGCCGCTAGTCCCAACCCGGTACCCCGACACAGAGGCTAGTCCTCATCCAGTCAAGCGCGCATTTGAACCTCTTCCAGACTATGAGTCATAGCCCGTCCTTTGCTCCCATTGGCCAGCTCCGTGGCCATTCGGGTCCGCCCGCGACGCGCTCCCTGGGCTAGCCCCAAGGGCCAACCAAACCCCCCAACCAACCCCCAACGCCGTCCGTCTCCTTCCCCCCCCCCCCAACCACCCGGAGGAAATGCGGAGCCGGTACCTGGCTGCACTTGTCTCAGTGCCGAGTCTTGCATATGTATCTTGGTAGCCCGAGGTACCCCAGAGAACGCTCCCAGGAACCAATCAAGCCACTCCAAGTGCGCCGCCCGCGCTGTTCTTGCTCCTGAGCCCGCCGCGGGGTCACGGGATACCGCTATGTTTCCCCTCCCCCCCCTCTCCCCCCCCCCCCCCC